ACTAACTGAGTAACTAACTAACTTAAACTAAGTGACTAACTAACTAACTGAGTGACTAACTGAGTGACTAACTAAGTGACTGACTGACTAACTGACTGAGTGACTGACCGACTGACTGACCGACTGACTGATCGAATCAATGGAATAACCCCTTACCATACACCGATACCTAAAGCGACAAACAGTTTGACCGCTCCAGTACCGACAAATAAATTAAAACTTCATCTAGGAGGCGATCTGCCAGTTTCGAGATGACAACCCTTCCTGTTCCCATTATGGATGGGATCCTCATACACCTAAACACTAAACCCGTGTCTCTTCAAATGCCGCGAGCTTCCAGTTCCAGTTCCAGGCTCGGTTGCCTTCTCGGTTCAGTCACTCAATCCATTGCATGGATGTATGGTTAATGATTATAGCCCAGCACGAGAGGGCACTGTCACGGCGGTGCAGTGCAGGTCCAAGTACAGTATATAAGACTTCTCCCTCAGCAGTTTACGGCGCCCAATTCGCGTCCGACGTCGTAAATGGTCTTACATTGCTTCGATAGAAAAAGAGCCGTGGGGGTACGTCTTCCTTCGGCCTAGTTGGCGGAACGAGTCGACCAAATTCCCGTGGCAGAGATACGGCGCCGATGCGAGCGGATGCGGACTCAAGCAGCAGGTCACGCCGATAAAATGGACGAACATAGTCAATCCATGGTAGAATACCAACAGACGACATGGAATGAAACAACCATTTATTAATACCCAAAACGCCAGCAACCACGTACTATCATGCTTTGTGGGTTCCAAACCCAAAGCTGGGCCGGATATACAACCTGACCGCCATCATACCAAACTTGAAGTCAACTTCCAAATCCAACTCATTAATCTTCTACGTTGAAGCTCTGTCCCGTGACCGTCCATCCTTTCCCTGATACCCTTCCATCCATGTCGAATCTGTTGCGCAACAAGTCTCAGTGGCAGCAGCCGCACGCTGCCCTCATCAATCTTTACCTCGTCTGGTTGCCTTTCAACCAGCATTGTTGGCACAGCTAAAGGGCTTGTTGGTGGCCCCGTTCTGCACCATGCTGTAAATGCTGGCATACAGCCCGACCACACACTGTGCCCTCAATCATTAGTTTTCTAAATCTTTGCTTCGCGTGCCTATTACTCACCAGTATGGCTCCCACAGTGATGTTCAACATGTTGACCAACAAGAGCAAACTTTTGCCGAAGCTCCATCGACCCCGTGGCACCACCTTCCACCACCGACCCTGTTGCATCAGGTTCATCTTCATCCAAAACATTCCGCTCAGACCGAGTGTAAACCAACTGGCGAAAAGGGCACTGGTCAAGCCCAGCAGGTCGCTGAAGACAGGCACCGCCTCGGCAATCACCCAGGCCCCAAGCCAGGACGCGGTACACATAGCCACCCAGATGCTGTATGACTTCCATGTTTTTTGGTGCATCAAATCTTCCGAGTGGTTGCGGAGCATCCGGACATACAGGTACTTGACGCCCACATGACCGTTGACCACCCCGGCAATGACAATCGTGGGGATGGCAATGCCATACGCGACCTTTTTGACCACCCGGCTGGCGCTGTCCAAAGCAGGACTGGCCACCTGATCCCCTGCATAGTAATACACCACGACGGCTGTGATGATATACATGCTGATGTCGCTGCACTGTAAGAACGCCAGGGCTTTGGGGAAATCGCGGGGATTTTTCAACTCCGAGATGAAAGTGAAGAATGCAACATGCCCCGCGTACGCAAAAACCATGTTGGCGACGGCGAGGAAGCCCGCGTGGAAAGTCAAACCAGCCTGTGGCCAGAGACGCACACTCAGAGTCTCGTGTCCATCCACAAGCCGCAAGCCCGGCTTGGTGATACTCACCCCGATCATGGTGATAAGGACGGCGCCAATGATGCTGATGAAGCTGGCCACCGAATAATACGACAGATTCTTCAGTGTCCGGGGTAGAGTGAAGATCAGACTGAGAATCGTGCCCACGACCATCCAGAGAATGGTACAGGCACCATGGTCCGTGACGGCATTCATCATGATGGAAAAGGTGAGAATGTGGCTACCCATGACAAAGACATAGAACAAGAATTGTCCCCATCCGAGGATCTCGCCGCCCCAGCGGCCAAAGAGGACCTCCCCAGCACATCCCATGGAGTGGATATGTGGGTAGCGCACCTTGAATTGCCCAATCACATACCCAGAGTACGAGGCCATGGCTCCAAGAAACACAAGGAGAATCAACCCCGGCACCAGTCCGAGAGTGGCCATGGCCCGAGGGAGTGAAAGGATTCCAAGCGAGATGGTTTCGGCGACCATGACCATTCCTGCTTGCCTGATATTGCATTAGCACGTCCATGACAAAAGTGCTATCCAAAGAAGACATACCACCAGACCATCGACTTGTACTCTACGCCTCCCTCGATACGGCTGGTCATGGGATCCAGCTGTTGCTCGTCACCTTGGGGAACGGCGAGGTCAGCAGTGTAACTCAGGCATCAGTTCTCAACTCTTCGTTTACATACCATCTTTCTTCTCCTGATCCGACGTGGTATTGTTACCAAGTACTGCATTCTCTGGCATGTCGCTGGTTGGGGTACCGAGAGAGGCTTCGTTGATGACAGTGTTGGTCGTCTTTTCCTCTGCGGGCTTTTTGTTAAAGTAGGACGCAATGGACTGAGACATGATGCCTCTGCGCCACGAGGCGCTGGATGGACTGTCAAACACCATGGTAGATGGTGGTTGGAGGAAGGGTGTTGAGAAGCTCCTAGACCGTCAGCAACGCCCCGAAACCTGCTGAGGACTCTTACAGGCACAGACAGCCCTTAGCAAAGTGAAGGTATCTCGATGATGTATTTGGTGAATCGATGAGTAAAAGCCAACTGCGCTGCTCGCCGCATGCGCTCGGATTTTGAGAGAGCAACAAAACTGGCGAGGAAGAGGAGTGGAGAGGGACGGAAAAAGAGGAAGGGGAACAGCAAGAGACTTGAAGAATACCGGCCTATCTATACTAGTAGTAGGGGACTCGTAACAGTGTTGTCCAGAAACAAGGCAAAGAATAGATAAATAGATGCATCCATTTCCAGAGTATTGGGATCGACATAGACTCGTCGTTGGTGAGCCATGCATGTACCTGCGGCAGGAACCATACAGATCGCGGCCGGACAAGGCAGCAACCTCCGGTCGACAAGAGCTAACACGAGCTATCCTGTGTGGTCCGTGGAAATCAAAAGCCTAATTCAAGCCTGAGTTTGCATCAAAACATTTATACCGTTGTATTAAGGAGTCACAGGAGCCCTAGTAGTAGTCGGGTCCATGCTCCGATTGTCCGCTCATCGGCAGTGCATGCACCGCAGATCCTCCTGCATGCAGCAAGGTACCGAACTCTGACTTGGTAAATCGTCCTAGATCTGCTCGTGTTCGAAATCTAGCCGTTGGCCGGAGAATCTTGTCCCAAAACAGGGTTGTGGCCTGGCTGGACCTTAGAGTCGCTCTCAAGGGTGTCTGCTGGTCCATCTAGATCTTGTCAGCATACTGTCACTGCATCAAACCAAGGTTGATAATATCAACTCACCGTATCTCGAGTACAGCTTTCGTTCATACTCATCCGCGAACCCTGCCTTGCCACTCTCGACTTCCTTTCGTGATATGCCCAACTTACTCTTGGGGAGGCCCATGGACGCCAAAAAGTTGACCGTCTCCTTCCATTCCAAATCTTGGCGTTTCTTGTCCCATTTCAGCTCTTCGGCCATCAGGTCAATAACCCGAGGCAACGCTTCCAAAGCAGCCTGAGCGTTCAAGAAGGCCAGTCTAGTCCTCCGCGCGAGCACATCCGCGGCAGATTGAGCGAATTCATGTCGAACCGCATATCGTACTTCACCGTCAATGTAAGGGTACAGCTGGGAAATCCGTTGGCCTCGCACAGGAAATCGTTGACCAGTTGGGCTCGAAAGAGCGGCCACAGTCCAGGCACGATCTCCGTAGGCTTCGGCAAGGTGCTTGGCAACCTCGGTTTCAATGCCAAAGTGTTGAATCAAGCTGATGAAAAGGGTCTTGGAGTATCCATGCGCGCCCACAAGTCGGACCTGATGGGTCTGGCAGGTGCCGTCCAAGGGGGCAGCATCGTCATACACTTCAGTACCACTGATTCTCACAGGTGCCGTAAGCGGCTTCGTCTCAAGGTTGAATTGCTTGATAGCTTCATCCACTGCATCCTCGGCCATTTGACGATATGTTGTCCATTTGCCACCAGCACATGTGAGCAGACCAGATTCTGAGACCGTCACCAAATGGTTTCGCACCAACGACTCGGTATTCTTCGCCTTAGGATCTTTGACCAATGGCCGGATGCCTGACCAGGCAGCCAGTACATCGCCTCGTCGAACATTAATATCGGGGGACAGGTAGCCTCTAATCTCGTTCAAGATCCAGTTGATCTCGTCTTCTCCGGCGATGGGCTGAGGAGTGATGTTGCAAGGAGCATCCGTGGTGCCGGCGATGGTGTTGCCCTGCCATGGTAGGAAGAAGATAACGCGACCGTCCGAAGTAGCCGGGTCAATCAGGCCCATCGAGTTCTTCTGAGGACTGTAGTATCCGGGGAGAACGACGTGTACACCGGAGCTGGGAGCGACAATCTCCTGCACCGAGGGGTCATCCATTTTACGAATTGAATCAGTGAACGGACCGGTTGCGTTGATGACACCCTTTGCGCGAATGGTGATGGGAGGTGCGGGCTTGCCATTTTTCTCTGCAATCACGTCTTTGACGACGGCGCCGTTCAGTCTACCATTCTCGCCCTTGGTCAAGCTGGTCACTTCCATATGGTTGACGACCGTGGCACCGTAGAGCGCAGCTGTAGCAGCAATAGACACATTCATACGACTGTCATTGTGTGCTCCATCATAGTAGACCAAAGCGCCGATGAGATCGTCCTTTTTCAACATGGGGAATGCGTCCAAGGCCTTGCTTTTGGTCAAGAAATAACTGGTCTCGATACCTTCACTACCAGCCAGGAAATCATACATTTTCGTGCCAGCCCAGAAGTAAGGAGCCTGCCACCATCGTTGCAAAGGAATCATGATAGGCAGCCAGGAAGAAAGATGAGGCGCAGTGTCGAGGAAGTACTTCCTCTCTCGGAGGGCTTCTTTGACCAGGGCATATTGATTGTAGTCGAGATTCCAGACGGCCTTTTCGAGATAGCGGACACCGCCATGGACCAGCTTCGTGCTCTTGCTGCTCGTTCCGGCGGCGAAGTCGTCGCGCTCCACCAGTGCCACTTTCAAGCCCCGGGTCGCGGCATCCAGAGCAATGCCGGATCCGGTGGCTCCTCCGCCAATCACTAGGAGGTCGTACGGTTCGCCAGCTTCCTGGTCCTCGGGGAGCGATGTCTCCTTGTTATCGTTTGTCGCCCCCTTCAATCGATCAAAGCTATTCTTCACCTGCTGAGTAATTGGAGTCTCCGAGGCCGCGCCAACCAAGCCACCACTTTTTCGCAAGTCGGCAATCTGCTCGTCTCGGGACTTGATATGCGGAAATTTGGGAGGGATGATGGTCCCGTCCTCGGCACGGGGTGTCGGCACGAGCGCGCCCTGCGAACCGGGGACATTGATGGGACGATAGGATATGTAGATGACGGTTCCGCCAACGCCGGCGAGGGCAGCGGCCGAGTACAGGATCGGTTTGAGGTATCGCCGAACCACGGAAGGACGACCGGCGGAAGCCATGATTGTGAAGCGTGACCGAAGATGGTAGTGTTCAATTTCTCAACGCAGCCTATGAAGCTTTTTCTGCCATTGCCCGGCTGGCCGGCAGAGGTGTTGGTAGAAAGGTCACGCGCGTAGTGAGGATACAAGACCGCTTGAGGCGCGATAAGGAGCTGAGGCTAAATGCGTTCAAGTTGCGGAGGCCGCATCGAAGCGGTGGTGTGGGAGGGAAAAAGATGAGGGAGCAAGCTCAACCTGAACCAGCTTTCAGGTGGACATGCAGAGGGTGATATAACTCTTCACACAACTCGCTGCCCACCACTGCAGTCAGTCAGTAGTGAGGCCAGTAGTAGTAGTGGGTGCCCGGGTTGTTCGGAGAGAAGCTGAGGGAAGATCTGATCTGCTCTGGGCTCGAGTTGGGTCCACGGGCGTCCATCTTATTGCCTGCTTTGCGCCGTCTTGCTCGTTCCCACAACTTGGGCGATTTCAAGTTGAGAGAAAACGACACTTTCGTCATAGGCCCACGATTGCAACGAGAAATCTTCGGTCGCTGCTAGTTGGCGCTCTCTGCGCTGCAACTCGGCATCCCAATTCCGAGCTTCCCTCAGCTTCATGCTAATACAACATTGTATATCAGGCCAAACCAGACCAGGACCGGGGTGTATGCACTCCAGGTCCCCGTATCTGCACCTCTCATGCAGTGTAAAGTGCGGGAGGAACTAGAGTCATGCTCTGCCGAGGGAAAAGTCTCCAGGATGGACTACGGGATAGTCACATGAAAGCACACTTTTGTCTAGGTACTCTACTATGATCTGAATTTGACATGTGAAGGGCTTCCACCCTTTCGTTTCGTCAGTCTAATAGTAATTCCTTGTTTTCAAGGTCATTTTGGTTGGCGAGATACAATATGTCTTGTGCTTTTCAGTCACGGATGGCACATGAACCCCATGACTTGCAGGAACTGGAACTATACAAAAAGTCCGTGGCATACCAGTATCTCGTGGCACCACATCAGCCACGTATAACAGTAAACGTTTCACTTTTTTGGTCATCAAAGTATTTGATCCACCTCGTAGTGTGCTTTTGTGTCAAGAAACACACTATGTGCAGGTCCGAGTCCGGTCATTTATGCGTTTTCAGCCTGGCCATTGATGGCTTGGGCCTTCTTTTCCAACAGATCAATGTCAATCTTGCTGGCCGACACGCTGCCTGCATTGGTTTGCATGTTCAATTTGGACGGCGCGGGATGGGAATCGACTGTCACGGACGACCGCAATGGGCTGTTGGGAGTGTCCGATCCTCCCAAGTTTAATCTTTCCAAAGCCTCCATCTCGGCCTCGGAAAATTGTCGCGTGTGCTTAGGTTTGAATGGCACCGGCGTCGACACCCGGGATGTCAAGAACTGTAGATGGTCAGTGATGTACTATGCCATAACCAAGGGTCACCCATAGCTTACCGAGCTTGCGGCGCTCAAAAGCGCAATCAACGAAGCCTGGACAACGTCCTCGTGGATGCCCACGCCCCAGACTTTCTCCTGTGACCCGCTGGCCGTACATTCTATGTACGTCGCAGCCTTCACTTCACGACCTTCACCAATGGCGTGTTCCTTGTAGTCGGCGACATCAAGATCAATGCCCAAGGAGTGGAGAGCATTGGCCAAGGATGAGATGGCACCATTGCCCACACCCACCACAGGATGTTGAATCCCATCAATGGCGATGATGCCTGCAAATTGACGTTTAGCGGTGGACGTGTTTTGTGCGGGCGCCACCGTCTGTGGCGGTTGACCGACCGACGACTTCGCTGGTGGAGCAGGAGACGCAGTCCGCACCGCCGTGATGTTGTAGTCAACAAGAGTAAATCTAGGGTTCTTTTTGAGATGGTACGACTCTTCGAAGAGCGCCTGGATCTCCCGCGGGAGCAACTCCCGGCCCTTGGCATCCGCTTCCCTTTGCACAATCTTGCTGAAGGCAACCTGGAGGCCACGAGGTAAGTCCAGGTCGAGACTGCGCTGGATAATCCAGGCGACACCGCCCTTGCCGGATTGTGAGTTGACTCGAATGACTGCTTCGTAGGTTCGACCCACGTCCTGAGGATCGAGTGGCAGATATGGAATCTCCCATTGATCTTCCGCGCCCAACCCCTTGGCTTTCCGGAGTTGGAACCCCTTTTTGATCGCATCTTGATGGGAGCCGCTGAACGCGCAGACAACCAACTGCCCGCCGTATGGCCATCGCTCGTTGACCGGAATCTTGGTAGACTCTTCGCACACCCGAATGACCTTGTTGATGTCGCTGAAGTCGACTTCCGGCCAAACGCCCTGGGTGTAGAGATTCAGGGCCAGAGTGACCAGATCAACGTTTCCTGTGCGCTCTCCGTTTCCGAACAGTGTGCCTTCGACTCTCTCTGCGCCAGCCATCTGGGCCAACTCTGCAGCAGCAACAGCACAACCCCGATCGTTGTGGGGATGCACTGAGACGCAGATCTTCTCACGTTCGGTCATATGGGTGCAGAAGTACTCGACCTGGTCGGCGAAAACATTGGGAGTCGACATCTCGACGGTCGCTGGGAGGTTGAAAATGATTTTGGCGTCTTCGGTGGGTTCCCAGGCTTCCTTTACAGCGGTGCAAATCCGCACAGCAAACTCCGGAGACGTGTCAGAGAAGGTCTCGGGGCTAAATTCAAACAGCCATTCCGTCCCGGCCTGGCTGGGGTCGTCTTTGGTGAGGGATCGAGCGAGTTTGGCGCATTTAACGGCCAAGGCAACGCTTTCGTCCTCGGTCATCCCAAACACGATTCTCCGGAAGCAGTCGCTCGTGGCAAGGTATAAGTGAAGAATCGCTTTTTTGGCGCCTCTCAAGGACTCGACCGTTCGCCGAATGAAGTCCTCTCGGCACGGGGACAAAACTTGTAACCACACGTCGTCCGGGACTACACCGGGCGTTTCGACCAGGTATCTCGTAAAGTCATAGTCTGTCTGCGAGGCCGATGGAAAGGACACTTCAATCTCTTTGTAGCCCAATTCGACGAGCATCTTGAAAAAGCGGAGTTTTTGGTCGCCATCCTAGCGTCGTCAGTTCATGTTCCTGCGCCTGTCCAAAGGACTCCATACCATGGGATCTGGCAAGCTCTGGTTACCATCCCGCAGGTCGGTAGCAAGCCACCGCGGAGGCTTGTCGTTGGTCTTGTTCGGCCATTGTCTGTTCGGCAGATCGAGGGGTTTAAACTTGCGGTATTTCTTCCAGGGTTCACGAAGCCTGCAAGCGCCGGTTAGCAACTTCCGTACCGATTCAGGAACAACATGTATCGTACATAGGCATCTTTGCGACTGTTTGAGGGAGAGTTGCCAGTCAGCGCAGATGAGATGGAAAATGCCGCAGTCGGGATGGCACCGAAGGACAAAGGTCAAAGCCGAGAGTGTGCCACTGGCAGGATTCAATCTGACAACTTGCTGCTGCTGAATAGCTAGTACTCGGGACACTCGGTCATATACAATCCTCGAGCTGGCCGTGAGTCACTGCAGGTGGTAGAAACGCTGGTGCTGGAACTGGCCTGTGGCTGTCGGACACGCAAAAAGTCTCCAGTTGAAGTGGGGGGCAAAAATATCATGCATCGAATTGGCGAACTTGGACTCGGGCCTTTCTTTCCTCGGCGCCGTCACATTTGATCGCTTTCAGAAGTTCTGTGGGGAAAGACATGCCCTCGACAATTGCCAGTTTACTAAAATAATAAAGGAGCCACCCCCGTCCGTAAAGAACCGACAGTATGCGCATAATGTTGTACATTCCATAATCAGTACAGTAGTAACTGAACAAACACAGCTTCTGCCTCATCTGGTCTCAATGAAGTCGACTCCCTATTGTTTTATGTATTAGTACAACTTGATAGTATGTACCAAACGGTGTGCTGCAATGTCATTGTATCTACTGCAGTACTGTACGACATACGCAACAGTGTTTCATCAAGGCCGTGCAGGAACAACACGGTGCATTGCATACCACACAGGTATCTCCTAACCCTCCAGCCTTGTCCGCACCTGGTTCTCACCTGCCAATTTGAACATCAGCTCAAAGAGTGCCAGTCAACCGTACCGTCTCTTGCCAGCCCCTCCATCGTCTTCATTCCCCTCCAACCTGGTCTTCCTTAATGCGACGATTGGCAGGCGAACCTCCTTGAGAGCCCGTCCCCGGTGCTCGCCCTAACGATGAAGAATCCATAATGACTTGGATAGTACCTTGTGTCTTTCCCATTTTCATTAAAGGAGACCTTGATCCACGTTTGCGCTTTGAAGCATTCGAATTCGACCGTTGCCGGTGAATGTTGAGGGACAGCGACTTCGCACCGAGGGGGCCAAAGCTGACCGCCCCTTCTTTCCCAGGCCATTGACGAGGCGACCCTGGGCTCGCGTCGTGCTTCAAGCGGTCGCTGATGAGAGCGCATGTGCTCCTGATGCTGCTCTCCGAGTACGTCCGTCGTCGCTGCTCTTGGTTTCCTACTCGCCGGGGCCACTGTCCGTCGTTGGACTCACCACGGCCTGTTACCTCTTCCACCTTGATAACGTTACTCGGTTCTGTTCGGGCTGCGAGATGAGGCGACTGTGGTCGACTCTGATCTGACACAGAACGGGGAGTGTTGGTCGGGGCATGCGTCCCTCGGGCCGGACTTTGTGATGCTCTGAGGGCTTTCAGCAATTCTTCCTGTCTGTCTGGGCTCAGGGCCTGCACAATCTCTTCGGGATTGGCCTCGTTCATATGCTTCAAGAAGTTGGCTCGTGGGAAGCTGGCACCGGACATCTCTGTGCAGGCACCGCTGTTGTCAGTCTTGTTCGAGGTGTAGTCCGGCATGGAGACGTCATGGCTGGTCGACCTTAATTGTAGTCGCCATTGTTGTGTCGAGATTGGCTGTGGACAAATGAACGGATCATCACTGCCTGTTGCTTTTCCTGCAGGCTCTTGATGTTCCGGAGAGTCCTTTTCGACGAATCCCAAAGTTATGGCCTTGCTGATCGGATCAGACTGAAGATCCGAAAATGTCTGCGCATTGAGTAGTCTCTGAAAGCCGTCAAATCCGCTCGGGGGCGGTTTACCGCTGCGGGCAGCATTAGTCGGGCGAAGAGGAGAGTGAGAATGTGCTTCGTAACCGGTTATTGGGGGAAGACGCGTTCCGATCGGGGCTGGTCGACTTGGTCGCTTGGAGAGTCTCGCAAAGATTTTCGCGTTGGGCCATGCTATATTTGAAAACTCGAGGATATCTAGTTTGTTTAGTCCCACGGCTCCTGGAGCGTAGAGGCAACATACTTTGCGGTGCGTGCTGGAAGGAGAAAATAATAATATCTCGAAGCCGGTCAAACATTGGCTCTGGAGGCGCCGGCGGAGTCATTTCTCGCAGGACTCCTTCCGATATCACGACCTTGATCCGGCCGAGGCACTCGCCCGGTTCCCAATGTGGTTGCTGGAGGATCTCTTTGTGAAAGGCCGGAAAGCGAAGTTGTGGTTCTCCTTGCTCTGAACCATTAGTTTTTCACCTGACTCGAAGGAAGCCGACAACAACCTGTATCTCCTGTTTTCTATGAGTCCATGCATACCAAGTTGCAAGGAAATGTGTGTGCGTACCAATGACCTCAGGCCAGACTCCGCCTTCGAACATGCGTTGGCTTTGCGTGCGGTTAGCGGAATCCAGTGCTTTTTCATTTGAACAGCCTTACGCCACCAGACCTCCGTCAAGGTACACACGACTCTGGAATCGCACCGATTCACTGGGCATTTTGTAATTCAGCAAGATGGCTGAAGGCTTTGGCTTGTCCCAACTGTGGATGGACACACGGAATGGTGCGCCATGTTCGAGACTTGCCACGAAGGAGGTCAGAGTGGGAACGACGGTCATGGACTCGAAAGCGATACGGTCTGCATCGAGTAGCGGCTGAGCGACTGGGATTCCGACATCTACCCTCCGTTAACCTGTCACTGCACAAAAGGTCCCTCACTCACTCTGTTCCAAGCCATAGCACTTGGTGTCGAATTCCTGGATCGGGACTCTAGAACCGCCGGGAAACAGCAGAACATCCCAGTTCTGATATCGCATGGCGACGATGAGCGTACATGCACCAGCTGAGGCAGTGTCAAGGAAGAACGCATTGTGGCAAAGGGAAGATGGCATGGAAAAGAGTTGACGATGCCCCCCGGACGCGCTTTCCACGGTACACGAACGAGCTCTTCCAGAAGGCAGGAGCGAAAGTCGGTACGGAACTCGGAGCAGTTAAAATTCAAGTTGATGCCAGTGCCCAAAAAGCAACCGCAACTGAGCAGGGACGGAGAGAACGATAGAGACATCGCAGCAACTTGAAGCCCTGGAGCAACACATGACAAAGTGCTTCAAGTTTGAGCTTGTTGTAATAGTCATCCAGATACCCAAGGAATATTCTCCATAGAACTTGACGGACGAGTAAATGCCGCACTGCACACATTGTAAAGGAAATTGCAATTACGCTCCCCATCCTTCCTATACCTACTGTAACCATGCCACCACATGCGTCCCTTAGGTATGTCCAATCACTGTCAAAAATCATTTTCGTCTGAAAACAAGAAACGGGTATTGTAACCAAGAAAAAAAGAAAACTGCTTCAAAGGATAGATAGCACTTCCCGGCGCCCATGCAAACATTGCACCGTCCGTGTGAGCGGCGCGGGTGCTCCAAGGGGAACGCCAAACACCCAACCCGGTAAATGATACAAAAGCTTCCAAATGCCCACTACTATTCGCCACTTGCGTCTAGGCTGAAATCACCGCCCACTCCGATCCCCGTGCCGTCAAAGTTGAAGGTGTCATCGTTTGTCGTGTTAAGAAAACTGTCAAAATCGAAGTTCTCGAGTACGTCGCTGTTTTCCAGGGTGCTGAAGTCCAAGTTGAAGTTCTGGTCGGGTCCATTGAACTCGGAAAACGCGTTGGGTTGCGAGAGATCTGGTTGATGCATCTGGGGCTGAGCTTGAGGCATGTTCTGGTTCGGCGCGGCAGATTGGTTATTATTCTGCATGTTAGGGGCTGCCGGTTTGCCTGAAGAATTGAAGCCAGGTGGATGCACTGGTGTAATGGGCGTAGAAGGTGTTGGAGTGGCAGGAGGCTCGTTCTCAGAACTGGGAGCATTGGCGGTCGAGTTCTTCTTTGCCGGCCGCTTCTTGTTCTCGTCCTTGGCCTTCTTGGCCTTTGGATTGGGCTTGTTAGTTGTAGACGGGGTCGGTGGAGCATTGCCGTTTTGCGGCGACGCCGGCTGGTTGCGCTGGGCATTGTTGCCCGCTGGGGCTTGAGGAGGTGGCATTTCATTCCTTTGGCCAGGCGTACCGATGGGCTGGGGCTGACCTTGAGATGGCTGCTGGGCCATGGGCTGACCACCCTGGAACTGTTGTGCCATGCGATTCTGTTGCTGTTGGCGTGCCATGGATTGCTGCATTTCCATAGATGTTGGTGGCCGCATGTTGGGCCCGCCCGGTCCGACCATACCCTGATTCTCCTTCATAAACATGGCTGGATTAAAGTCAGAGGCCGGCATCCCATTCATGAAGTTCATGGGGGCAGGTGATCGTCCCGCCATCGCTTCCGCAGCTGAAGGGGAGCCTGGCATTCCTCCCATCTGAGGTGTCCGCTTCATCTGGTCGGCGGGATTGGGCGACGTCCCTGTCCGGCTGTTCGACGGCGACATCCCAGCAGGCTGCATGCCGACCAGGGGTCCGCCATCTCTGTTCACAGCATTGTCTTGTTCTTGTCGAGCCATCATCAGCCTTTTCTTATTCTGCTGTTCCAGCAACATTAACTGCATCTGATAGTCTTGCAAGGCGTGGTTCCCACTCTGGCCGCCTCCGGGAGTACCCTGCATCTGTTGACCGGCCATTCTTTGATTGTACATTTCCATTTGCATGCTGTCGCTGAACTGGGGATTGATGCCTTGCATCATGGGGGATCCAGCGTTGCCCATATTCATCATTCCATTAGCCATCCCACCCTTTGACGCGTTAGTTGTTGTTCTAGGTTGCGGCATCTGCATGACTTACCTGCATTGGCTTCTGGGGCATGCCGCCATTCTGGCGGAATTGTGCGTTGTTCATGTTAGGGTTGAACGCATTCTGGATCATCATGTTCTGGGGAGGGACGTTGGACATTCCTGGCCGAACATTAGGCATCATGCCACCGTTGAATTGTTGACCTTCGAGCCGTGGTCTCTTGGACGGAGACCCACCGTTCTCCCCTTCCGCTGGTGAAGAGGCGCGCCCGTTCATCTCTACATCGCCTTGTTCGCGTTGCATTTGTTGCTGCTGCTGCAACAATGCCGCTTTACTCAGCTGGTGTACTTGTTGCGGTGTCCTAGGCTCAATCAGTGTTTGAACTGCTGTGGAAGCTGTGCGTCCATACATTTGTTTGCTCATGTCTCTTGGGACGTTTCCATTCATCATATTGTTGCGCATATTTGCGCGCATTGCAAACTGATTTGCGTTCATCATGCCCGGACGGGCCAGGTTCTGACTCTGCTGATTCTCTCGCATGCGCTGCATGTTCTACGCAACATTAGTCACTGACTCTTTCAAACACTGGCCCACAACAACCTACCTGGTGTTGAATGAGGTACTGCGCGGCAGGACCCAGTGCCTGAGCTTGACCACTCTGCATCTTGCTCGAGCGCTGATGAGCAGCGAAGAGATCGGAGAAGACACTGAACCACTCAAAAAGGAATCCGATGCCAGGACTATTGTTGTCACCGAAGTGCATAGGACGGGGTAGATCATCCGGAATATCGTCTTTAGCATCAGTGTCCATGGCATCTCCATCCACGCCGTTCACTTCTGGGTCTTTGCGACGACCGGGACTCTGCTTGATAGGCGGCCTTGTGCGGAGCTCAAACTTCTCTTCACGCAACAGGCTCCTGGCGATATCATAATGACCCAATCTCAAGAAGTATTCATAAATGTAGGTGTTTAACTGCATCTTGACTTGGTCCGGGGAGTGGCTGCCGCCGTTGTTGTTCGCTTGCGTGGCTGGGCTACCGTTGTTCATCATATTCATCCCACTCCCGACAGGTCCTCCAGCTGCTGCTGCAGGGTTCATGCCGGCCATATTCAACGTGACCACGAGCGTCGGGTATCGCTTACTCGGTTTGGTCGGGCGACGGGGACGATGGTCAGAGTCGCAGGAAAGCGTTGGGCGTTAATCGCAGGAGATTGTTAGGTGGGTCAGAGGATGATGGTCGAGGTGATTGTGATGGGACGTGGACGACGTGCGGAGAGTCGGTCGCGCAAACCGCCGGCGACTTCAGATGATGGGAGAAAGCCTCATTTTCCAAAAACAAAGAGGTAGCTATGAGTGAGATATCGGTGATGATGGTTAAAATGATATGATCGAACGGAGAGTATATCCAAAAAGGTGCTTTGGACGAAACACGGCCGCCACAAATTATCTGAGGTGTTAGCGAGCCGGCTAAGACTGAGGGCGCAAGCAAGTCAGACGAGACGCAGGATAATAGTCGATCGGCGAAATCTCCAGCTCGGTATCAAGATGGACTCGGCGATGTAGCGATATTGAAAGACGTAGATGAGGGAAAATATATCTCCAGAGAAGAGCACCGGGAGCCCCAGATGTAGTACCAGGTAGGAGAGATGGAAGGACTGATGGGGTGATCACTCGGTGGGCGAAGGCGAAAAGGCAGGAGAGAGTTCTCTGAAATTATTGCTGTGCCCAGTCGTAGTGCAGGGCCCGCGCCGGTGCCAGCGGTAGCAATGGTTAAGGCTGCGGTGAGTTTGGTACAGTGCCCGACCGCGCCGGGGTACCACGCAGGGGCACAGAGAGGTTCTCCCAGGCGCAAAACCAGCAGTCGGCACTGCCAGTACGCCTCCTAAGCAAAGCTGAGAGCCCGAGGGCGAGAGGAAAGTCCAAGGCAGGAGGGTAGGTAGGGCAGCAGGGCAACCGGCCAGCGGAGTGCTTGAGGGCGGAGGAGCTGCTCGGGAGGCAGTCTGACAGAGAAACCCCCAGCTCGGCCACTCAAAGGCTGCTCTCCCAGCCCTACGGCCAGGGCCCTGCGTATCCTGCAGCACGCCTTGCTTGAAGGGGACTGCCGCTGGTGGGGTGCTTGGCACTGGCACGACAACCTCACCTCCAGACTTCAAGTCGAGGGTTGAATAAACACCTCAGACAGTTGTCTACGACCTATCATTAATCACGACGATGGCTGATGAGTTGCACTGTAGTACCTGCCTGTACCTAACCACATATTACGGTAGTGTCAGATAAGGCAAAGTCTACTAATATGTACATGTCCACGTGAAGAAGTAGATATTGTCAGCATAAAACGAATGCTTATCCAGGCTCTACCGGATGAGTACAATAGTATTCTATCACTTGTGTTTTGATGGCAGCCAAACTGCGACGATGGTCTGCTGAAGATAGTTGCCCATGCCCCTTGACCCCTGGCTGAAACTGTTCCAGGGGTCTATCAGATCCTGCGACAGATCCGTGTCGCGCAAAAGGGGTCACATCACGTGACTCGGATAACCACAGACAGCAGACTGTTCGGATGAGATCCCTTGTCCCGAACCATTTGCATTTGGTGCTGCTCGTCACATTTATTCGTCGTCAGGAGGCATTTCGTCCTCAATGTATCGGAGCAGAGTGACTCGCATTTCTGTAACATCGTTGCCTCGAAGTACATCCGTAACAAAGCGGGCTTCGATGGACATTTGCACCTGCAGCAATGAGCCGTTAGCCTTAGGTTCGGACACATCAAAGCGACATCCATACCATCTCCAATGCTCCCCGTAGGATTCCGCAAAGGATATTCGAGAACCACAACTCGTCTTGGGCTCTTCCGTCGTCGGGTAGTTCGACAAAGTCTGCCAAAGGGTTCTCGTCAAACAACAAGGAGAACTGCTTGTTGTCGGCCGTCCAATTCGTGACAGTAGGCGTGATGTTGAGGAACATCTTGAAGCCGACCTTGGTCACTCAGTCAAGGTGCAATGAGAGTGGACTAGAAGGAGCCGACATACCTTGGAAATCATTTCTGCGGTATCTCTAAAGTTTCCGCAGCGACCGATGTTAGACTTTGCTAGAAAGTCTTCAATCAGACGCATGCCGATATTGTATCCCATCTTGTCGAGCTGCTGGTTAACCTGGGCGTAGTCGTAGTCGTAATCTGTACAAAGCTGGGCCACGATGGTCCCATAAGTGAGGGTGACCAGCTCTGCATTGACCTTCTCCACTCGTGTTCTAACCTTATGAGTATTCGAACACGAACCAGTGGGACATAACTCACTTCCAGACCCTGTTGTTGCGGTTAGTTTTGGGCTATAGCGACTGTGCAAGGCTGGCTTACTCTTCGCCCACCCGGGCAGCTTTCTGGCTGGAAGCCATGCAGATTGTTGCTGAGATCACCGATGTACTAGCATTTCAACCACACTCAGATCCTGGACTTAGTTAAATCCAGTTTCGCGGCCAACTTTGCATGAGCGAAAGCCATCCCTTCGGAAGCAAGATGGCCGCATTATCCCCAGGCATGAGGCTGTCATGCCCGATCTGTGCCAAGACTAACGGAACCACTTTCACTGCAGTCCGGATAAAGTACACCACAGCGTCACTGCATGCCAGCACTGCAGCGCGGGTGGCCGGACAATAGATTTTCCGACTTTCGTCCAAAAAGTTCAAGATGCCCGCGTTTAGTCAGTAGTATATACCCAGGTAGTACTGTACAGATACAAAAGTACCACTTCCCCCTACTGACAAGGTCTCATGAACCCGGACCATTCCATCTCCCACTCCCGTCAGTATGTCGTCAATCAAGCGACAAGCATCCGACAGTTTTAGCCAGCCGCAGGCGCTGGTGAAGCGACAAAAGTCGAGTTCAGACCTCAATGACAGCAAGGCCCTCACCGTTGGTGCAGGAGATCAGAATGGCGCGCTCGTGGCTTTGGTATGTGGAATTCTTTCACAGTCGATGGGTGGCGCTCACAGTGGTTTACCAGTCTCTTCGCACAAGCTCGCTTCCTGCCCCGATCATGGAACTGACCGGTACGAGCCACATTCCCTACTGAAGAAGTCAGCAGCTAAGACCATACAGGACATTCCGGCGAAGTCTTTGCAGTGCGGTTCGATCCTACCGGTCAACATATTGCTTCTGGGTCTATGGACCGATCGATAAGTATGCGTGCGACCGGAGCTTGAGACTGTATATTCTGACACTGGTTATAGTGTTGTGGAACACGTACGGACAATGTGACAACTATGGGATTTTGACCGGCCACAAAGGTGCTGTGCTGGACTTACAATGGTCTCGCGACTCCAAAATAATATATTCTGCGTCGGCGGATATGACGGTGGCCAGCTGGGACCTAGAAACTGGACTACGGATACGCAAGCATGTGGGCCATGAGGAAGTCATAAATTGCCTGGACCTGAGCAGACGAGGACAAGATCTATTGCTGAGTGGCAGTGATGATGGGTGCATCGGGATATGGGATCCTCGGCAAAAAGCCGCTGTCGACTATATTGAGACCGAATTCCCCATTACAGCGGTTGCCATGGCTGAGCAAGGGCACGAGATCTATTCCGGAGGGATCGACAACGACATTAAGGTGTGGGATGCTCGCAAGATGGAGGTCATATACACTCTGAGTGGCCACGGAGACACGGTCACCTCCCTGGAAGTCTCTCCAGATTCGCAAACATTGTTATCAAACTCTCACGACTCGACGGTGCGAACGTGGGACGTCAGACCGTTTGCACCAGTCAATCGCGCTGTGCGTGTCTACGACGGCGCCCCTGCAGGTTTCGAAAAGAATCTGATTCGCGCAAGCTGGAGTCCTAAGGGAGACAAAATCTGCGCAGGTTCTGGCGACCGGACGGTAGTGGTTTGGGACACTCGATCCGCCAAATTACTGTATAAACTGCCAGGCCATAAAGGGACAGTGAATGACGTACGGTTCTCGCCAACCGAGGAGCCCATCAGTGAGTATAGCATCCTATACAAGCGCAACGTGTGGCTAACGGATACAGTTGTCTCCGCATCGACGGACCGCAATCTGATGTTGGGCGAGCTTGGAAGGTGATGAGAGGCTAGGTTCGGGGCCTTGCGACCTCGAATCTAACCATGATATGCAGAAGCACGGCGATCAGGCTAGTATCGGCATGAGCTGGCTCTCACAAGAGAGTCATGCACTCGAGTCTACCGCACTAGTTCAACAAGGCACGATTTCCGTTAAGGACTCGCTGAAGTCTTCGGGTGGACGAATTATTACAGCAGCTTCAGGATCGAGAAGTTATTATTACGGCCGGCTGCCGCTTGTTCAGAGATACCACGTCGCAGATGCATAACATTTAGGAGGCTTGACAGAGGACGTTGTGGTGTCCTCTTTCACCGCAACTCGAGGCATCTCGCAACAAAACTGACACTCAAATGGTCCGGTGTCTTGTGCGAGAGGCGGCCGCCAAAGCCGCGTTTGTTGGGCACCAACAGCATGATTGCAGTTTGGAAGGGCTGTCTGTAACCATAATAGACATGGATGCAGGATACATTTACTGCACCTTGCCATCCCATCAACGGTTGTCTGCAAAATGGCGAAAAGTCAGGGACTGGTTGGAGATGGAGAGCGCGCCAAGTGTCGGGAAAAAAAGTGGGAGAGACGCGAACTTCCAGGGTCGTGTTTCAGGTCGCGTCCCCGTTTTGACGAGCCTCAACTTGAACTCAGCTACCTACCATGGACGTGTCTGTTCTTCTGCCCAGACAACGTCTGCAGTGGCAGTCGACGCACTGAACGGACCATTGAAGTCTCGTTCTACCATGAAGGCGATTCCGATGACCTGTCGAATGTGGCATGACGGTGGTGAAGGGTTAGGAATTGTTTCACCCATTGGCCCTCAGTCCATTCCATGTCTATCTGGACCATATCGACGGGACTCGTTGTCGCAAAGAAACAAGATGTATCTTCATCCATAACGGCCGCTGGTAGGAAAATGGTCAAGTCTTAAACACCCCCATACTGGCGCGGCCCGTACGTGTTCGCGATTCCCTGTTGTTGTGCTTTGCTTGTTGTGCTTTGCTTGTTGTGCACTTCTTGAGCCCAAGTTTATGAACCCCTCGCATTCACCCGAGTCTTCACCATCTCACGCGTCCCTTTTATTGCAACGTGCCCTCCACAATTCTTCTTCCTCCTTGAAGTTGAAGCCGTGTGAGCAGTGCTCAGCACGATTCAAGAAATCCATCTTGAAGCACCCAACATTTTTTTCATGGCTATGGGGAGAGCGTCTTCGCGCGGCTACTACTCCTCGCGCGATATACGGCAGACTGCCATCAGCGGAATATCGCGTCTATGGCGGGGAGACCATGGGCCGATCGAGTCCTCAGCCCCTTCAATTGCCCCAGGAAAGACGTTTGTGGTTCCGCTCTTTTTGTCGACGTCTAGGTCATCCGCCCGCAACAACCTATTCGTTCGAGATGCCGGCACCAGATCCCGCAGCTCAACACGCTCTATGATCGAATCTGCCCCTTCAACTCCTGCTGGAGTTCGACCCTTGTCGGTGCCGGTGGACTCTCGGAGTGAAACCTCAGATATGTATGGGGGCAGTTTGCGCGAGGGCAGCCAGACCGATTCCCATGCAGAATCCGTTGAAACGTCAACATCACGGAACACGGAGCGCCGAACAGGGCATTCGCAGCGCTCGGTTTCTTCGCGATCAGCTCGCAGCGGCAACGGCAGTAGCCGAAGCACGCGGTCCTCCAGACATCATCCTGAGACCCAACTTGCCGGTCTGTCGAGGAGAAGATCATTCGGCGATCCTCGAGTGAATGCAAAAGCCAGGATAAGCTTTGCCTTCGGCATTACCCTTATCATTGCTGTGGTGATCTGTAAGTTCCACCGATCGATAGTCCCAACGACAAAAGACGGCCGGCTAACACAATATTGCATGGCAGACCTGGTGCTTTCCATTACCGGCATCGCACGAAACACCATGTTCCATGTCCTCTCGATTCTGCTGATCTTGGCATTATCCGGGGTTTTCTGCCACCAGCTCATCCGCATGTTCATGCTGATGCGACGGCCGCGGGGGTCACGATACAAACATAGACACAGACCCAGCGGGCGTCACCATGCAAGACAACCCAGAGGTCTGCGAAACGCACCGCATGAGCATTGCGAATGGACGAGCGGTGTACATGGTGGGATGGCTGGAGAGGTGCCTCCTCCTGAAAAGCCGATCCAAATATTCATGGCCTCCGATGACGAGCCTGGTGGCGGTGACATCGAGGCAATGGCACTGGCTCCTGAGCACACCGTATCGATACCTCCACCACCACCTGTCTATGGCAACTTCCGCACAAGCAGGGCATGTCTATCCCATCCGTACTCGTGAAATATATCGATCTACCTGTGACTAACCTTGTTGCTCCCAGCGTATGAATCCGGATTTCGTCCATGTGAAACACATTCCTCTTTCGCCATTGACTCCGACATACGACCAAGCCATGGAACAAATTCAGCGCAATCTCGGATACCGACCACCGAGCTATGACTCTGAAAACGGAATGACGGAAGTCATCGAAGCGCAAACCAGAGATGTTGATGCTGCATTAGAGGGTATTCATCCCCTGGAACGGGAGCGGATGCGCACTTTGGCGGCCGAGGCACTCGAAGGACGTGGTGAACATCATTCTCAGAACTGATGTTTATATCTTAACACTTTCTACATTGTTTCGAATCGCAGAAGACTGATTTGTCAGATTATTCCATTCACGACTATCGAACTACTGGCAGACTCCATTCCTCGAAGCCATGACTTTCCAGCTTCAACATCGTACAGATCATGCAAGGGGTATCATATGCAGTTGTTTCTCCATCTGTCTCCAACCTCCACTATTTAACGCGTGTTGTTGAGATGATGTAGTCGATGCATGTTCCAACGTCTAGTGTTTGGCAGCCTCCTTGTGGACATCGGCCTTGCGGTCGTGAGCCTGCTCGTCGAACTTGTCGGAGATGGCATCACCAGCGGCCTGGGCGCGAGTAGAAAGGTTCGCGTCGCTGTCCTTGGCCACGTTCTTGTTGGCTTCCTTCGAGGCCGTCGCGGAGGCGCCCTGGATCGTCTCGCTGACGTAGTTGGCGGCGTTCCTGATATGCTATGTTAGTACAAGAGTCTACAACAAAAGACCCAGGGGAGTGTTTTGGTAGGCATACTTGATGGTATCCATTTTGATAAAAGATGTGTGATGTCTTGCGACTTGAAAGTTGTTTTGATGGTAGAGTCTTGTGAGTGTTGTTTTTTTGATTTGAGTCTTTCTGATGATGGATGATAGAATTGTCCTTTGAAACTCACCGATCCGACTGTTTATATACACGATTCCCCTGCCCCTCGAACGCAGTCAATGCGTAGGTCACCTGCATCATTCTTGGGACGGACGGCCGGACAAACAGCGTCGACGTCATACCCGGAGTAGCATTACGTCAAACGTGACCAATGGGACGATCGGACAAAGAGGAATCTCCCTCCACGTGACTGGGTGACGGTGGCTTGGCAGATCGGTGCCTGCAGTGGCGGCCGCCGATTGACGTAAATTCGGTTTTCCGATCTTTCCATTCAAGTTGCTTTCAGTTCTTTTCACCTCCGCAGATGCACCCTGGATGATGATGCCAGGGACGAGAGGATACACGTAAAGGTACACTGCACGAAAGGGTGTTCCTGGTCCCTCAGCCATCTTCCATCATTGTCGCTTCCAGCCACTGTGGCTCTGATCTTGATGCTTATTTGTGGAAGCAACAATTTTCCGCACAGCTTCGTTGATCCACAGCTCTTAGTTTCTCCGTCTTACCATTTTAGGCGGCCTTCTGAAGATGGGATACAAAAGTAAGACCATCCACATCGCGGGGCCAAACGCAAGCCACAGATGCCACGGCGTCCCTGCGACGGTGCTCTTTCGTCGATTGTTGCTGTCCTGGCCAAGCAAAAAGAGCAGACCTTGTGAATTCTAGAACAAACCTACATTCTTATGTATAGCCTGCCAGCTCTACCACTCTCTGCATACACCGTTGTATATTGAAGAGCCAAGCAGCTAATAGATACAAGTGCTACTGCTAATGTCCGAGTCATCCGAGTTGTCACTGCAGAAGAAAGTTTGAAGTAACAATCCCATCACGAAGTGCCAGGGATCGTGAGAACTCTGCTTTCCGGAAGCTCGCGAGGCCGGCCAACTCCCGCAAAGTCATGACAGAAAAAGTGCGAAACGAACCTGAGCAGAATACCCGTGTCTACGAGCCTTTGAAGGTCCGCTTGCAAGGTGAGTTGGATCGTACAGCATCTAATTTTCCAGCGTCGTTGGCAATCGCTAGCAACCCCACTTGATAACGCCAACAGTGCCTTGTCTGCGCGAATCATACACCATACGCAGTACACGTGTTTATACCAATATACTGTGCAGTTCAGCTACAAACAAGTCACATTCCTATTAAAGCCGGCTGAAGATGCTGTGCAACGACACCTTTTCCGCCCTTATCAGATCTCCTCTGTCATTCGTTTTTGACCCTGAACTGCCAGTCATTACCGTGCGACGTGCAAGGCTGGCCAATAATCTTGCAGCGTGTTGTATACAGTTCTGAGTCCAGTCAGAGACAACAGCCGTCATGAAACACATTCTACTCTCTACACTCTTCGCAAGTCTTGCGTGGGCATGGCCACGACAGCCGGATACTAGTACTGCTGTCAATACCACAACATGCAATGGGCAAACTTACGTTTACGAGACCCTTGCAGGGTACGGCTTCACACCTTCTAATTCCCGTGACAAGTTCGGCGACACCGCCGGCGGCATTGGCAGCAGCGCGGCATTGGACACGAAGTCGTGGCAAAAGGACAAGTCCGGTGTCTACACCGGTATCTTGTGGGCTCTTCCCGATCGCGGTTGGAACACTGAAGGCACCTTGAACTTCCAACCCAGGGTGCACAAGTTCCAGATCACATTCAAACCAGACTACACCTCAACTGCAAAGAATCCCAGCTCGCCAAACCTCCAACTGCAACTGCTCGACACAATCCGCTTTACAGACCCGTCCGGTGAGCCTTTGACTGGCCTGGATCCAGACGGTCATGGTCCCTACATCACGTTTCCCGGATTCCCAGACCTTCCCTCGGCCACCTACAAAGGAGATGGCTTCGGAGGTAATGGCAACGGAGGAAGACGAGTATCTTTGGATGCCGAAGGACTTGTCCTCAACGCTGATGGATCATTCTGGATCTCCGACGAATATGGGCCATACATTTACCATTTCTCCCCCGAGGGCCGTATGCTCTCTGCGATCCAACCACCGGCAGCCATTGTGCCGAGACGTAACGGCACCGAGTCGTTCTCGGCGGCCAGTGCTCCCAGATACGACCCAGACCTGGAAGTGCTGCCCGAGGACAACCCGACTGGCCGGGCCAACAACCAAGGGTTTGAAGGGCTGACCGCGTCGCCGGACGGCAAAACTCTGTACGCACTGATGCAATCGGCTCTGGACCAAGAAGGCGGCAAAAACTCGAGCACGCGCGTCTACACTCGACTTTTGGAGTATGACGTGTCAGACCCGTGGAAGCCCGTGTACAAGGCCGAGTATGTCCTTGCACTGCCCAAAGATCCCGCCGGTCGAGTCGCAGCTCAATCCGAGATTCACTACATCAGCCCGACTCAGTTCCTCGTCCTTGCCCGGGACTCAAACCGCGGACATGGTCAGGACAAGAGTGATTCACGGTACCGGCACATTGATGTGTACGACGTCTCCAAGGCCACTGACATCCACGGCCCGACCTACGACTGCGCCGACTGTGCCGTGGCCACCGTCAAGGGCGTTTTGAACCCGGCCGTCACCACGGCCACCTACTGCTCCTGGCTAGACTTTAACGTCAACTCCCAGCTCAACCGGTTCGGCCTACACAATGGCGGAGCCCAGGATGCGGGACTGTTGAACGAGAAGTGGGAAAGTATTGCTCTGGTCCCCGTCAACCCGGATGCTCTGGAATGCAAGAGCGGCTTCTTCAAGGCCGACGGCGAGTATTTCCTGTTTAGTCTCAGTGACAACGACTTCATCACTCAGAACGGCTTCATGAATGGTGGTCTGCTTCCTTATGCTGACGAGAGTGGCTATAGCTTGGACAACCAGGTCTTGGTGTTTAAGGTCAAGCTGCCTGTTTCTTGATGTGAGGTCAAACTTGGTCAATGATACATTTCAATAATAAAATGAAGCTCTCCATTTTGTTCGGTTCTTGGCACACACAGTGTGATCGAGTTGCTTCCAACAGGCCATACCATAATATATATTCTATAATCTCTCAAAAGTGCCGTGAGCGAATTGATTGATGGAGGTTTCAATCAGCGATCAGGACCTAAATAATGGCGTGTCCCCCCCACACTGCACTTGAAGATTGCCCAAGTACCATACATCAATGGTATATCGACCACCTATCCGTTTATTTGTTCATTCAATTATATACAAATGTATATATTTATTGTTTATTGTTTGTTGTTTATTGTTTTATCTGCCTGCCTTAACGGGTCATCACATCCCGTCCCACACGTTCCAAAAACAGCCAACTCGCCCTATCGTGCTGAAAGGGCAACGGCAAAAATCCATCGAACTTTCTGACCTTTGTGTAGCGGAGGATTTTGCGTACGACTTCATTGACGGCTTGATCTTCTGTTTCTTCTGGTGTTGACGTTGCCGGTGATAGCTCTGATTCTGGCTCTGATGCAGTGGCAGCTTCTGATGGTCTTGGTCTTGGTATTGGTGGCTCTTGTACCGTCACTGTTTTGTTAACAGTAGGGCCGGCAGCCTCGATCTCGGATTCGCTTTCAACCGCACACGAGTCACAGTAGAGTTCGGCCTGTGCTTGTGCTTGTGCTTGTGCCTGTGCCTTTTTCAACTCGAGACGACATGCCAGGAACCGAGAGTAAGCCGTGGTTGTTGATTTTGTCGTAGTTTGATTTGTCTGATGATGATTTTCGGCCGGTGGACTACTTGTCCTCCTTGGCTCAGCGGATGCACCCTGAGTAGTAGGACTGCCGGTGAAGGCTGTCTTGATCGCTGTCGGTTCTGTTTCTCTTTCAGTCCGCTCGGATTCGGCCTTGTCATCATCATCATCATCGTCTTCTTCGTCGTTGCCCCGGTTGTTTCCCGAACCTATCTGGTCCCGCGGATGGCGGAGGTATGGTGATCTGCAACTACAAGTCGACTCTGAGGGTTGTCGCTTTCCGCCGTCCGAATTCAACATCCTGGGTCCGGTTCTGACACCGCGAGGAGCAGCAGCAGCAGCGGCGGCGGCGGCGGCGGCGGAAGCGGCATGAGGAGTAGTACCTGGAGGAAGGATGTTTCTGAAGTTGGTGTTTCTTGCCGCCTCTGGCTCCGGAGCAGTAGCGAAACCAATAGGCGTCGTCTTCGCCTTCTTCGCCTTCGTTGCTTTCATTTCGAACTTCTCCGGAACAGGCAAGACTTGGATATCACTTCCCTCGGCCCGGGGGAGGCGGGAAATTTCACAGATACCATGGCTCATGACGTGGGTCTGGGGGACGAGATAGATGAGCTGGGTGTTGGGGGTTAGAAGAAGACTCGAGATGGTAACGTGCGTTTGAGGATGGAGAATCGTCGACACCGTAGGAGATGAGAGGAGGTAGGTTTTGCTCTCGGAGGATGAAGGTGAGGATAGGGTCGATGGTGAGGACGAAGCGGCGCTGTCGCGGCGCTGCTCCTGATGTCTGCGTTGATGTTGGTCTTGACCACCCTGATGTCGCTCGAAGCTCGGATTGTAATGATAATGACGGTGGTGGTGGTGATGGTGATGATGGTGACTACCTTGACTTCTTGGTGGTAGCAGCCCCTGACGGACATGGGAGTCCGGCCGGGAGTCCGGCGATGAGGATGCTGATGCTGATGCTGATGCTGATGCTGATATTTGATCCTGATCCCTTTGGTCGCCGCCCTGGGTTCTGTCTTGGACTGTGCCGCAGTGAGGAGATCGCAATCGAGCTTGATCTATTCCTGTGGATGGGGACGGTATATTCGTGTTCCTCTGGTCAGAGCTGCCGTCATTGCTGTCGTCGATCTCGGACCGGTGTCGGTGCGCAGGTCTGGTTTCCGTCTTGTCGGCGATATCTCCAACACCATCACCCTTCTCTACGACCACTTGGTTTCGTGACGGTGTCCGTGACATGTGCCGCTGCTGCTGCGTCTGCGGCCGCCGAGAAACCGAACCACGAACCAACCCTTGCCTGCCTGCCAGAGACCGTTGTTGTTGCACCGACGACGGAGCCACGATGCAGTTCCACCTCCTGTTACCGTTGCTGCCATTTGACCTGGACGCCGTCCCTGCGCATCTTCCGCCAGGGTATGCAAAGTCCCAACATGCTATACCCAAAGTCTCCATCGGTCGTGACAGTCAAGAACGACCCAAGCCTTGGCTGTGTTGGATAGGGGGAGTGATAGAAGAGGCGGTCCTCTTCACCCGTGAGAGTAGAAACCAGAGCGGTCCTTCTCCGCAGAGGATAGCCGTAGATGTGGGTGTGGATGTGGGAGTGGGAGTGGATTTAGGCGTTAGCGGGGTTGTACAATGTTGTACAGTATATCAATAGCCCGCCGATAGAGACTTCGGACTTGTCCTGCCATAGACAAATCACTTTTGTGCAGAAAGAAAAGGAACGTTCAGTGTGCTCACGGTTCAAGGTAGGGTATTCCAATTACCCCAGCCTCAGTTCTGACCTTGTGTCGGTAGCTTCCGTCACGGTCCGCGGAGTATGGTACCTAGGTACTGTGGACTACTGTCCAGGTAGTAGTAACATTGTAGTACTGCCCTCAGCCGTTGATGATCGCTCGTGAAAGATGGGGCAAGCAAGACATCTCTTGCTTGCATGAGATACTAGTACTAGTACCTACTTTACGCACCTCAGGCTACCGAGGCATGTGCGCAAGGCTGCGAGGGGTCTAGATGGTTGCAGGGGGTAAGAACGGGAGCCATCCTGGTGGTCTGGCCTGACCGGTGTTACCTTAGCTTACCATACCGGCGATCAAATGGGCCAGACGGCAATTGCACTTACTGACTTGGGCAGGTGTAAAATTTTGCAAGTTGAGCAAATAATCTGAGCCGACCAGACTTTTGTCAAAGTAGCATGATCCTGTCTGTTGTCTGTGGAGAGAATAAATATGAAGGCGGCGTATATGTATTTTTGCCGTGGCGTGAATGGTCATGTTATCCAAGTGGCGGTGGTGAGAGCGCGGTCCCGTGGATGCTGGTGGCCATGTGAAATACAATACCTCGTACAGTACATTACAGTACAATAATACCGAGTGATATCCTCCCGTCCGCGGAACTGGATGATGTTCTATAGGAATCGTACATTCATGCGCGTCGAATGATGAGAGATTCTCTGGACTTCATCAACAAACGGTACTACTGTTGACTATGCCTGTTGGCTCCTGGCAGCATGTAATGGTCCATGAGATTGTGTGCTTGCTTTGCTGTCGCTAATCAGAGTTTGGCTTTTGGCCGTTGGTGGTAGTTCGACGCTGTTGTGGGTACTGGTACTGGCGCTGGTGTGTAAGAGTTGTAGAGTTGCGAAGAGGGTGCAATGTCGCAGGAAGATTAGGTCCACAGGTGTACAGGCGCAGATGCCAACAATGCTGCATCTCAAAGGATGATGCCGTCTGCACCTTGTTGCAAGTATGGCCTTTCTCGTCGCCTATCCCCAGAGGACATATCTGCCTTTGATCTCCCGTTTGAACCAGGTCATCAGACCATTACTCAAGGTAGCCAGCCATCACCAACATCAATCACCCGCTCGCGAATCTGCAGCTTTCCCAACCAGCTCAGCAAACTCTGCTAAATCCCAATATCGCCAGGCATACCCGACCAACCCCTTCTCCAGAGCCATCTTACTTTCCGCCTCTTTGCCCCATCGCGGCCCATCCCCAATCAACCAAACACTGCTCAAGCCCAACCTTTTGGCCGGAACCTGATCATGACCCAGACTCTGCGCGACATGCAGAATCTCATGCTTTCTGACGCCATGTTGACCACAATACTCGATCAAAGTCTCCAATTTGGCCTCGTCTGCGCGCGTAGCATCATCATCTCCGTAATCCTCTGCCGTAAAGACTTTCCACCAGTCGACTTGGCCCAAGCCGCTCGAGGAGTTAGACGTCGTAATAGCCCAAGGAAACTTGTCGATATTCGACAGCGCCACGAGCTTATAGTGCTCGCTCAATCGCTGTAGTGCGTCCACGGTGCCTTGAAATGCAGGCCAGCTTGCAATGACTTCCTCGCTGCCGAAGCGTTGGATTTCTGCTTCACTGGTCTCGACATTAAGCTCCGTCGCGATCCGGCGCCATATCTCGTGTAGAAGCTCGTCGAAGCGTTTTGCGGGTTTTTCGAGTTTGATGGCGTCTTCGTGTCGTTGAAAGAGCTTGAGAAACTCGATGGACCCCACGCTGGCGGAATCGGGTATTGCGGTTGATAAGGGTGTCGAGTTGAGATAGGGTGATGAAGAAGGTAGGCGGGAGAGAAGTGGTTGGAATGCGTTTAGGATGTGGGCTTTGTATTCGATTAGGGTGCCGTAGACGTCGAATGATAGGACTTTGTATTGAAGAAGGGGTAGGGGAGGGGTCGTTGGTTCAGGCATGGGGAGTGTCTCTGCCATTGTGGACACTACTAGTATTGACGAGACGGGATTGGCTTGTAGCTCTATTTCGATACCTTTATGGGATCGTGAACGTCCAGGATGGACGTGCCACAACGTTCAATGGTTATAATGGTAATGGGGCTGATTGACAGTAACATAAGCAAGAGGGCGTGTGTATGCTCATGTTGCGGGGAGTCTGGGGAAGAAGAATGGAGATGATGGGGGTCGATTGACAAGGCTGAATTAGGTAAGCAGCCAGCCTTGCGATTTCTACTACTGCCATACAGACTGACTGCCACCCACACGACGTGAACATTTTGCCTACTCTATCTATCTATGGAAGGGTAAACCTTGTCACAGACGCGGCATCTGCGCGTCAATATTACACCTACAAGTACTCGTACAAACGCAATGCCCCTGCCCATGTATGCTCAACCCAGCGAGGTCCTAAGGCCCTTGTTTGCCCGCCGGCTTCGACGAACTGGCGTGCCGTCCTTCTGCACCTTGACAACTTCCTGCTGATTCCTCACCTGCTGCTCAATCTTCTCAATCGCAGCAGTGACCTTGCTCACCCCAGCATCCGCTTTCCCAAGGCCACTATCGCCTGGCTCCTCGTCCCGTACTACCGCAGTAGCTTTGTCCTGTTTCGCCCGGTCCACCAATTTGACCAAAGACGTGGTTGGTTGGCGAGCTGTCGTGACCTTTCTCGTCACATTCCTACTCTTCGGTTTCGAAGGGCTGGCCTTCGCACTAGTTGCTGTTGTCGTGACAGATCGCTTGTTGATTTTGGCACCATGAACGCCAGATTTCCGTCTGTCATCCCGCTTGGGCTGTTTCAGAGGACTACCGCTGCCGCTCGGAATCGGCGGAATGCTCGGCTTTCCCGGTGATTGCGACCGTCTTGACGCTGTATCAGGGGCGTGCTGTAACATTGATGGAGGGAGCGAAACATCTCGCTCTTGTCGAGATTGTACATGCTCGAGGCTGTCTGATACATCCCGCATTTCCAAGTCCAAGCCCAAGCCTTGTCTAGAGAGCATCGACCGTGGCGATGGCGTGTCTGAGCGGTCATCATAGCCAGTCATCGATCTATTCTCCCACGTCGCAGGCAGGCATTCTGGCTCAACACTTTGTCGGACATAATCCTGCACTGATTGGGATGGGTATGGTGTTGATGTGCCTGACTCTGGAGCCGGGCGGGGCGTATCTGATCGAGTAACGAGATTTTGTGACGTCGGGTAAATGGAGATTACTGTTGTCCTAGACCGTGGCTGAACGGCAGAAGAAAGGTCGTTATCAATCTCTCGCCTTCTGAGGTGCAGAGAAAGATTACCCTGGGCCGCGACCGATTCTAGATGGGCATAATAATCACTTGCTTGGTGAAATTGGGTAGGAGGTAACAAGCTCAGACGAGCGGCTGTTGATTGTTCACCGCTGTTGTCGAGCCTTCTGGCATAGGTCGGCAGAGCCTTGGTGGATCCATCAAGTGATGAGGCTCCATCCAGCTTCTCCAGAAGGCGTATCAACTTGTTTTTTGGGGATTCCTCGTAGCCTTTCAGAATCGCCTTCTCCAACAGAGTCGCTCGCTCGAGGTACGCCGCATCAGCGTCCGGAGACCTGGCAGTGGTGTTGGCTCTGTCGCTGGCCGCTGCTGGACCACCAGACACTTCGGTGCCGCGTCCGTAAGAGTCGGGACGGCATGTACAAGGCGCACCGTTCGAGCAAGGGCAGTCTGGAGTAGAGATGTTCCCTTGTCTCAATGCTTCCACACCAGACGGATGGGCTTTAGGGGCCGTCAGCCTTGCCACACTCTCTGTGTTAGAGCGTTCATGCTCTTTCTCTGCTGGTTGAAGCATGTTTGAAGTTTCACATGTCTCTTCCTGAGTCGAAGTATTCCTTTCCGGCATCTCCGCTTCGGACCTCTGAGACCTGTCACCGGTTGTGTGCCAGACATGGGTTTCCTGCACATCAAGCGTCCCATTTTCCACCGACAGCACCTCACTGTCAGAGCCAGGGTCCTTGGAAGCATAGTACTCTCCTGAAAAGTCAAACAACTTCTTTGGATCGGTTCCCTTTGGGCGTTCTTGGCCGGGCTTCTCCGTGTTGTCATGTTCTTCACAACCCGCACAGCTACAAAGACCGGGGAAACAGCAGCACTTCTGGTCACCGCTGCCACATCCGCAAGTGTCCCTCTGATTATTCTCAGAAAGCCTGTTGTGCCAGGCCCGAGCGGCGTGTGCCGGCGGCCCCATGGTGCGGGCGGATCCATCACATTTGCAGTACAACGGGTTACAGAAACAATGTCCTTTGATAAAGCCACAGCCACAGGAACACTTCTGAGAATCCGTTTGTACCTCAGTCGTGGATGAGACAGGCGGATCCGCTGCACTTGACAGTACTCGAACCTTGTCCTGCGCATAGCTGTGCTGCTCCCGGGAAAGCTCCGGTTGAACTTGTCTCAAGGTACTGCGGAAACCGCCATCCCTGAACCAAGACATCTGTGGTTCGGACGGCGAGATACTGTCAAGTCCGCCGTCTTCTGCCTTGTACCCAAGTTCAGTTCCAAACTCCGAGTAGTCAGGGGATTGCTCGACAGTAGTTCGTTGTTGTATCTCTGGAGAAGCTCCAACGTTCGTTCCGCTCGCTAGGGACGACTGTCTAAATAGGCTCTGGAACTGATCGCCAGACTGAGGCCTCTCGTGAGGCAGGTGGGGAGTGACTGGAATGAAAGCGCTCTGAGTATATAGAGATTCTGGCTCTTCCCTTGCTGTGGCCTCTTCTTCAGAGGCTAGACGACCTGGCTCGCCATCTTCGAAGAGATCGTCAACATCACTGTTTCCAATCCGGCAAGTCGCAGATGGAGGGGCCATCGGAGGGGGATCATTCGGTACGTAGTCAGAATGCCGTATCGAGGTTTGACCTGGTGAATTTCGCGCGTGCGTGTAGTTTGTCCCGAAAATCCCAACCGGTCCGGGCTGTCTGTCGAGGTATTGACCTGCTCGCAGATCTTCCTCCCTGTGCCCTAAGACACGTTGTGTGTCTCGGGCCTCGTCCTCTTCAACCTCTTCCTGCTTTATTTGGACACTTGCACGGCGCATATGTCCTGGCGAAATTGGATCATAATCCTCTTCTAACCATGCGGAAGGCATCGTGTGCCAATACGGCTGTTCGGGAATGCTGTGGCGATTGTCTTCGAATCTACCGCTTCCCGAGTAGGCGTCTGCCGGGGGATCTCTTGTCTGAACACTATCTTCGTTGTCCGTATCTGTTTCGTTGGGTGCCTTTGTTGCTGGATCTGAGGAGATAAACATGGTTGAACAGTTTACTGCCCCCGAGTTCCACGACCAAACAAACAGAGACGACGGGTTTCTCATGGTGATAGTTGGTACAATGTCTGTGCGCCGGCAAGGGGTGAGGAATGCGGGCTGAGATTGGCAGCCAGCCTACCAAACAGGAATACCCACAAGAAGTAGGGACTTACATCAGGTGTCTTGCATTCCCTGGTATCTCGGCTGGGGTCAAGCCACAGCAGAGCGTTCAGATCATGGAAGGGCCTCCAGACAGGCAGATGCCCGGGAAGGCTCCAGAAATGATTGTTATTAAGCTTCTGCTCCTACCTTATGCAATATCTTTTCGTCTTCTAACACTGTCTAACCTTTGACGGTATGAAACAGTTGACTGCTGGTACGTTCGAGTAGTGCTTGGGTGGTGAGTAGGTGCCAGGGCTAAATGAGCACAGCCTATTGAATCAACAAGGTCATCCAGTGCATTCTGTCCTTACCTTGAACGTGCCTACTCCAGGTCGAGCCGAATGCTCGTGTAAGACGAACACATGTCGATACTCTGGGAGATCGTTATGTTACGGCCCAGGTGTGTTCAAGCAGTGGTAAGCATTGGCCACTCATGAAACAGCGTAGATGGAAGCTGAAAAGGCCAGACGTCGCCAAGCGGAGTGCGGTGGGAAACATTATTGGAAATTGCCGGATGTAATATGTCGCCTCAAAGGTCTTTTGTCGGGTACTGAAGCGAGTCTGAGTGTTGAGGAACTCCACGACATGCCATACCAGGAAAGGGTTTGTTCGTTTTCAACATCAGGGGGATTTGGTCGGCAATCGGTCAGTGTAGAAAATTGGATCCGGGGCATTCCCCGCACTGCATCTTCTCCAGTCTGTGGGGAAAGGTCAAGGCTGGAGGCCACTTGAGTACTTACTAGCATACAATTGAGAGGGAGACCTCACAAGATGGGGCTTCGGCAGATGTCCTGCTTCTTAGGACGCGGGGAGAACACGCGAATAATATATCCCACCATGAAACTGTCTCACTCAAGACTTCCAGTGTACAAAGCGTGACCATCGCTGCATCATAACGATCGCAAGGACCGTGTAGACTCGCCTCTTCTCAGCGAAAGAACAACAGAGCATTGAAAGTCATACTCAGCAATCATGCCAGGCCTCCTTGTGACTCCAGAGACGGAATTCAAGACCCTCAAGATCAAGAAGCTTCATCCGACTTTTGCTGCAGAGATTGAAGGGGTCGACTTCAGCAGACCAATTCCGGACGACGTGTTCCGAGAGATTCTTGCGGCCTCTGCAAAGGTATTACCGATGCAACCCATAGTTTTCACAATGAGGTTAGCTTCCGTTGTCGTGACGGCCTAGCTGACTGCTTGCACAATATATCAGTATGGAGTGATCGTTTTCCGCAAAACCGGGCTCGACGACACAGGCCACGTCGAATTCTCTCGTCGGTTCGGTGAGCTGGACGATATTAGACCGTATATGACGAATGGCAGAAAGCCTCGGTATGAATATTACGAGCTCTTCGATGCGGGAAATATCGACCCGGAAACCAACTCAGTCTTGAAGCCCGACAGCCCCCGTTCACAGTACAACAAAGGCAACGCCTTGTTTCATGTCGACTCGTCGTTCAACCCGCGCCGGGCATCTTATTCCATCCTGAAAGCCCATGAACTACCGCCCCCGGGGACTGGGGGCAACACGGGTTTTGCCGACACACGCACAGCATTTGAAGAATTAGATCCCGAGCTCAAAGCTGAACTGCTGGAGCACGACTATGTCGGTGCTCATTCGCTGTATTCCTCACGCAAAAAGGCAGCGCCCGAGTACTTCAAAGACGTCGATGTCAACAACTATCCCATGCATAAGCATCGGATTGTGCAGAAACACGAGCCATCAGGTCGAATGAACCTTTACATTGCGGCTCATATGGACCACGTGGAGAATGTGTCTGCGGAAAAATCCAAAGAATTGATGGAGAAGCTCATGGCGCATGCCACGCAGGAAAAGTACACCTTGAGTATTCCTTGGAATGACCCCGGGGATCTGATTATCTGGGACAACACGTAAGTGTCACCCTGGCCTTTGCAAACGGACCGGAATTGACCTCCAAATACGAACAGATGTGTCATGCACCGAGCCGAGGGCGGTTCATTTGCTGGGAAGTATAGGAGGGACTTGAGAAGAACCACTGTGCACGACGCCAGCAGCCAAGCATGGGGCTTGAACAAGCCTGCGGATAAGAGGCCGGGTTTTGAAATTCCGGCACTGTGAAGCTGAGATCCAGCGGTGTGATAAGGAGGTCACGACGACGATCAGGCTGGCAGTTACTTGAAAGAGACTGACAGAAAAGAGAGAGAGAGTTCAAGGGGGAAGTTCGGCCAAATACTGACTATACCATATGTAGTATAGTAGCCATGGGCTAAGCACGTGATGCACCTGCTCGCTCTTGGCATTTCGAGACACGCACGTGACAGCGCCGTGCAGTGCAGCACACCGTGACCTTGTACTTCGAGTCGCAGCGAGGTCGTGCTCTCCATGTAGCAACCTTGCAAGCTGACCACGGCGACCCTCGGAGTCCTCGCGCTGCATACATTATACGTCCTCTGTCACGTCCTCAGCGATCCAGTCCAATATGTTTCGACTGGATGCGTCCCGTGAGCGTGACAGTGGCTTAGTATGGGATGCCTCAGGACGATTCTTGTAAGCGGTTGGGAAGGGTAAGCACAAGGGTCTCATCCTCTCACGTCTCGTCGGCCTCGAGAACCTGTCTTCGTGCTTATTACCCATCATTGGGTGGTGTCCGGCCACGGAGCCCCGGGTGAGTCAACCGTCGACGAGCGCAATCCGCGCTACTGCGACTTACAATTTCTCACCATTGCTGAATGTGCGGGCCTGTACTAGTAGCATTGACATGGTCCGGTGATCGACTCTGGCCATGTCGACCATCATCCACTAGACGTGGAATTCGAAAAAGCAATGCTCAACGATCATGGTGCCTTCGCCCTCAGCCAAGGCTCTGCATGACCACATCTTGCGACCCGAGGTAGGCATGAAGCGCGATTGTTGGTGATTCCAAATTGTGCGGGCACGCCTTATTTGAGGCGCCTAGACCTCTCTGGCAAAGGTTTGAGGGTGGCAGGAACGAAATGGTGTTGGAGACTTACGTTCGAAATTCTACGTTCCATGAGGAGGTTCAAACAAGCGCGATCCCCGGCCACCGCAGACGCGATTCCCAGGAATGTGAGGCCCCTTCTCTCTGACAGCCCCTCCATGGCACAAGATCGGCTCAAATATATATGTTATATCATGGCTTGCTCCAAAGATTGCCTTGACTACTCTGTTGATGTACCAGCGCCGCTCATTACGCCTTCTTTGATGCATACTTTGCACCACACGCTCCTTTATCTGATCCAACTGTCATTATAACATATTGAAGCAACCAGTCCTGGCCGATCTTGCTGCTATCATACCTCTTTCTGTCCACCCTCTCAAATGGCCCCCTTTCGAGTCTTGGGAAGTCTTGCGACCGCGCACTCCTTTGGGATTTCAACTCGAACACTGCAACCTCGCGCTTTCACATCCAAGTCACTCACTACAGCAATAGTTATTCTTGCCATCTTTTCGGCGATCCTCTTCGCGAGCATCCTCTTTGTGCTGGTCAAGTTCTGGAAACAAGTGGCTGCTAAGAGGCTGGCTTCCCGCTCAACTGCTGAGGTATCCAAGGACGTTGGTGCTACCATCCAGCGAAAGCCTAGTGACTGGGCAAGGAAGGACAGCAACATTCTGTGGTCCATGTACATTGAGGAAGACGACCTGAAGTCTCAATTTTCCATGCCTCCCAAATCAAGGCTGTTCTCCATTGGGTCAGTTTCCACCGATCACGGCCGATGTCCCCTGGATCGACGCGACTCCAACGCGGACGCACTGAGCAAGAACAGAGATGCGATGGCCGACGAAGCGGAAGCGGAGAAGGAAGGTGAGAAGCCAGTCAACAGTGATACGCTGCGCAGCCGCGCTGTATACGAGCAAGAGACGACGCCAACCAAGACCGTTCCCCGAACGCGGTCTCGATCACAGCCATTTCACCACAGACAGAGCGACAGCCTTGAACACATTGCCAAGCGCAAGCAGAGCGTGCCGGAACAGTATGCTATGCAAGAAGGCCAGTGCTAGGACACGGGAGGGTCAAGTTTTGGCAACGGGAGGGCTTCAGGGGGAATTTCGTGTCGCATACCAACAATACAGGTATCTTGTTGTGATGGGCAATTGAATACTGGAGCGGGTCTCCTCCACACGACGCTCTATACTTTCCACAGAAGCAGATAGCTGCTATTCGAACACACGTTATGAGTACCATAAGCCGTCATTATTAAAGCACATGTCCAGAACGTACAATGGTACAATGCCGTTGTAGATGATGTGACCCATCTGCGGACGATTAAAGCCGCACACGTGACCAAATCTGAAGTCACGGGACCTGGATTTCCGTTTCCGGCGCGAATTTCGATCCTCGTTGAGATTGTTAAGGTCCTCAAAATCCCTCCTGGTCCATCATTCGTCAACCAACGCTTCTGTTGTTGGCAGCACGTCAATCCACGAACCAATGATGCGTGCGAGTATGGCATGCCGCGGCCATGACCTGGGCTCACGGTGTGGTCGAGGTTTCGTCCCCGGCACGGTTGTGGATCGCGCAACCTGTGGTCCTCAATTACCCTCATGATGATGGAGACAGTGCGATTGTGAGAACCCTAGCATCTGTATATCATGGGGATGATCCCCCGCAGTGAATACGGCCAGGGTACTGTACAGTAAGTAGGTGATTTGGACTTCACTTGTTTAAAAGAAGTCAAGAGTTGTTCCTAGGGCGCATCCGCCTGCGCCTTCTCGGTCTGTTTTGTTTGTGACTTACCTCGATCCTACCGCGACTTTTCTTGTATCAAAACATATAAAACTCGCGACTGGACCCCCGCCAAAATGCTTCTTAACCCCTCGCACAAAATCACCTTCAGTGGTCTGCCCCCGGACGTCCTGGACCCTTATGTTCGATATAAGAAAGGGACTCGTGCCCTGGTGGCCTGGTTCATTCAGTACAGTCCGTCGCCGAACCGAAAAGTCAAGAGTCTGCCTATCAAGGAACTGGAATCTCTGGCGCAAGCCGCCTCCACCAAGCTTCGGTCGCTCCCGGACATTGTGCACTTTTACTTTCGAGAGACGATTGCGGCGCGCAAGAAACTGAGCAAGTACTTCCGGGGAAACGTAGATGAATGCGCCGAGGATGTAGATACCATCAACCACGAACACTTTACTACCAGGTAAGAAACGAGTTCCTGATCTTATTGAATAACAACAAAGCTAATCAATATGGTATGTAGTCTCGCACAGATCTACAACAACCTCTGTGCCTGCTGCGAGCAGACGAACTCACGAGCTCAAAAGCAACAGACCAAAAACAATCTGGCACAGCGCACCAATGCCCTGGTCAACCACTACAACGGCCTGTCAGTGGAAGACGTGGACGATGACGACGAGACCGAAGAGCCTTTGCCCGCGTTGTCCAGTTGTCCCGAATGCACTGTGTCCGCTTCCCCATCGTGTGACGACGAGAGTGCCGAAGTCCACTTTAGCGACGATGGACTCGGCATTATGATGGAGGTGGCGGCGGCCGTGGAGGTAAGTCATTTTTCTCTGTGACATTTGGATTTCCGTCCGCTAACACAGACCATCACAGCGAATCAAGGACATCACATCCTCGGTGGAACGATGCTGGGACCTTGCGGGAAAGAATCAGCTGTCGTTCCCGGTCGCCGCGTTCATCACCAATGTTGCATTTGCATCCATTCGGCAAGTCGGGATCGAACTGCTGCAGCATGACGAGAACATGACCGTGTCGGGTCTCCATCGCACATTTTGTTCCTTCAACCGCTCGGGACGGGACACATCGTCTGGACCTAATGGCGACGAAACAGAATCAGCCAACCATGAGCTTTTGGACCAGTTGCAGAACATGGAACAAGCTCTGTTCTACTATCGCGACGGGCATCGGTCCTTGACCATCCAGTCGTGTCCGACCTGCGTCCAGAAACCCGCCGATTACCTGCAGCTGCCTACGGGAGAGGATTGTTCGGGCAAACATCGACTGGCCGAGGCGATCCTCGACAACATCTACCACCTGATCGCCAGCAAAGAGGTGCCGACCAGCATCGTGAGAAACAGTTCCCCGACGTACGCCGACGCCGGGTACCTCATCACTCGGCCCGACGAACAAACGCAATCCTGGTCGGCCGTGTTCGGCCTCCACCTACTGACCAGCGGCTACAAGAGCTATCTGCAGTCGGTGGAATCGGCCAGCGCCATTTCCAAATGTCGCTTGACCTCTTTGCGGCTCGCTCAACAGGCCTCATCTCAAATCGCCACACTGCTCAAGGACAAGACGTGCTGGCCGTGTCGGTGTACCCAGACTCTGGCGTACCACCTCCAGAACCTCGAGTTCGACTTGCGCGCCTACGCCAAGCATCGATGCTGGGACTTGTACTTCCAATCACCGTGGGTGGCAGGCAATCACGTTCTCGAAATGCTCGACCTGTGCCACTACTATGGAATGCGGGTGTTCAACTACCGCCACTACGTGGGCGCTGTCTTGCACTCGTACAACGTCCTTCAACAGCTCGGCGGCCTCGAGGAGATCCCTATTCTAGAAAGCCTGTGCACCCAGTTCAGTGGCATGTTTTTCCCCGGCGGCACGCGTCCCAAGGCAAGCTTCCGCGCCTGTTGGGGTCGGTACGTCGGCGCCCGGCTCAAGTTCAAAAAGGGCCATAAGAGAAACGACCGCGACAGCTGGTGCATGGCCATCCCCGCGCACGCTGCCAGACGCGCAGCAGGCCTCGGTGCCAAGAGCGAACACGACGAGCTCCGTTCCGACTGTCTGCTGTTCAAGATCAAACAGCAGGATTACTATCTCAGTGATGATCAGTGGGACAACGTCAACAACAGCAGCAGCAGCTCTACACAGCCAACGATCAAGGATGGTGGCCGGAAAGAATCGGCCGCCTCAAGCAGGCGGAGCTCGTCTTTGTCGACCTCGACCGTAAGCTCGACCTTTTCACGCAGCTCCAGTGCCAGTTCCAACACCAGCTTTGGTTCTATGTGTGGCTCTTCTGGTAATGGTAGCAGCATGACACCCCTACTGGCCCTCGCTCAGACCCTGCAGCGGACATGCGACCAGTCGGACTCGGCGCTCCTGCCGACTCCTCGCTTGAATCTGTTCGCCGTCTTTGAGTACTGTGTCCGTGTTGTTTCGAGGCTCTCGGACGCCACACACACGGGAAAAGAGGAACGTGGAATGAACTGTATCTGCTTCGCTAGTTCTATTTTGACTGCTGCCGACCGCATTTGTGACAGTCGCAGACTGGGCCGGATCGAGACGTGGAAGAAGGACGAGCGCGAGTGCGTCAACTTGACCAAGAGTGCCATTCACGACGTCTTTACTAATGTCAAGGCCGAAGACCTGTTATGGAATATTTGAATCTGATTCTGGCTTCAGCATCTGGCTTTTTGGTTTTCCACATTTGGAAAATGAAGTTGCTGTTGGTAGCTTGATATGTATTTTTGAATGATTAACATGGCTTTTGATGGGCTTCGAAGTGTCGTTGCGCTCCGTACTGTAATGAACTGGACTGGATTGTAATGAACCAAGAGATGAAGGAAGCTGTGAGGTCGTCAAGCACGGCGATCATGACGCGATCTTCTTCTGTTGAATCTCAGAAGCGAATATCATGCTCTGATACTGTATCCTGTAGCCGAATGAGCCTGCTCTTCTTCAACCGTGGCGGTTAGTGCGAGAACCTTGCTCGCGGCCATGAGGTCCAATGTCAGCCTGCCTTTACAATGTGCACATGAATGAGGGTCCGCCAATCCTGTAAACGAGGATCAACCTCGACCAACAACCCAGTCGCATGAGTAGAATAGACTTCTTTCGAGGTTCTCTTCAACCTTCCACTGACTTGAGCCCAACATCATCAGTCGACATGACAGCATCGTTAAACTTGTCCGACGTCGGCAGCTCAATATGGATATTATTGATCGTAGAGACTCCAATTCGAACATCATCAGCCTCGACCTCGAGCACATGGCCGCCGACTTTTTTGTCTTTGTCAATAAAATGCATATGTTCGCCAGCGACAAAGAAACCCTGCCATGCCTGAGGGGAGCGGAATCCCACGATCGTGCCCACGACATCACGGTACTCGGCGACAAACTGCTTCTTGCCCAACTCGGCGAGCGGCTGGCCTTCATATTCCTGGCCTTTGACCGTGCGGCACTTGACGCGCCGGAAGTGGCCGTCGACGCGGTACGCCATGAACAAATTGCCCGCGTGGTTGTTGTACCGCTCCAGCACGACGTCGATGGAGTCCTTGGTTTCCAGTCGCGCCGCGTCGCCCTTGACCGTGTGCTGTGGCTGAAAATGCGTGCTTACAGCGTAGGGAATCTGGTCTGTTGGCGCGGCTACCCGGATCTTGCCTGAGGCTTGGAGCTGGTATATTGTGCCGTCGAGAAGCAACAGCTCCCCGTCCATTCGGACAAAGGTTCCTAGACCCTGGTTTCCCTTTGAAACGAGTTGTGCTGCTGTGATGCCTGAGTCGGATACGCCGGACATCAGGGCGTTGACCAGTGAGTATTGGTAGATTTCGTTGGGTACCATGGTCGATAATGGATGATTGGGAAAGTAGTGTTGATGGGGGTTGTGGAAGGGATCCCAAGGCTCTGTCTGGAGCTTTGCGAAACTCCTCGGTGTGTTCAATGAGGTGCGGGTACTCGTGCTGATGAATGGCCCGCTATGGTCTCAAAGCTGCGTTTGGAGCTAAGTCAAGATAGCTACAGCACGACGAGACGTTGCAGAGGTGGTTCAAGAGTATCAACTGGGTTAGTACGTGGTTAGAGCATGCGACTAATCCATACATGGTATACCCGTGGTATGATGCGTACTGTTGTGGTAACTCTAGGTACTACTAGTACGTCACGCAGCCTTGGGCATGTTTGCTCAACCTCGTCCACAGCCACTGCATGCCTTGACTTCAAGCTGACTGGAATCTGAGGTCTGTTTCTCTAGTCCTACTGCGGCTCTACTTCAGGCACCAAAGAGCACTCTGATACGCTTTCCCCGGTCGAAGGTTACGGCACGGCGGGTGTCAACCTGCAGAGACAGCGGTTCAATATGACTGCCAATAATGAGAACAGCGTTGCACAGATCGTCGTCAACAGCTTGTACAATGCAGGGGTCCGTGTGGTCTTTGGTGGTGAGTACATTACATCTACTTTCTAGCTCATCGGTGGACTGCGAAGGAAAAGAATCTGGTCGTTGTCCAAGGCGAAGCCTACCGCATATCCCACTTTGTCTTCGCTTCCGGCGTGTGCCGCTTCTACATGCCATGTCCATTCAAGCATACACCATTGTATATTTCGCGGTTGCGAAGCAATCAAGGACCTCATGTGGAGATACTGACCATTACCAAAAGTGCCCGGAGCAAAGATCGACCAGATCTACGACTGTCTCCAGGACCACCCTGAAATCAAGCTAATAGTAGCGCGACATGAACAAAATGCAGCCATGATGGCGGCAGCCGTTGGGCGACTGACAGGAATCCCCGGAGTGTGTATAGCAACATCCGGACCCGGAGCGTCGAACCTGGCCACAGGACTCGTGACAGCAACGACCGAGGGAGACCCGGTAGTGGCCCTAATCGGATCGGTACCTCGGGCAATGAACACCCACCGCACACACCAAAGCATGAAAGCGCTAGACATTCTAGGTCCAACAGCCAAGTCAGCAGTCAACGTGGACGTCGAGGACCAAGCGGCGGAAGTGGTGCTGAACGCATTCCGAACCGCCGCGACATGGCCCAAGGGCGCCGCCGTCATCTCAATCCCAATGGACGTGGCCAAAGGCCACTCGGACATCCTCCCATTCCAACCCACGGCATTCGATCCTCCCACCTACGGACCCGCACCAGCCAGCCGGTTGGACTTTGTAGCCAAAATGATCGAAACGGCAAGTCTGCCCGTTCTGTTTTTGGGAATGAGAGCCAGCAGTCCCAAAGTCGTCGACGCCGTGCGCCAGCTATTATCCCGGTTCCCCATCCCGACAGTCGAAACGTTCCAGGCCGCCGGAGCAGTGCCGCAAGACCTGGTCCATCTCTTCTACGGCCGAGTAGGTCTGTTTCGCAACCAAGTCGGCGACAAGTTACTTGCCAAATCCGACCTGATCCTTGCCGTCGGCTACGACCCCGTCGAATATGACGCGAATGCATGGAATCCGCACGGCGATGGGAGAATCGTCCACATTGACTTCCACCCTTCAGATTATGGCTTCTACTACAAACCCGTGGCGGAGCTGGTAGGCTCGATCGCCGAGAACATTTTGTGTCTATCGCAGATGATTGAGAGCGTTTCAGAATCTTCAATCACTGCTCTCTGTGGTGATCTAACTAAGGAATACAAGTCGTGGCAGGACCGTCCAGAAATCAAACGCACTGAAGGACCCGTCCACCCATTACAATTCATTAGTATTCTCCAGGGTCTTGTGGACAAAGACACCACTGTCTGTGTCGATGTGGGTTCTGTCTACATTTACATGATGCGCTATTTTTTCGCATACGAGCCTCGTCGACTCTTGTGTTCAGATGGCCAACAAACTCTCGGCGTCGCTCTCCCGTGGGCCATTTCTGCATCTCTCACACAGACACCGCCGTGTTCCGCGAAAGTCGTCTCTCTCAGCGGCGATGGTGGTTTCATGTTTTCAGCCCAGGAGCTCTCGACGGCGGTTCAACAGAATTGCAATATTACCCATTTCATCTGGAACGACGAGTCGTACAATATGGTCGAATTTCAAGAACTCATGAAATACGGTCGTTCTAGCGGCGTCAAGTTGGGTGGTGTCGACTTTGTCAAATTTGCGGAGAGTTTTGGTGCGAAAGGGTTCCGCATCAGTGACTCGTCTCAGGTCGAGAGCGTCCTGAAAGAAGCGTTGAGTTTCAAGGGCGTCGCGCTTGTTGATGTCGCTATTGATTATTCGGGTAACTTGGAGCTGGCGCAGCATGTCATTACTGAGGAGTGGGATTGAGATGGATGTCACCACTGGAGAACCCCTGCGTGCCTTAAGAAAGGAGCCGCGCAGTTGAACTGGTGTGTCTGAGGACTGAGCCTGACAGAGGGTGGGCGCTGGGCTCAACTTGTTTGGTGTAGCACAAACGATTTCATGAGAAACACCACCATGGATGTGGACATGAGTTAAATACGAAATGCAATCATGATCGGCGGTAGATCCTCGCGCTGGACAAGAAATGAGTGAGCGATGAGGGGATTTGGTTTGCGCGGTAGAAATATACTAGTACTGTCGCGCTCTCCTGTGACAAGGCTGAACCTCCTTTTCCCCTGATATAGACCTACTATAAGTGAATTCTTGAGAAGGTCCCGTAATGTGTTACTAAAATGACTGTATGTATGTAATAATGGTTGGAACCGCCCATTCATCGACCAATCCAAGCAAGCATCATCCATAAGTCGTAAGTGATAGGAGAGACTGGCTCTGACATGTGGATCTTACATTGACGAGGACTCAGAAGGCGATAGTCCCCTCAATCATCCTTGCGCTCCAATTCCTTCTGCACGCGCTCCAGGTCTTCCTCAGTAGGCAAGTTAACAATTGCCAGATACAAGACATCCTTTTTCAACGACTTACTGATAATCGGGAGCTGCTTGGATGGCGTCCCCGTCACCCGTCCGCGGACCTTGCGGCCCATGTACGCATCATGCCTCTCCTCGGCCGTGAGGGGAGGCTCTCCGTTTCTCTTGGCTTTGTCCTCGGCTCGGCGGATACGACCCTGGGCTACAGGGTCCCAAGTTCCTCCGGTAACCAGACCGAAGATCGAACCTGAGTTGACAGGATGATTGGGATCGGCAAAGCGATTGACCGGCTTCTTCGGCTCGGGTGGAATCATGGTGCTAAGTTTGGAGCCTGGGTCCTCGTGCATAAATTCTGCCTGGGCGCGACGGTCGAGGTATTCCTGGATCACTAGTGACTTGATGTTTGCACCGGATTTCGTTTTCGTCACCGCCTTGGATGACAAAACCATATCAAACGCAGGGTAGACCAAAGGAGCGCCTTCAGGAAGCATGGCATCGCTTGCCGCGCCCGAGGAAAGACGCAGGCGGCGTAGTCTCTCCTTTATTTGGGATGCCGTCCTTGTTATCACCACCTGCTCCACCAAAGATCTTGGATATAGCCCGCCGAATGCACGTTGAGGGAAGAAGATGATGCGGACGTGTCCACATGGAGAAAGGCCTCGTCGGCCATCTCGGGTTTGTAGGTCATAACCATGGCATAAACGCCTCACGGCTTGAGCAATTTCTCGTTGACTTCGTCCAGAAACCTGTTTGATGTGTACTGTCGCTGCATCTCCTGAAGGACCATACTGGTCGTACCCACGGTTGAGCTAACAGCGAAAGTGATAGAACCAGGAATCATGCCAACCCCCAAAGAGGCGATATTCACAACATCGAGGATCGGGGAAGCCTTCGATGCCCTGTCAAAATCACGGAGGAAGTCCAGGGACGTCTGCTGTGAGATCCGGCAGCAGTCGTAAAGGACTAGAGCGTACGCCCGAACAAAACCCCGGCCTCGGTCTCGTGGTCGCCGTTGCGGCAGGACGACACTGACAGGCAACGGTCGGGGGTGAAATCAGGCTCCACGGATAACTCATGCGATTGAAGAAATGATTGAGACACTTGTTCAACTGTCTCGGTTGTGCTCGTTTCATCAGGCTTTGCCTATTCCTTCCCTTCTTCATCAATGGCTCCATCGAACTCCCATTCTCGGTCAACGTAGACGCCCTCCGCATCTTCGCTCCATCGAGTATTAGCGTTTCCGCCAGAACCCTTTTCTTTATGGGCGGCAACTGCTTCTGAAGCGACGGCTATGCCTGTGCTGATGCCCCGAGTGACCATGCTGATGGAAGTCAGTCAAATATTCTTTATTCCAAGTGCAGTTTTCTGGCTGTCCATACTGAAGAACATGATCCATTTTGGATGTAAAAAGTCGTGTTGAAAAGTAGGTAGATATGGAGTTTGCAGATGTGAAACGGTCATTGATGTCTCGTAGAGATTGGGCTCGTGATGGCCTTATATATAAAAGCCACCAGTCATGAGGACTTCGTGCCAGAGCATGGTGACATGGGTGGCACTGCGTCTACACTTGAACATAAGCAATGTGATGGCGCGAGGTACCGACAGCAAACCATCCAGTTCGTAATCAGCACCACTTCTGGAAGCCACTGCGAGGCCGGGTCGAAAAAGGGTGCAGTGATTGGAACACATATGCTTAGTCTCAGGCCCAGCGTATACAACATGCAGGTGGATCTGAGGATTGCCAGTGTCGAAAGGACCGAGCAAACCAAGCATCCCCCACCAGAAAGCTTGTTCATTGATTGTCCTCGATGAGCGGAGCTCCTAGGCCGTTCGGGGCCGTTGGCGGAGATGGAGCTGGGGTGTGTGCCAACTTGAGGCGTCTTCTAGTTGTAGGTGCCAACACATGTCTTCGCGTCTGTGAGCATACAACGTTTGTAGATACCATCGTTTACCACCTCAATGCGATTGGTAGGGAAACGGACATATCAGCAGCCACCATCAGAAAGAGCCCCCGCCTCTATAGTACTGGTCACAGCGGAGACCTGGCCTGACCTCCGTGTCGAGACAGCTTGCTTTGCCGAAGTGTGTAGTAGTGAATCTCTGCTCGCTCCATTTCTACCGAGGACTTTGGAGGAACAGAACCTGGATCTTCTTAACATCGACCTGTCTTCTCAGTTGGTTATGTCCAGGGGCCGGTGCAGAGGAAGAGATGGTGGCTACGCGTCTGAAGCAAGAAGTCGCGCATCAGACACGGGATTAGTTGGCTCTGGAGTAGACGAAGCGATGGCGCGATTAGTTGACAAAGGCGGGAAGGCCTGTATGGTTCACCAGCTATGCATACGTACTCTGGGAGCAGAGCAGACCACACCGCTGTACCTTTCAGTTCGCGTTATTGCCTGAATTCGTACAACATTGTAGGTATAGGTTGTTTGGGAGGCTCGAACCGAATATCCAGTTTCAGTATCGGCATCTCCCAGAGTGTGCCAATGACCCAGCAGGAATTTGGCGGCTTCGTTAGGCAGATAAAGGCATAGATGATGCACGCCAGGAAGCCTCGTCAGGAGAATACTTCGGTGGCTGTCCCCAGCAAGGGTGCAACCCCAGAAGCGCAGGTGAAGCTGCTCGAGGACTGCATCGTCAATATACTGGCTCGTCCCTTCAAAGCTCTGTCCATTGACGAGACGAATGAATGCCGCCCGAGTGGCCAAGTTGTGAATAACTTAACGTGTCTGTCGTGGAGATGGTTCAAGTCGAGCAGTGCAGTCAATTGCAGTTCAGGTTGCGCATCGAGGGGCGGAGGCGGAGGGGACTGCGGTCTGTGTTCTTGGGCACTTCTGTACCTCGACATCAGAAACACCATCGTCATTCCAATTGTGCCTCTGAGCTCAACACCTTCGACTTGCCGTTCATTCATTATCTTTTCTCCGCCCTTCATTGTACATATCCGGTTGTGTGCTACCTTGTTCCATTCTCCCATCTACTTTGAAAATGTACAGGAATCCTCAGCTCCCATGATGGATAAGCCGTGCATCTGCGCACCATCATGTCTTCAGGATTGACCTTTACTCAAGGCCTCCTGCTTGGCCAGGTTTCGGTGGTTGTTTTGATCTTCTGTTTCATCAAGTTCTTCATCTTTGGCGAAGCCCCTCCGCCGCCATCTAAAGCCTCGGGTCGAGCTCCCAGGCACGTTCGGGCGCCTTCGTTGCATAGTCTGGCCTCCTCCAAGAGTGCTCCTCCGCAGTCTCTACGCAACCAAGCCAGTGCCACCAACGTCCTTCGCCCAGTTCCTACCAGTGCCACGGACATTGCGTCTATCCTTCGAAAGACATATTACCAGATACCCGGTCGAGGCCATGGCAGACATCACCATTCCACACATCAACCCGAGAGTTTGGACTGGTTCAATGTCCTCGTGGCTCAGACAATCGCACAATACAGACAGACTGCGTATGACTTGCGAGACAGCTCTTCCGGGGGGAAGCCTACGATTGTTTCCAGCTTGGAGGCAGCAATCAACGATCCGGAGAAGAGGCCGTCCTACATAGACAAAATCAAGATTACCGAGATATCTATGGGTGAAGAATTTCCTATTTTCAGCAACGTGCGGGTCATCGCGGTCGAAGACGAGGCCTCCAGCGCCACTGGCGGAAGACTGCAGGCTCTCATGGATGTAGACTTGTCTGATGATAACCTCACATTGGCCATTGAAACTGCCCTCATCCTCAACTACCCCAAACCATTTTCTGCCGTGCTTCCCGTGGCTCTTGCTGTCTCCGTTGTCAGGTTCTCGGGGACACTGTCGATCAGTTTTGTGCCTGCCTTGCCGGATGAGGCCACAGGAACCAACAAGCAGAGTGGAAAGCCCCAGACGAATCTGGCATTTTCGTTTCTCCCTGACTATCGGCTGGAACTGTCGGTAAGAAGTCTCATCGGCTCCCGCACCCGACTGCAGGATGTGCCCAAGGTCGCACAGCTGGTGGAAGCACGAGTGCAAGCCTGGTTTGAGGAGAGAGTAGTGGAGCCAAGAGTCCAGGTGGTTCCTTTGCCTGGCTTGTGGCCGCGTATGGGAAAGGTGAGGGTGAGGGACGGTCAAGACGATGACAGGCCAGCAACCCAGGACGAGCATCGAGCAACCTCGTTTGTCAATCATAAAGAGTCCAGGCTGGAAGACAACTTCCCATCCCAGGAAGAGACGGAAAGGATATTCGAGGGCTTGAGACAGCGGTCCAAGAAAATGCGCTCGAATAGTCAAGTGATCGAACAAGAAGACGTCCCAGCTACTCAGGCGGCAATGACGATGCCCGGAGCGCTCCCTACATAATCGTCGGCGAATGACAATGGGCTTGTTGTCTCTCCTCAACGCATCACTGAACCAAGGCTAAGACATGGCAGAACGGGCATCTGGGGTCCACTAGACGTTGTTGCATCATAGCACACTTCATCTAAAGTACGCGAAGACCCATGGTCGGTCTATCCTGGCCATCCGGAGATATCAGCTTGCGAAACATCTGGCATGTCCGCCACACTAGCTTACACCCAGGAATCTGTGAGACAATGCCTCTGGTGGACGCATATTGCGTTATATGCTCTGAGATCCTCCAGCTACGTGAGTTCTGCCTGTACCACATGCCTGACTCCGAACTTTTGGCGGCAACAGCGCCACCATCGAAATTACGAGAGCTATGGGCATATATTTCATGGCAGCAGTGGCGGGGGAGCCTTGTTTGTTTGTTCTTCGACGCTGCTCAGGTTATCGCGGCATCAGAGTGCCTCGGCAGGCTGAGTGTATATGCAGTGATTCTCACGCAAGACGGCCAGGATATGCCGGTACCTTGGACCCGGAACGATGCTATTGGAAAAGTCGTGCGTCTCCGATTCCACCGAACATGAGTGCGCCCCGCGCGCTGGGGGTGTACAGTCCGATGCTAAGTCAATGGACAGAGTTCTAGGAGCCCTGACGGCCGCTACCGAAGCAATTTGCACTATAATAGACGTATGGTCCGGTGCTGGCGAGATCCATTTTCCGACACTTTCGCTGCAGGAAGTAAATCTTGAGCCTTGATGCCCTTAGTGCAAAGGAGTTCGAGGTCCAGGACACTTGCAAGTGGACCGGATGGCATTGGATCAAGACACGAACCGACCATGTTTCTGGAGGGAGGAGTGTCATTTGTAGATATATCCGCATCAATGTTCATTTCATCACGACATCAATTCACATTCCAGAATTATATAAGAAGCAGCACAGCTCTTTCTGGTATCTATCAAGCCACTGAGATGGGCGCAGCGCCGGCCGCCGCGCCCGTCTGCTGCAGATATTGCTGGCGATGGACATTGACATCAGTCTCGGGGCCCCGGTTCAACGGCGTCCATTTCGGTTCGTCCTGGAACAAGCGCATAGCCTTGATATACTAGTAGGAGCAAGGTCAGTCGGTCAGTCAATGTAGGTTGGGCTTGGGTTCGTAATGCGAGAGCAAGCGAGCAAGCATGCAACTTACGTTATTCTCATCCGTCGTAAACCGATGGTAAATCCCCGCCGGGAGGATAATCAAGTCGTCCTTTTCGAGTCTAATGCGTACCCAACCGTCTTCTTTGCTCCGGACGTCAAAATAACCCGCCCCGTCACGAATGTATCGAATCTCCTCGTCTTCATGTAGATGTTCGTGGAAAAACATCTTGACTTTATCTTCGTAGACGTCGCCCATGGCTTGTGGGGAGACAGTGATTTCGTCGCGGTTCTTGTAGTGCCTGTCTTGGGCGATTTTGTCTACTTGTGACAACTCGGGGCAGTGGTAGTATAGGACGCCGAGGTTGGCGAGGTAGGATTCGGGGACGGGGCGGCCTGAGTCGTGGGCGAGGCGTTGGTCGCCCTGTAGGTTGATGGGATGTTAGATTGGGCTCATGGGAATGGACTTGTTCTGACGAGACATAGGACGGGGATACACTGGCGGACTGGAAGGGAAGGCATGCGGTGCAGTAGGAGGTGTTCTATTGTACGTACCTCTTCGTTGTCGTACCAGTATGCCTTCATGGCGGGGAAAGGCGTGGTGCTCTGTGGTGTTCTGTGCTGGGACCAGATGCGGGAAGAGGATATGACGGCTGCAGTGGGATGCGATGTAGATATATTCCAGGTCTCGGGGGGTTGTTTTGTTCGTAGCAGCGGAGACAGAGGATGGAAGATGTCAATATTAATATCCACGCTGCGGCAGCAAGGCCGGTCTTTGGCGTTCTTCTGACGACGCCGAGTCTTGCGCCATCGCCAACCAACAACTGCGCAATAATTAATTCCCCGGTTCACGCCCGTCATACTAATAAGTTAGGGACAGATCCTGGTGTCTGCCTGCGGGGCCCTTTTGTAATCCATCGCCGGCCAGCTGCCAGTCAGTCTGGCAGTATTACAACTTGAATTTGGTGCTCGCTTCCTGCTGTCCACCATGGTACAACTATAATTCGACGACGACTCTTGGTACCTGGACGTGCCAATAATGGACATACAATATGAATATCATGCCTCCTGTCATTCTTTCCTGTAAAATATGTGAGTTAGATCTGGCCATCACACATACAGAAAATCAACCAAGCAGGCAGCTTCTCATTCTCATCTGCTATCATGAATGCCACTGCATTACCTCAATTCATATCTGCCTGAGGCCAGTAACACTCAAACCCTCTGTATCCTTTCACTGCAGTCCTTTTGAGCCCACAGTACATGTACGGAACAACTTGAAGAATATACCAGAGGCTCCATTTTGGCACTGCATACATTCTTATCAATTTGCATTACCTTCTTCCAGTCTTGTCCGGCCTACTTCCTTGTTGACTCCCCACGCAACTATACAAGAAGCCCACAAATCCGGATGGACTAACCAGCATTTGAACCCCCAGACGGAAAGACGAGATGGCTATAGATCCGACGGTTGTCCTGACGATGTGATTGAGCGGATTGGCCGCATTTGAAATCGTCCTGACTCCTGACCTTGACACCGGGTCCTTTCCTGGGGAAGCATATTATCTGTCCGGGATAGCACCGTGTTCCGAGTACACCACGATTTTACTGCGAGGGCGTCTGGACGTTTCACGTGGCGTTGCTGAAAAGCAGGGCCGGCAGAAGCGCTGTCCGTAACATCAGGCTGTACCCTCGACGCTCTACAGCGAAACCGCACAAAGAGGGAGCACTGCCAACAACGACAATGGAAGACATCAGGCGATACCAATCCAACAACGACGAGTTGAACGAGACAGCTCAAGCTCCTTCACCGGCGGTGCGTCCATCTCCCACCACCAGCGGCAGTACCGGCCTTGCCAAACTCTCACTCCCCCACACCACAGACCCGCCATCGGCGTCGAACCCTCCACGACAGAAAGTATGGCTGGTATTCGGAGCCACAGGCCACATGGGCAGGTCGGTGACCAAAACAGCCTTATCTCACGGCGACATGGTCAGCGCAGTTGGGCAATTGTACCAAGACACGCCATCATCGATGAAGAACTGGTGGCGAGACGACCCGGACCGGTACCTAGGATTACTCTGCGACGTGCGGATCCGCGAGACGGTGGCCCGCGTGATTGACGAAACAATCAAACATTTCGGACGCATCGACATCGTGGCCAACTGCGCCGGGTACGGCGTGATCGGGGCGTGTGAGGACCAAGACGAGCACGAGGTGCGCAACCAGTTCGAGACCAACTTCATGGGCACCCTCAACATCATCCAGCTGTCGTTGCCCTACTTCCGCAACCGCAATCAAATCCAGGACCGCAACAACCACGCCCGCCACGGGCATTACGGCCACGCAAGCAGTGGTGGCCGCTACCTGATTTTCAGCAGCACGTCCGGCGCCCTCGGTGTACCTGGATTAGGGCCCTATTGCGCAACCAAATATGCCGTCGAAGGCCTGATCGAGAGCATCCTGTACGAGGTCGACCATTTCGGCATCCGCGCGACCCTCGTGGAACCCGGCCATGTCCGCCGGGACGACAACCATGAAGAAGACGACGCCTACGACCATGAGATGGGCAATACTAGTACCATCAACACCAACACCTTGAACTCCAACAATCCTTCGAAGCTGACCGACTCCGCTTCCGCTTCCGCCCCTGGGGCCCAATCAGCCCAACGCCCAACAACAACAAAGAGGCAACCACTGCCCATATTCGGACACTTCAAAATCGCAAAACCCTCAGAACCCTACGCCGCCAAAGACAGTCCCGCGGCCCACGCCCAGCGGACCCTCCAATGGATCGGCGACAACCAGCCCACCAGCGTCGTGCGCGCCGCCGAACTCGTCTGGCAGCTGGGCCATTGCCGATACCCGCCTCTACGGCTGTTGCTGGGCAGTTTCGCCGTCGACAGCATCCGCGACCGTCTCAAGTGTATCATTGAAGAAATCGAGGATTGGAAGCACTTGAATTTCCCGCCCCTGGAGGGCCACGACGAGGAGGACGATGTGGATGACGAAGATAACGCGGAAGGAGAAGAAGACGGGGGTGGCAGGGGCGGAGACAGTGGCCGAGACGAGGAACAAGATCAAGAGCAGGAACAAGAGGCCCTCGATACTAGTACGGCGGATGCAGGTCCCTCTGCAGCTGCTCAAGCAGACGCAAAGTCAGACAACATTGCCGACAGCAATGACCAAGCTGATACTGGTGCTGGTGGTACTAGCGACCATCATCAACAACCACCACCCCTGGAAGCCGAGGGGAAGGGTGGTGAGCCGCAGCAATCTATCAGCACCATTATCAAGCATGAACAGGAACAGCAAGAAGCCATGGACTTGGACGATTGAGACGAGTGAGAAGAAAAGAGTTGACTTTGACCAGTTTCCGACACTGCACTGGCGAGATTGGAAGTCATTGGCTACTACAGTATTAGTAGTATCTGATCAATCTATGAACCAACCTCTGAGCTCACTCGCTTTCACAGCTGCTAGCCAGAGTCAACCAAGTAAGCTCCATTGGCAGTCGTCTCCAATGATCAAACCCAGACCCAGCTCCTTCTGCACGCCTATGAGCGACAAACGCTTCAAAACCCCTGGTCTTTGAACGGAAAGCAAACAAAGACGCATATTGCATGCAGTGCATGATTTACACAAATCGCCCGACAAAGGAGACCCTCCGCAAGGGTAGTAGAAAAGAAAAGAAACAAAGAGGAAGAGAGTCGAATATGATTGAATGGATGTATTCAATATACAGTCAGGCGACTCAAGACATCATGCAGAAGCTCAACTCAATTGAGCAGCCACAGACGCTCACAGCTGAGCTCATTTGTTGAGCCGACTGAATCAGGTTGATTTGAGGAGATCATAATCCTCTGATCTAGTCTAGTCTAGAGAGTGATCCGCATATGGTCATTGGTGCCAAACGACTTGCCACAGTTGGGGCATTTTCTCGACCTCGAAGTCAATCGTTCCTCGACACACTCGTTGCAGAAGGTGTGGCCACACGTCTTGATGACGGTGTTTTTCAGCGCGCGTTTGCAGATGTTGCAGTATGCAAACTGCCGGAGCATCTCGTACTGTTCCGACTGACCGCTTTTACTCTTCCACGTCTCGAGGCTCCTCCGCGTGTCTTTGAGCGTCGACTTCAACTCTTCCAACTCCACCTCGGCGGCGCGGCACAGGTTCGCCGTCGTGGCCAACTTGGAGTCCTTGGCGGCCAACAGATTCTTCAGCTCGGTCACCTGCCCATTCAACCTCGACACTTCTAGGCCTTGCGTGATATTCTGCTGCTGCACCGTCCGATGCTCGTTGGTCTTATGCGCCAGCGCCTCCTTAAGTTCGGACAACTGCTTTTCCATCGTCGCCAAGAGCGCTCGCGTGGCGTTTTCGGCTTCCTTCAACTGCGAGACCGCCTCGGCCGACTTTGTGTTCTGCAACCGCAACGTTCTGATTTCGCCGTCTCGAGTTTCTTTGCTCTTCATTGCAGCAAAGAACTTCTGATCGGCTTTGGCCTTCTCTGCCGAAAGCCGCATCACTTTCTCCTCCAGCGCAGCGAACTCGGTCACTTTCTGATTGGCGAGCTTGCTGGTCTTCTGGTACGCTATGGACATGGACCCCAGTTCGCTGTTCAACAGAGCATACCGCCTTTCGAGTTCCGCGTACTTGGCTCGCAAGTCCTCGATACTCAGCGCATCCAATTCTGAGCTATCCACCGCCATCCCGCTCGTTTGCACGCTCAGTCTGACGTTCTCGGATTCAAGTGCTCGGATACGGTCCTCTTGCGCCGACGCCAACTCCTTGATTTTCTTCACGGCTTGCTGATCCTGTTCGAGGCTGGCTCTCTTTACCGCTTGGTCGGCCAACAGCTCGTCTCGGTTGTGTCGAATTCGGGCAAGATTGGCCTCTGACGCAGCCAACAAAGACTCCTTTTCGGAAATAGCAACGCGCGCCTCATTTTCGAGCTGCAGCTGGAACGTGGTCCTCTCTGCCCTCAATTTCAGGGCTTCTTCTCGCAATTCGGTGTTGGTCGCTTCGAGGTTGTTGATCCGTTTGATCACATCCTCGTGCTGCGACTTTAACTGCTTGAATAGTTCAGTTTTGGAGTAATCCTCGTCGGTCAATATGACCGACTTGGTCGTCAACTCGGTCAATTGTGCATTCAATTTCGCGTTTTCCTCTTCCAGCCGTTCAAGTTGCTGTTTCTGCTTTTCCGAAGCGGCCACGGTCTTGTTTAGTTCCTTTTCCACTTCTGCAAGCTCTTCGGAATGATCGGTCGTTCCATTGGTCGCACTGTCCTCCCGCTTTACAGGCCCGCCTTCTTCGGTTGCCGGTTTCGTTGCACCGAGCAAAGCTTGCTTCTCGAGTTTGGCCACAGTCACACTTTTGGCCCTATCGATCTTCTTTTCGGCCATCATGTACCGTAGCGACGCATTTTCGAGCCGGTATTCCAGATCTTCCTTCTCCTGTTGTAATCTAGCCAATTCCGTCACGTGGTCCTTCTCGGCGGCAAGCAGCCGAGATATCCTCGATTGCAATTCTGTTACGTCGGGTGAGAACGACTTGGTAGGAGCGAACAACCGGGATATCACGCTCTTGATCTCCCGGGAACGACTGCGTAGGTGTTCTTCGAATTTTTCATTGTCCGCGAACAGAAGGGATGAAGGTAGTGAAGAGACGTCCATGTCAACATCGTCGTCATCTTCTGCCTTTGCAATGATCTTAACCTCGTCAATTACTTGCTGGAACCAAGCGTCGATTATGCGGAGGTGGTCATCATGATATCGCGCCTGTTGGCGCATCTCTTTTAATTGTGACTCTAATGTGTTCTTTTCCCTTCGGTATTCCTGCATCTGCCGATAAATCGCGTCCTTCTGAAACCGCTATTGACAAACACCAAGTCAGCCGTAATCCAGGGCATTGGGGAGGAGCGGTCTCACCTCAAGGTCGTCCTTCCATGGCATGTCATCGTCCTTATGGGGCTTGGACGCGCCATTGGCAGAAGTAGCCTGTTTCTTCAGCGGAGGAGCAGATTCAACCTGATCATATGGACTAGGTCTCTTGCGCTCTTCCATCTTGACTAGACTCGGCTGAGACAGGGAAGGGAGGAGGGATTCGACGGCCGTCATCAGTCCTATAGCGCGGAAAGGGCTTGTGTGGCCGGTGTAGAGTCACCGTAAAGATCCCTTCGCGACGTACAGGGCGACCAGTATCGCCGAGCTAGTGATTGTAGCAATTTGAACACTGCAGATTGTAAGGTCGAAGTCAAAGTAAGAGGCGAGAAGTTGTGCAGTCCCAAGTTTGTCGCCGATGCTGCTAAGACGTTTTGGGTCACTAGCGCCGCCGTAGTCTTGGCATGTTTGCCGCCTGCGCCTTGCCAAACTTCGATCAACCTCGTCAAACTTGGGACAGTCGTTGTCCTTCCTAACTTGTACAAACAGTCGATGATTATCACTGTGATTCATGTGCAATGCTGAAAACGAATAGGTGACTACGCTGCTCACGAGCAGATACATTGCGCGTCGATGCGCCCGGTAGGCCTTGTCCGCCATGTCTACCTTCAGTTCCGTCGTCCGGAAACCTGGGCAGAAGATCGCACCCAAGGCAGCCCCTCGACGGAATGTACAGAGGAATCCACCGAGACCTACGGCGGCGCCGTCATTGACCCCGGAGAGTCAGGCAGTGACAGAGAAGGAGGCTGTACCTGGGGATCAAAGTGTGGCGGAGAAGCAGCCCTCAACTGAGAACCTACCGGTCGCCGAAATCCAGACCGTGACGCCTAGCATTGAGGATGTTCACAAGGGTCTGCCAGCCCAGGAAGGAGCCCAGACTGGCGAGAAAGTCTCTGCCCAGGCGCAGCAAAGAACCGATCAAGAAACCAATCGGGCGCAGCAAGCCAATGACCAGGAAGTCAATCGGGCCCCGCCAGTCCTCGAGTCGACAGAAATTCCCCCGGTCTCAGCTGCAGTCGAAACGTCTGTGCCACTTGCTGCTTCCCCCGAGCCCGTTGCCAGATCTTCCCCGCAGATCGGAAGTCAAGCCACGCCGCCGGACTCTGTTCAAGTCTTGCCTCCGAGCATTGTCAGTCAAGATGCTACCATCATCCATCCTGTGCATACAAGCCCCAGTCCCAGACGGGTTGATGCTATCCCTACGGTCGCGCCCTCCGGTACTCCCACTCCTCAAAAGAGAAGATTAACCAATGAACTTACACCAGTCCGGTCAGAAGAATCTACTCAAGATGTAGACGGCGGCGCTGAAGAGCATGCCCATGCCCCAGAACCCTCGCCTAAGCGACAGAAGACTTCACACCCCCAGCAGCATACAAGTCCCAGGTGTGATGGCGGTATCCCTATGATTGCGCCCTCAGGGGCTCCCACTGTGCATAGGAGAAGATTGACAAATGAACCTACACCGGTCCGGTCAGAAGACTCGACCCAAGCTGGAGATGGCGGCGCTGAAGAACAGGCCCATTCCCCGGAACCCTCGCCCAAGAGACAGAAAACTTCACACCCCCAGCAGCATACCGCTCCGACGCGAACTAGTGTCACACCACCTCCAACAGACAGCCTTCAGAACATACTCAGGAGCAGTCCGCGACACCGACGTAGTGAGTCACGGACGTCTGACGTGTTGTTGCAAGATGCAACCAGTCAGGCAGCCGCAGTGTCGGAACTGGCAAACTCGATCGAAAATAGGGTGAGAGAAACCAGGTCTCGTGCGGCACGTCCTGCAGCTGCTTCCATGGTCGAAACAGACTCGCCGGATGAGCAGGTGAGTGAGCCGGATGTTAATGAAGCGAGGAAAGCCAAAAAGCCCCGAAAAAAGCGAGCGCGAAACGCGGCCCTCGAAGGCCTTGCCGACCAAGTTGTGGAAAACGCGGTGACCGGTGGCAAGCGCGGAGGCAGTCGTCGGTTGTCACGGTTGCCTACGCCGGAAAATGCCGAAGAACACGAGGTTGATCCGGACGAAGTTTCCATGGGTGATCTGGTGAGAGACAATAAGCTTGGGAAAAAGTCGGAAACAGAAAAGAGGATGCAGGAGAACTGGGAAGATATTCTGCGACGGAGAAAGGAGGAGATTGAACGGCGCAGAGAGGCTGCCGGGCAGAGAAGACATGGAAGACAAGAACTCAACTTGAATCAGGCCGCCGAAGAATCAGGGCGAGCGCATGTGCCTCAGCAAATCATTGTCAATGGCCAGATTGTTGTCGCAGCGGAGTCGCGAGAAGTTGCGTTCGGCGCGGGCGTAGAACAGGCAGTCATAGAAGATGCCGACGTTGCGCTTGAAGACGATCGCATCTACAAATACGTTCACCAGGGGACCTTGGGCAAGCACGCAGGCCGTCGCCGAGGGACCCGCTGGGACGATGTTTCAACTGAACTGTTCTACAAAGGCTTACGCATGTTTGGCACTGATTTCAGCTTGATCGCGAACCTTTTCCCGGGAATGGATCGAAGACAGATTAAGCTCAAATTCGTCGCTGAGCAACGGATCAATCCTGCTCGGGTGGAACGATCGGTAGCAACAAAAGAACCGGTGGACATCGAGGAATATGCAAGAATGACCAACCAGGAATTCCAAGATCCGGATGCCCTTCAGGCAGAGCTGGACGCGGAAGAAAAGAGGTTGAGGGACGAGGAGGAACGCCGACGCGCGAATCAGGGATATGTTGATGGTGCCGACGTAGCCCTGCCATCGACGGAAGGGGACGGCGATGGAGTTGGCGAGGACGGGCGAGAGGCGCATTTGGCATCTTTGGCCCAGGGAGTCGTCAATGCAGCTGGTAGGAAGCAGGGTCAAGTACGCCGGGGCAAGGAGCCTCTCGGACGTGGAAGACAGGCTAAGAAGAAGGGAATGCCCATGGAGGGCGTGGAGGAGAGGATCGGTCCCATCGAGGAAGTTTATGGAACTTGAAGATGGCGTGCTGACATGAGTGGCTTTTCTGCAAGATACCCCATTTAGAACTAAGAGAACTGCATTGTACATTCATGAAGAAATGTACTATGATCGAGACACAACGAGTGATGCACTTGTCGCTTCAGGGCTTTTCCCTTCTGTATTGCTCGGGTAGATTGCAACCTGAGGTGGTTAGGAGGACAGTGAAGTTGTAATTCATGATCTCGCCCGTACGGTAACTCATGATGAGATGCAGAAATATGATAATTTCCCAAACCACGTTGAGATCTATCTAGTAAGGACCATCATGGTCCAGATTTGAACGGTCCATCTGCTCGTTCGATAAGTATCCGATACCTGCCTAGGTAGGCACATTATGTACTTGTATAACGTCTGTGTTTTCCCCCAGTGACACACAACTTGAACCGCAGTAAAAACCAGTTTAGCCTGGCCAGCTGGAGTAAGCATAATCTCCATCATGAATACCAGCACAAACACTGTAGTTCATTTCCAAGGGTCTATCACACTGCACCAGACGTAACAAGTACGGCGCTTTCCGTTCACGTTCGTTTGTCCATCTCATGAAATTCAAGTTCAATATTGTTCACGAATTAAAAATCCGACTGTACAGCATCTCATGCCTCCCAATCCAAAGATCCATTGCAGGGACGACCTGACCCGCATCATCGGGTTGGAGAAACCAGACAGTTTCGAGGCTTCGACGAATCAAGTCTTGCAAGTCCCTTGAAGCAAGGACCGTTTGAGCCATGTAGGGTCCCATGACGGAGGCTCTGACCGCGGCGCTCACGACGGCTTTGGCATGGTTCAGCAGGAACAAATAGGCCGATTCTTCGAGATTGAGGCCCAGAGCGAGGCTTACCACGCCCCATAGGGGAGCGAGATGGCCGTTCGCCTTTATCGTGGACGTGGATATTGCAGATAACTTGAGATCTTTGGCGAAGACCTCGATGGCGGCGAAGGCCTCGGAATCGAAATTGGAATCGTCATCAGGGTCACGATGCGCCGCTGCCGACGCAAACGCTTTCTCCCATACACTTAGCAAGGCGCGGCCCTGTGCAACGCTCGCCCGGCGTGCCACGGTACATGGTGTAGAGGCGTCCAGGTCGTTGTCGAGATCCATTAGATCCAATGGATCGCGAAACGCAGCTAGGACGTAGGGGACGTTGGTCCATGCGATGGACTGGATTGAGAGTTTGAGGAACTTGTGGAATAGTGACAGGGGCGTCTGGGAAGATGTTTGGCCGGATGTCTGACCAGACGCACGCTCGTGTGGTGATTGTTGCTGCTGCTGTTGTTGTTGTTGTTTGTGGTGTGCTAGGAAGGATTCCAGTCCGCTCGAGTAGGCGAATGAGCCGAGCGGGAGGGCAGAGTCCGATAGGAGCATTAGGTTGTGAGTCGATGGGCCTAGCGGAAGGGAGACAGAGATTTGTATAGAAGAAGAGGAAGAAAACGGTGTGCCCTGGCCCTGGGATTGGGATTTGTCTCTTGATGATCCGGATCCCCCTTCGATGCGACGAAGCAGTGCCTTGGTTGTCTGGAGTTGGGCTTCGAGATCCAGAATCCGCCCGCGCAGGGCGTCGGCGTCTCTGGCATTCATGATATACAGTAATTGACTGATTGACTGACTGACTGACTGAGCAGAGAACAGGACGGGACGGATTCTGGTCTAACGATAGGACCTCACATTGTAGTAGTAGGAAAAGATCTTGGATACGCAGACTCCCAGACTCCGAGTCCCCCTAGAAACCAACCTGAAGGACAAGGCCTGAGGTTATCATTAAAGACAGTGAATATCTGACAGTACCTACCTTTATTAGTACATAAGGCAAAGTGTTCTCTTGCAATGTCATGAGTTCAGGTCGTGTGCACAAGGTTTGTTGCTATTTTAGCTTCAGCTGATTCGGCCAGTTGAACTCATCTCCACTTGATTCCATTTCATCCTGCAAAAGTCGATGATGGTATACATACAACATTTACTGCACCCACTGCCAGTGTGACACTCATAAGTCTTCCGCATCCAATCTCATAGCCACGCCCACAGTGGTGTCGTACCCCTCCAACACTCTCTACTTGGTAAACTGAGTCCCAAGCTGAGCATGGACGAGTAAAGTTTTGTACTGGCCCAGCATGTCCGGCAAAAGAATCCTCGACGCCCTCGCGCTCCTCAATGCGTCTGGAAATGTCGCTTCGAAGCATCTCGCCATCCGCTTGTCCCAAGCCAAACGATATGGACAGACTTCATCTCTCATCAAATCTCTAAAGAGACAGGCCCTCCCTGTGCTGTCCACCGCTGTTTCGCGATTTGGGTCGTCCTCCTCGTCGCAACAACCACCTAGACCTCAATCTGCGAAAGAAGGAATTCACCAGGATCATTTCTACGAACGCTCCGAACAGAACTCAACTACACAGCCACCCTCTACACAGGCACTGGACATTGAACAGGTCAAGGCAACAAGGGCACCCTTGCCAGATGGAACAATACCTCCCGACGACAGCCCTGCTGCTGGAGGGAATGAACATGAATCAGGCGATGGAATGAGCTTTAATAAGCGACCTGTGGCAGAGACGGCGCAGCATCCGATTGAGGCAGACAATAATGGCGGTGGCCGCGATTTGCATGTCAAGTCATCGTCCACCCAGTCCACCATTCCAGACCCGACCCTGGACAGCTCTCTTTCTCCGGACGAGGCTAGAAAACTACAGCGACTGTCCGAAGACCCAATCCCAGCAAGGACGGCCGAACCTCCCACGATAGAAGACAAGAACGAAGGAGAATTTGGGGTAGAACAAGAACAAGATGTCTTCTACCAACCGCCAGACAGTGTGAAGCCGGTCCTCTCGGCCTTGCCTCGTGTCCGTGTTCCCAAGTCTGAAAACGACGTTCAAGCGGGAGACTCCCACATTCCTCCAGGTATCAATGCCGACGTATACTATTCGGGTTCCAAGAAACAAGACCCATCCGAGCCTACAGAGGAGCAGCTGGCGCAACTCTTCCACAATCCGAAACATGCCAAGCTACTGGGAAAGAAGACGGCATATCCCCCGGGCTATGTTCCCGGGTCTAAACGACGGTTTCACATGACGAGAGTCTACCAGCAAAAGACGTCCAACGGAGAGACAGAAAGCATTCGACAGTTGGCGGCCGACATGGCCAAGGATACGGGCAAAAGCAGAGTATGTTCTTATTCCAGACTCCGCAATGGACAATTCCCCTCAACTGATGCTCAGCTGACAGATGACCTAGACGGCGCAAGCACAAGTGGCCCAGCCGTATCAGATGCGCGAGTCGAGGGTTCCTTCAACAAGATTTGGCCGGCTAATTGAGTATGGAGGACTGGCAGCGTCAATGGCCTTTGGAGCCGTCAGCGAAAGTATCAGTCGGTCAGGAGGGCCGGACGGGTCTGTAATGCTGAGCGCCGCGAACATGGAACGCCTGGTAGCCAAGTTGTCCAAGATGCGCGGTGCCGCGCTAAAGCTAGGCCAAATGATGAGCTTCCAAGATGCAAAGATGCTGCCCAAACCCATTCATGAGGTGCTCCAACGCGTCCAAGATAGCGCAGACTACATGCCGGCATCACAGAGAGACGCCGTGATTGCCTCCAATCTAGGTCCCAATTGGCGCGACTTGTTTGAGCAGTTTGAGGAGCGGCCCCTGGCTGCCGCCTCCATCGGACAGGTGCATGGCGCCGTCTTGAAGAAGGACGGCCGCCGTGTCGTCGTCAAAGTCCAGTATCCTGGCGTCGCCGACTCCATCTCTTCGGACCTTAACAATCTTTCCCTGCTTCTCACGGCTTCTCGCCTGTTGCCCAAGGGCTTGTATCTCGATAAGACCATTGCCAATGCCCGCACCGAACTGGCCTGGGAATGTGACTACGAACGAGAAGCCGAAGCGGCGAAAAGGTTCCGGCAGCTGCTCGCAGATGATCAGGAGGCTTTTGCTGTGCCGGAAATCATTGATGAGGCTTCGGGCAAGCAGGTTCTGACCATGGAGCGCATGGAAGGGATTGCAGTCACCAAATTGATTTCTACCCTGACGCAAGAGCAGAGAGACTGGATTGGGACGCAAATCCTCCGCCTGTGTCTAAGAGAAATCACCGAGTTTCGGTACATGCAGACAGATCCGAACTGGACCAATTTCTTCTACAATCCCAAAACCAACAAGCTGGAACTGCTGGATTTTGGTGCATCCAGAGAATACCCTGCATCCTTCGTCGACCTCTACGTCAAGGTTCTTGACGCGGCTGCGAGGAACGACCGGAATGCTTGCAGGGACCTCTCCATCAAGCTGGGTTATTTGACCGGGTACGAATCCAAGACCATGATGAATGCCCATATCGACTCGGTCATAACTCTGGCTGAGCCTTTCACGGATTCGGCGCCCGATCTCTATGACTTTGAGAACCAAACCATCACCGATCGCGTGCGGAGTTTCATCCCAGTCATGCTCAGAGAAAGGCTGGCTCCGCCTCCAGAGGAGACGTACAGTTTACATCGTAAATTGAGCGGTGCTTTTCTCCTGTGCGCAAGACTGGGCAGTCGTGTTAGATGCAAAGATCTCTTTCAGCATGCTCTCGTCAGGGCAGGACTGCGGTGATCCCACACAGTTGTCTCAATATAGCAAATCATCCTCATCTTCCTCACTGTGTTCGAGGATCGTTTCCCGCAGAAGACCGGCTCGGCTCGAACCAGCAACACTTGGACTCAGTGGGCTACTAGACGGACCTGCATGAGACAACTTTCGACCGTCTCGCATGATTTCTTGAAGCAGCGGCTGCGATGCGATCAATCTGGCCTGCACAGCCCGTTTCTGTTGCTCCTCGAGTTGTTGTTGTTTTTGCTTCTTGGCCTCTCTGGCCTTTCTGTAAGATATCGCATCATGCCCTTTGGGCCGGTTTGGTTTTGGGGAAGGTTTCCGGTCCAAGTCGAAGAGCATGACAAAAGTTACCATGGTAAAATGCAGGAGGAGTCCGAGAAGGGTTCCGATCAGGACTGCGCAGCCCAGGAAATACCACACTGCCTGTAAAAGGTGTCAGCCGAGTCTGTCTAGGCCAGAAGCTTTGGTTTATGGAGAGAACTGACCTCGAAACGCGCAAAGATACGCCATGGGATCAACGATATGCGCGCAAGGAAATGCCCTAGGGACACGAAGGGAGTCGATAGTAATACCAAGATGTACCATAGTACCCTCAGCACCAGATAAATCGGAAACAATGCATAGTAGAGCACGGTAATAGTGACTGAAAGCCAACGCGGCCAGCTCCAACCGGTCGTCATCTCACTCGCCAGTATCGGACCATGGTCGGAAGTAGAAGGGAGTGCCAGTATTTCGGACGAGGGAGTTGGGAGTGGCAGCTGATGGTCGAGTGTTCTGCCAGTGATTTGGAGCCGGGTAACCTGGCTTACTGCCAGCATGAGCTGTAAATGTTGGTACCTGGCGTCGTACCTGGTACCAGTGTCTACGAGGTACAGAACCAAGGGTTGACGCAGGAAACATGACGCCGACGTAGTAACAATAATATTGGATTTAAGGAACCTTTGGCTGCAGGCGTCATTATTGGGTCCCCAAGACAGAAGCTTGGTACCCGGAAGTCCTCCCCGCATCGTCCAGTTTGGCCAGCCCAATGGCACCTTCTCCAGGTCTAAGGACCCTCTAATTAAGCTGCAGGTGCCCTTACATTAACTGACGTTTACCTAAAGTCTCCCTGGGCTTAGGTTCGAGCAACGCAGTGTAGCGCAGCCACTAGGCACTTGGCCTACCGCCGTCCCCCTCTGCGCTCCCCATCTCTGGTTACTCTCGTTCAATTGCTACTGTGCCAGCAGCTACTACTACCGACTGCCTACCACTACTAGCAGCGAGTACGGTATTAGTGAGAACGTCACCAAGCCTCAAGTTGAGCTTGGAGATCATTCACTGCGTCGCCAGCGATCCTGGCTCTCATTCTACTTCTTCCCCCTGTTTGCATCTTCCGCCCTCCGTCCTCCGATCTTCTGGGACTCGAGACACCGGATGTTCATTCACTTGGAGCCTACGAAGTTCTCTTCTGATTTCCTGTCTCCGTGATAAGCCTCACCGTGAGTAGGGGTGATTCCCTCTACTCTTCGCAGGTGTCGCACGACAGCCGAGTCCACATACCGCAAACCAACCTAGAACCCTCAAAATGGGACAACAACAATCCTCTGAGAAGGGCTCGAGTTCGAGGACTGGGACCCCTCAAGCCGAGAGAGACCGCAAGGTTTCTCGCAGAGTCTCCATCCAAGCCCTATCGCAAAGTCGAGCAACCCCCGTTGACCCATCAGCGACAAAGGACACCGCAGTTGCGCAAACCACCTCCCAACACCTAGACAAACCCGATTTGCAACAGTATTTGCAAGCTTCTTCGTCTCCCGACCAGCAAGCAAGAGCTGGCAAAGTCGAGAGGTCGTCCTCCAGAGCCTCGCGTGCGCATAGAAATGAGTTGGAACAGCGACCGAAACAACAACCATCACCTGCTCCGGCGCCGCCGCAAGCATCGGGCCCAATGGATGTCCCAGCATCGAGGAGCAAGCAGGAATCGGTGGACGAACCGGTCGAGGAACCTAATAACACCTACCACGATCGACGGTATACGCCAGTGGCCCAACTTCGCCCTCCACGTCTTCCTCTGCCCATAGCTGATGTGCCTATCCCCGAATCGCCTACCTTGCTCCCAGTCGATAGAGGAAATGCAGATGTTCCCATTTTCGAGACAGATGAGCCTCTCTCTGCCATCGAACCTCAGACTACCAGGAAAAGTTCTATGTTGAGTACGACAACGCAGTCTGAGGAAGAGGTAGGAGAGGAACTGCAGCCTTTCGCGGTCGATACTGCCACGGCTCAAACTGTTCCTACAGTCATCGAATGGAACCATGGCGGGAATAAGGTCTACGTGACGGGTACGTTTGCGAATTGGGAAAAGAAATATAGACTTCATCCGAGGTGGGTTTCATCCTTTTGATTCTTTATTTTGTTGTGTCAGACACGACACCCTTGAACCATGCCACGAGGTGCTTGGGTCCGTCGAGCCCGAGTTACGGACAAGCTTTCTTGTCCATCGGCGCCATAATATACCTTGCAGGGCCGCCCTCTGCTATAGCAGGCTGACATTATAACAGAAAGAACGGTCCTGGCATGTTCACCACCATTAATCTTCCCTCTGGCACGCATCATCTTAAATTCGTGGTGGACGGTGAAATGGTCACGAGCCCGGATCTGCCGACGGCGGTCGACTTCAACAATTTTCTCGTCAATTACATCGAGGTTGCCACAGAGGACCTTACCAAGCCGAGGAGGGAAAGCGCCCAAACAGGTAGTAAATCGTCAGCACTTGCGGCCGTCGAGCATGAGCACGGTCGATCTGGAACTCATACACCTGTTTCCGAGATGGGAGAGCCTCAAGCAGAGGAGATTCCAGAAGGCGATTTCCGGCAACTTGTTCCACAAGCCCTGTTGGATATTGACCTTCCAGAGGATGACCACCGGTATCATAATGCGGTCCGAGTCATCCAAGAAAGCCCAGCACCTCCAGCCCTGCCTCTCTTCCTAAGCAGATCCATCTTAAATGGCGTACTACCGGTCAAGGACGATAACAGCGTCCTCACCCTGCCCAACCACACCGTCTTGAACCATCTCATGACCAGCAGTGTTAAGAACGGTGTGTTGGCGACCAGTGTGACGACCCGATACAAGAAGAAGGTGAGTGTGGCCCTTGACGAGCGCTTTCTGCATGCTAACCGGCCTGTTTTAGTACGTGACGACAATTTCATTCAAACCAGTGCCTCAGTTCCAGACGGCTCAATAGCGATGAATGGTAGCGGGTGCCGCGGGTTGCGTGTTGTTTTGTTGGCGAGCATTGATTGCATTTCGGGCATCAACGATTTCATGACTTGATGATCAAACGAGGACCAAGAGGAGCCTCTCTCATTGTATGCTTCGCGTGTGCTCGTAAGGTGGGAAGCCCCCACCGCAGCATAGAATACTTTGGGTGAAATTCAATCTTCTCTCCACGCGACGTGAACGTCGTCTGTGCGAAATCTCTGTGTGCAAGTGCTTTCCTCCAGCGGAGTTGAGAAGCCGGTTTTGTAGGCAAGGAGACCAGCGTGGGCAATCATGATACCATTGTCGATGCAAAATCTTTCATCAGTAGCATAGACGCTACCACCGCGATCCTTGGCCATGATGCCCATCATCTCTTGAAGTCTCTCGTTGCACCCCACGCCGCCGACAATCAAGACCTGGTTTGAGCCGACGTGGGCCATGGCTCTCTCGGTGATCTCGACCAGCATAGCAAAAACAGTTTCTTGAAGAGAGAAGCAGAGATCTTCCGGGGTGACCACGTCTCCAGTGATAGGGTCCTTGAGTGTGCCGGCCCTCATGTTACCCGCGAGTTCGTCAACCCGGGCCAGTATTCCGCTGAATGAACAGTCCATGCCTTTGACCGCGTACGGAAGGTCCAAGAGGACTTTGCCCTTCTTGGCCAACTGCTCGATGTTATAACCGGGGGCCGGGTCGTTGGAAATGTTCAGTGTCCGCGCAAATCTGTCCAGACAATTGCCGACGGCGATGTCCAGGGTCTCGCCGAAGATGCGATAGCGCTGCGTACTGTAGGCAATGACTTGAGTGTTGCCTCCGGAGACGTATAGGACGACCGGATTCGTGGCCCCCGTGATCTCCCGCCCCATCTCGATGTGGCCGACGCAATGGTTGACCCCGACGAGCGGTTTGTTCCACAGCAGACTCAGCGTCCTGGCGGCGATGGCGATGCTCTGCAGTGGTGCTCCCATCCCAGGTCCCTTGGTGTAGCAGATACAGTCAATGTCCTGCAATTTCACCCCCGCCTCCGCCATGGCTTGCTTGACTAGCCGCGCGACATGGGCCCGGTGGTGCTTGGCCGTGTCCTTGGGCAAGAAGCCTTCTCCAGGCGGCGACACGTACGTGTCCCGGATGTTAGATAGGATTTGCGCCGGCCCTCCTTTCAGGGGTTGCAGAATCACGCCTACTCCTAGTTTGTTGGCGGAGCCTTCGAGACCGATGGCAATCATTTTGTTTGTTTGTTGAAATTAAGGACGACTTGAATGGACTGGACCTAGACTTGCTGCCTTTCTCCAAGTTGTCGACAGTCAGTACGACTGGACAAGCGAACAACCAGGTTGCACGGCCTAGACCAAAGGTACAGATGGTTCTTATGTATGGGACTGCAAGGGGGAATGTCGTCGTCCTTACTTGCTGTCGCTTTCTTCATGTGAACTACTGGTACCTACGGAACGACTCACGAGGCTAAGAGAGGATCAAATATCAAGCGGAGCAGGCTACAAAATGTTGCATTAGGACTAGTGTGTCGGAGAGCCATAGTACTAGTACTACTATGACCTAGCATACAACTCACGTGACTGTCCTGGACCCTGGCTGGAGGCTTCACCACCAGACTCGGACCAATGACGCACATGTTCACAAGCTGTCTTAGTAATCCATCCACTGCGGAGCCAGAGACTGCGTTTTAATGATTCAAGTCTGTTCTTGTCGGCTTCTCAAAACCTTGAAAGGCCGATGCCTTGGCGCGCAAGCGGTGTCCCTCGAGTCCTCCCAGTACAACCACCGCAGAGTCTCTGTTCGCACATTCTTCAGGCCTGGTGATCTTGCATTTACTTAGGCACTTTCTTTTCCTGTCGCTCAGTCCATCCAGCGGCTTTGTTTTGCAATGGCAGCCCCAATGCAGGAGCCGGACACCCTGGGATTTGACCAGACGACGACGCAGTTCGTGAACTGGTTCACCGCGGCTAATGGAACCCGACTTAGTCCCAAGGTTCAGTTGAAGGATCTCAGGCATGAGAACGCTGGAAGAGGCGCTGGTATGGTTCACACGTCCTTTTGTCAATGTCCATTGCTCACAACTGGCCTCCAGTCGCGATAGCAGATATCGCCTCAGATGAAGAATTGTTCGCAATTCCTCGATCCCTGGTCCTCACTACCGCGACATCCAGCATTCCCCGCTCCGTCCTCAAGGAACTAGAGGACAAGGGTGCCACCGGGGCATGGCCGCCATTGATCGTGACCATCATCTACGAGTATTTGCGAGGAGAGTCCTCTCCGTGGCATCCCTACTTCAAGATCCTGCCCACCACCTTCAACACCCTCATGTTTTGGAATGATGCCGAGCTTGCCGAGTTACAAGCCAGTGCAGTGGTTGACAAGATTGGGCGTCGTCAGGCCGAGGAAGAATGGCAAAACACCATCATTCCTACAATGGCAGACCACCCTGATCTCTTTCCTGTGGGCGGGTCCTCCGCGAAACTCATCGAACTTGCCCACATGGCTGGCAGTTTGATCATGGCGTACGCTTTCGATATCGATCGAGACGACATGGAAGATGACAATGACAACGACAAAGACGGCGCTGATTCTGCAGACGACGAGTTCGAGGAGGATGACGAAGATGAGCCATTCAAGGGCATGGTGCCATTTGCCGACATGTTGAATGCTGACGCCGACAAGAACAATGTTTGTCTTACCCACCTATGCACATATTTCCTTCTCACTGACCGACTTTTGTCTCTTTTTCAGGCTCGTCTGTTTCAGGAACCTGACTACCTCATCATGAAGGCCACAAAGCCAATCTCAGCCGGCGAGCAAATCTTCAACGACTATGGCCCTCTCCCTCGCTCCGACCTTCTCCGTATGTATGGCTATGTCACCGATAACTACGCTCAGTACGATGTCGTCGAGTTCTCGCATGACCTTTTGCTCGAGGTGGCTGGGAAACACAGCAAGAGCAAGGATCAAGTATGGCGGGAGCGTGAACAGCAACTTGATGAACTTGGTGTGTTAGACGACGGTTATGCTATTACCCGGCCCGAGTACGACACCCAAGGTCTCCAGGATGTGCTTCCTGGACAGGTACACATGCTCTTGCGAGCTCTTTGTGCGCGTGAAGATGACCCCAAAGCCCTCAAGAAGCCCAAGGACGCTGTCACAGTTGAAGAAGCCGCTCTGCTACAGGCAGTGCTTACCAAGAAGCTGAGCGAGTATGCCACGTCTTACGAGACAGACCAGGCAATTTGGGGCGCCCTGCGGTCGAACCCTCCTGGTTTCAATGTGCCAGCCGGTTGCAATCCGCAGCGATTCTGGATGGCACTCCAGGTCAGGATAGGCGAGAAGGAAATCTTGCGACAACTAATTGCATTATGCCAGGCGCACATCAAGCAGAAGTCCGAGGAAGTCGCTGCTGGAGCGTCCAAGCGAAAACACGACGGCAGCACAGATACGCAATCAAGGAAAACGGCAAGAAGAGAAAAACACCGGTGATGTCTTTGTGGAGTGTGAGTTGTGTCATTCATTTTGAATGATTTGAGGCGCTGGCCTCAAAGTACTATGTACAGGGTGTTTGTGTGCCGACAACAAGAAGCTTGCTGTCTCCGGCAACATCTGGTTTCCATCCAAGGCGATCATCATAACGAAATCTTACACGCCCCAGACGAGGCGATCCTGCAATCAAACAGGTTCCAGCGGCATCTCAGCCGCGAGAAGAGAGTTTTTGAATTGTGCTCTCCGGTAAAACGTTGCAAAAAGAGGTGTCCGATGATTCAAGACATTTCACGAAGGTGCAGGTACTGGTGTTGCTTGGGTGTTGGTCGTTGATGGTGGGTGACTTGGCCCACCGCTCTCGATTTGAGCTCTTCTGGCCGACATGGCCTGAGCATCGGCCTGCCGGCTGCTGCCGAGGAGATATGCTCGTTGGGACATTCGAGAAAAGATCATGTCTTCAGACGAATCCACGTCGAGCATCTCGTCATCGTCCGAATCGAATTTGAATCTATCATCTTGCGAAGGGTCTCGGTGCATCCGAGGAAGTTTCCGGTCGATCATGACGCGCCCGCCTCTACCTATCCTCCGTCGAAATGATGGCATGTGTCCGACAGTGTCCTCATCTGCAGGACTGGCGTAACGGAAAAGTGTGGAAGGTCGTGACACATCCTTCATTACCACATCTACTCCATCAGGCTGTTGCTGTTGTTGCTGCTGCTGCTGCTGCTGCTGCTGCTGCTGCTGCTGAGCCTCGTCATCCGAGATACTAGCTGGCGGTGTGGGGAGGTATTCAGTTGCAGCCATGGCTTCTCTGAAGAGACCGTCTGGTTCTGGACAGCTGTCTTCAAGCTCTGGGGTAAGTGGTGCCATTGTCTTGTCAACAAACCCTTCATTCCATCTGATGTGTTTCTCAATGTTGGTTTGGATTTCTTTCTGGATTTCACGTTCCCTAGCGGCGGTGACCTCCTCCAGAGTTCGAAGTTCGGTCCCTTGCCCAGATGCCATTGGCATCCTGAGTTGCTGAGCTATCGCAGCTTGGTTGGGGGTCATGCCAGACGGCAATTTTTGCTTCTGCGCAGACAGGTAAGTCTGGGAGGCTTTCTTGCTGGGTGCAACAAGGATTACCTTTTGGTTGACGAGGAGATCCTCATCGCCTTTGATGCCCAACTTTCGCTTGGTGTCTCGGAGCGCCGTCCGCTGCTCGAACAGCAGCCGGTCTGTCTCCAAACATTCCTTTCGAAGCAGCTCTCTTCGCTTTACCATTAACAGGATGCCTCGAGCCGTCTCCAGCTCAAGCCGCAGTTTGCGCAGCTTGTCAGCACTCTGAGCATCTCGATTTCTCGTCTTGCGAATCTGGCGCAGTTCTCTTCTCCGGAAGCACACATATGGGTCTGCATCATCGGACTCTTGGCCAGTCTCGAATTTCAGACGAGGAGCCAAAGGACGGTTACCTGTGGCGGTACGCCGAGCCTTCCAATGCTCATATATTAACTTGGAGAAGACGCGAACATGGGCAGGCGTGTCCTCGTCGAACTGTTCCTGCAGTTCTTCTAAAGGTAAGACGGGCGGGCTATCGACAGCAGCAAAGGGTTGCTTGGCTTGAGCAGTTTCTTCAAAGAAGTTCATAACCTCTTCGAATTGGTCTTCGGTGCAAGGAGCCTGACCAGCAGGCAATCTAGCATTGAGAAGCTTCAAGGCAAGTTCATCCTCTTCATCCATGCAATATGCCACTCCAGAACAGTCTTCGACTGTAGCGGAGAAGCGGATGTAGGTGGCAGGCTGTTTCCAACCCTTGGGGTAAAGAACGTCATACTGGACATCACTGGCAATGGTAGGTGGAGTTGGAATGTAGGCATCTTTGGCTTTCTCGGCCTTTTCAGCCGCCTTTATGGCTTGTTGGAGATGGTATTCCTGAAAGTGAAGTGCGGGTTAGTATTGCCACTGCACGGAGCGAACAGAATGGATGGGCGGTGTTGGCAATAAGAAGCGAAGAGTGTTTGTGCCAAGGTGTGGTGGTGACTAAGCAGGGTGGGAAAGGACAGAGCGACAAGAATGGCATGAAGCAGGAGTGAACAGGTAGGGAAAGAAAGAGGAAAATAGCTGCAGGTGCAGGGCGAGCACATACCGCTTCTTCGGCCTTTTCAACACCAGTTTCTATGGCAACACGTTGAAGATCATAGTCGACAAGAGGCTCGACTTGATCTTCACGAAAAATTGGAACATTTTGTTTGGCGTTGAGTTTCTTGGGGCGGGTATGCCTGCCTGCCGCGCGCGACATGGACGCTTTTGGGCGACAACCTCATCAAGGAAGACCCGAAGCCCGCCGCAGCACCGGCGCACCCAAGTAGAATAATTAGAAAACGGTGGTCAATAATTCACCAAACCGACATGAAAATGTAGCGCTTGATGCAGTGAGATGCTTTATCGCCTTTGAATGATGAAAAACGCGCCGGGTGCGGGCGTTTTCGATGGGAGAAGAATTTTTGCAGCTCGTGGTGGGTGTGGTGGTTGAGCGTGTGCGAGGCAGCAAAGAGTGCAGGTTTGCAGGTGCGCAGGTTGCAGGTTGGCTTGCGTGGGGGGAGGCAAGGGAGCGAGAGAGAGCGAGAGAAGGCGAGAGGAGGAAGAAACGTGATGAGAGACGGGACGAGATGGCGCAGTGCCAGTGTCAGTGCAGTCAGTAAGGCCGGGAAGGGCGCAAATAATTGCGATGATTGTCATTATTTGATGGGGTTCGGGTGATGCAAGAGTCACTGCTACTGGGCAAAGATTGCAAGTAGAATAGCGGGTGCAATGGTGCCTGCTAGGGGAGGTTTAGGCACTCATGGTCAAGGGCGTTAGGTAAGGGGCCACACGGCAGCAAGCCTAAAAGCTAGTCTGTTCTAGGCGGGGTGTGCGCCCGGTGCAATCTGCACGGATGCCTGCACTCCTGCACTTGGTATTCTATGCTCGACTGTAGCACGTGTACAGTGAATCATTGAGTCGAACTTAGGTACGGAGCAACATATGCACCTACAATGTAGGTAGCAAGTTGGCGCAACATCACACCAGGCACCTAGGTGCCAGGACTTTGCTCCAGCCATATGTACACGCAATCATACTAGGTATACAAAATTATAGTGGTATAATCGGACTGGTTCTAGATTCACTGCAATCAGTTCTGATCATGATTCAGTGACGCTTCGGGCTTAGATACCTAGATACCTAGATACCTGGAGAGCAGCACTCATAACAAGAACCTCGAGGCGTTTTGAGATTTCGAGGTGCTAGACAGTGTTGTGTGCACAGCTTTCCTCTTGGCGTCCGCCTCGATCGTACCTAAACAACCCTCCAGCTGAGTCAGCTGAGGCGCGCGCTGACGCCATATACATAAATAGTCTAGCGTCATCCCACAAACTGTGGCGCCACGAACCTGTGGCTCGTGAGCCATGAACTCCAAGTGACTGCGGACTGGACTTGTTCGGCCTCCGCTGCGCTGCGCTGCATGTTTCACAGTGCACGAGATCTGAGAGTCTGCCAACATACAACCTCGAACAACATTCTTCTACATTTTTTTCCAGAGCCTAGTCCAACAACACGATACCCCGCGACTTGATTACGGTAGACCACTGCAGTCTTTGTTCTCGCCTGTGATATCTCGACTGCGTCGTCTCCCCTATTCCTTTCGACTATAAACCCCCATCTCCGAGCCCAGCCTTACCGCTGACACTTGACCACGAGCTCGACATACATCTTCGACACACGACGGTCTCGTCATGGCTACACCAGCATACGGCGCCCAGTCCGGCACAGTTGCCGAACCCAACAATGCTGCCCTCTACGATGCTCGGAGAAGACAAACCGTGACGGGTTCCCAGATCCTAGATAACATTGTGTCCGGTTCCAATTGTGCGTTTCCACTCCCACTTCATCCCCTCTCGATATTTATGGCTTCTGGCCGTGAGTCTCGGGCTGCATGAAAGGGCAAGAGCAGGGATGTTCAGCGCGGTGTGACTTGCAGGACCGGAGGCCACTATAACAGAACAAACGAAGCGAGAGATGATCAGGCACTAACGAACCGTTCATACAGTCGACCGAGATGAAGTGGATAGACTACGGAAGAGGTTCATGAAACTGGATAAAGTAAGGACCCTTTCCTCCGAGCTGAAGTTTGTCCATGTGGCCGGCGGCGGCTGGGGCCGTGCGTGGTTGGGTACTGGTACTGACAAACGAACCAAAACTTGTAGGACAACAGCGGCACCATTGAAAGGGAAGAGTTCTTGTCGTTACCACAAGTCTCATCGAATCCTTTAGCCACGAGGTAAGAGACAAGAAATGGCAGCTCCTTGTTTCGCGCTGCCATCATCTCCCTTTTTAGGCCGACAGGGGTGGTGCAGTGGTGCTATGGTTTCCTGTCTCGTGACCCTTTGCACCTACGCTGCGTTCAAGACATTTTATTCTAACGGGTTCTCTTTGGGGCTGTGCAGAATGATTGCCATTTTCGACGAAGACGGTGGCGGCGATGTCGACTTCCAAGAATTCGTTCTCGGTCTCTCGGCGTTCTCGTCCAAGGGCAACAAAGAAGAGAAACTGAAGTTCGCGTTTAAGGTCTACGACATCGATCGTGACGGCTACATTTCCAATGGAGAACTTTTCATCGTGCTCAAGATGATGGTCGGGAGTAACTTGAAGGATCAGCAACTCCAGCAGATTGTCGACAAGACCATCATGGAGGCCGACAAGGATGGCGATGGCAAGATCAGCTTTGAGGAGTTTACCCAGATGGTCGAGAGCACGGATGTCAGTATGAGCATGACGTTAGGTAAGTTGTCAACAGACTATCATTTACTCTCACGAGGGAGGTGGTTGCAAGAAAGAAAGCGATTTGGCTTGCTGACCGCAACCCTCACAACAGATCAATTCTGAGCAAGCTTTGCTTTTGATATTCATCCATGATCAGATCGGCCTTACAGGCCTGACTGGGTTACGGCCGATGGGCGGTGCGTGGTGTGGCTCTCTAGACTCCCGGAGAGTCAGATACTGCAGATTCACTGCAGATTGCTGCGATGCCAGTGGTGCTTGAGTTTAGCGGCAAACGAAATGACATCCGACACGACATTGTTACCTACCTAACATTTGCCGTTGCGAATCACGACACTAACAGTCCCACCCGATACCCATGGATTGGGCTGACACACACGGGTTATGGCTAAAACACACATTTTACAACCTGAGCGAGATCCGAGCCATCTTCCTAGTTACTGTATACTGTGTCCTCTTTGCTTAATCCTGGCTACTTCCACCTCCTCTGGGCTCAGGTTTCCTCCACTTCCACATAAATTCCTTGTCGTCCGTCCTAGCCATGCGAAGGACTGACAGAAGTTCAATTCGAGGAGTGTGTTTTCTTCGAATTCAACTGACTTGAGGCGCCAACAAATGTTGTCAACAGGGAAGAGGATACTGTTGTACTAGAACGTACACTAAGTACAGCTCGTGCTACCGCTACAGGAGACGAGAACGGCCACCTTGACCGCCACAAAATGCGACGATGTGTTTCTGAGACTTTCATTTTTGAATCTCTCTCATTTCCTTCTTTCCATTTTCAGTTCGGTTCAGTTTCTTTTGCATTAGTCCAACATACGTACCTAGGTAGGGACGTATGTATATGCATATGTACCTACTATATATGTCCACTGTTTTGGGGGGTTTTTTCCTTGGTCATCCCAAATCCCCATTTTGTTCGCTTCTTCATTGGTTCCCCTTCAGGATGCCCTGGAGGACATTGCAGACAGCATCACCGATCTCCCTCGTAGTAGCTTTCCCGCCGAGATCGCCGCTTCTGATTTCAAGACCACCAATATCCTTTCCATCGAGGACCTTTTGAACAGCCTGCTCAACAGCAGCAGCTTCGTGAGCCAGACCAAAAGAATAGCGTAACATCATAGCAGCGCTCAAGATCTGGGCGACAGGATTGACTATCCCTTTGCCAGCAATGTCGGGAGCCGAGCCATGAACAGGCTCATAGATACCATTACACCGACTCTTGCCGTCCGGGACACCACAGAGACTTGCCGAAGGCAAAACCCCGAGGGTTCCCACCACGCCACCAGCCTGGTCAGACAACATATCGCCGAAAGTGTTGTCGGTGTGGATGATACCATTGAACATGCTTGGGTTCTTGACCATCAGCATACTCAGCGAATCAGCGAGCTGGTGTTTGAGCGGGATATGGGGAAACTCTTTGGCGAACACCTCGGACGTGACGCGGCGCCAGAGTCGGCCTGAGGCAAGCACGTTGGCCTTGTCACTTGACCAGACTGTTGCGGGCGGCCCGGTCCCTTTGCCTTTGCCATCCTGGCCCATGGTCGTGGCTAGGGCTGCTGCGACGCGTGCACATCGCTCGATTTCGTCGCGTCGGTATGCCCATGAGTCGCTGGCGAAGTCGGATTCTTCGACTTTGGGCCCAAAGTAGGCGCCGCCGCAGTTCTCTCGTAGCAGGATAAAGTTGGTTCCTTCGGCGATTGATTCTTTGAGTGGGGATAATGGGATCAGGGATCGTGAGTAGAATGTGCACGGGCGGATGTTGGCGAATGCGTTGAGGTGTTGGCGGAGGCGGAGGAGGCCGGATTCGGGGTTGGGGTATGTTGTGCCCCTGTTGACGAAAGAGATGATTGTCAGTCATTTGACAACAGGACGAGGTTTTCGTCTCAGGAAGACATAAAAGAAGCGCTGGCCTGCTCTGGCAAGAGACCGAAATCACTTGGAGCGCCGGCAAACATACAATGTGGGCAAGAATGAGGAAACACCTAAGACATTTGCAGATGTAATAGCAGGGAAACAACATATAAGCCAGGAACTTGAAGCCGAACTTGAATCATCAGACCAAACCGGAAGCCAGAAGACAGAAGCAAGAAACAAGCCGCAGCAAAGAACAAGAACAGGCAGAGTAGTTAAACTCAACAGTAGAAGCCACTACACCCACGAGGGCCAAAGAGTGGTTGGTCCACGTCCAGTCCAGTCCACACGCATCGTATCGTACCCGTACCCGTACCGCACCCCTTCAAGTTTGAGCGTGGTATAATGTATAGGTAGGTAGTCGTGAACTTGAACCGCAAGAAAGACGCGATGTATTCAGATCCACCCTTCATCTGGCCCGCTGGACTCGAAGCCACGAACAGCGCCCTCAAATATTCCATTTTTTGTGCTTGCAAGCCTGGGTCTCATCCACCCACTCAAGACAGGCAGGAAGGCAGGCAAAAGCAAGATAAGACAAATCACCTGACCCCGGACCCAAACTCCAAAGCCAAGTCTGCCCTGACCTGACCAGAAGACCTGATCTCTCGGGAGATACTGCTACAGGAGCTGGAATGGACTCGATATCATCCATGCACACTTGCACCAGAACAGCATAGCACAGCACAGAAACGCAACAGACTTGCATTGCAACGCAACCAAGCGACACAACACAAACCAGACCAAAATTTCACATTCGAAACGAGGGCAACTCAAACTCACCACTCAGGTCCACCCACACTACCGAACAAAACGGCATCACTTTCCTCCTTCGCGATCCTCAACACCTCGTCCGTGATCGGTGTACCATGCTTGTCGATGCTGCATCCACCCGCGATCTGGTGATTATATTGAAACTTGACCTTTCCGTCCGAGGCTGTCTCAACGACGTCGAGGACGCGAAGGGCTTCGGCCATGACTTCGGGCCCGACGTGGTCGCCTGGGAGAACGAGGATACGGAATGTTTGAGAGGACATGGTGACGACGGACCACAGGAGTTCACAAGCAGTCGAGGAAGAGGAACGATTGCTCTTTCTTGATCAGTGGTGTTGTGTAAAGACAAGAGCCAGTGGTGGTGGTGGTTGTAGATGTTGATGTTGGTGGTGGTAGTGGTGAGTCCCCCGATGGCCGGCTTCGGCTGTAATTTTGTAATACCAATCAATACGTGGAGAGGACCAGGTAAAGCCCCAGCACACCCCGCTGAAAAGAGAGGGAGGAGATTCACAGCCGGGGCAAGCCTTGCCACTGGTGCTCGTTGTGATGACCTCCTATTGCCAGCTCTTCAATTGGAGAATCGAAAACGAAAAGGACGGAGATGGAGCCGTTAAACAACTTTATGCGGTACAGTCCGAGAGACTCGGAGACCAAGGATATCGGCGTCGACATCGGAGCACTCGACAATTCGATTGCGGGGGAGCAGTCGTACTGTCCTCGGCTCAGCCTGGCCTGGCCTTGTCACGTGCTCCGATATCATAATGATACCGGGGGACTAGACGACCATCAAGACGAGCCCGGAAGAGATAAAAGCAAAGGCAAACTACTACTGTAGCATTATGAAAAGGAAAAAAAAGGAAAAAAAAGAAGTCCTGTCATGTTCTCGCCCGTCCTGTCGTCATCACCATTAAGATAAAAATACCTAATAGTCCTGCGCTCACATGACAATACAGTCCCGATCCTTGTCTTGCCTCATATCGGCATTCACATTCCCCATCCCAGTCCCCATCCCCGGTCTTGACGAAGAAGAAGGAGATCCTGTCCCTTGCAACCTCTGTGGACCCAGACTATAATACTGTCCCAGAGTGTTCATGGTCTCATTATACGCACTCGTCCGCCGCTGTCGCCTCCCACTCCCAAACATACCCCCCGCCGCATTAGGGCCAGGAGGATGAGCAGGAGGATAAGAACCAGGTCCCGACGTCGATGCGCCAGTGCCGGCCGAAGCTGACGTTCGACTGATCGTCCCACTGAGCTGGGTGTTTGAATTCATCGGACTCGGCTCGGCAGACGGATGCAATGGACTCCCCAGCGGAGGGATATATGGCGGACCTTTGGCTGCTTCTTCATACGCCGGTGGCGCATCGTCATCGAGAGCATCGGCTGGACGGTTGACGCCGGGCCTGGTGTTGGCAGTGGCTGTAACGCTGTTGTGTGAGGTTCGCGGTGGTATAGCTGGTCGTGCTTCTGCCGGTGGTTGAACCGATATAGGTATATTGCTGACTCCCGCTCCGGCTCCCGTTGACCTCCGTGGATTGATGGTGTTGTTATTGTTACCACGACCAGCTCCTGTGTTGGGAGTACTCGGAGTTGCACTACTCCGTCGTCGGTTCCTTTCCGCTCGCTGCCTCTGCTCTTCTTCCTCTTGCAATTGTAAAGCCATGGCAAAGTCGGCGTCATGTTGTTCCTGTTGCTCTTGTGGCGACAGAGGACCGGCACCTGCAGAAACCGGAGGAGCTGACAAGTGCTGCTGCGAAGGCCCATGTCCCGTAGGCTGTCCGCCGTCGTTATGACTGACGGGCATGAAATCGCCAGAAAAGAATTCATTGTTTTTGCCACTGATGTCCACCAGGCTCTCCCAAATAATCTCGTCTCGATCCGCATATCCCGCATCGGTGATTAGCGTGAAGATTTGTCCGTTTTCCGGATGCTTGTATATCGTGCTGAAATGATCGTTACGAAACATAATGGCAAACGAACCCCCTCGAATCGAATCCTGTACCGCTTCCAATCCCGTAGGAGTGAGCTGTGTAGGATACGTCCTTAAAAAGTTCTTGATGGAATTGATGTCGGCCCACATGTTTTGTTCCGCCTCCGACAATCCCTGAGTGCTGAGCTTGTATTCTAACTCTTCCTCTCCAAAAAGTAACGCTTGAGCATCCTCGTAGGTAGGAGCAGATCGCACGAACGCCCTTGCAGCATCCGACCCCGGTTCGGGAAGCCAGCCATGAATCAAAGGCACCGAGAAAGCCGCGTAGAGCTTCATGTCCGGGGTTGCTTCAAAAGTCCCATGTTTCGGCCGCGATGCTGGCTCTTGTGGATCGGAATCATCAGCATCCATCAGGTTAGGCGGTGGACTTGATGACGGAACGAATCGTGGATTGGCGTTCATCCCGGTTCGCAACCGCATGAGGAATTCGTTCAGCTCGTCAACATCCGGAAGAGTCTGGCCCATGGCTCGCTCGCCCCGCGACAACAGTTCATCCATCAACGTCTCGATAATAAGGCCAAGAGAGACCTGCTCTCGGGAGCGCAATGCCTCATCAAGTGCCGCTTGCGACGCATCGGTTGCACCTAGGATCAAAGCATTGACCAGAGCAAGGAGAGGACAGGGTCCGTTCTTGTTCTGGGTCAACATGGCCGACCTTCGCAGTCTCCGAGATTGGTGATCGAACCAGTTAAAGTGTTTGATCTGATACGTCTCGTTTCTCTGCTCAACCATCCGCGCCACCTCTTCATCGGATGGCATTGTCGTGCGTAGTGATGGTCGGGGAGGCTTCGGCGGAGGCGGGCCTTCGGGCGGTTCGAAATATTCAGTCTCACTTCGCTGGACTGATCTGGCTGGAAGAGGCGGACCGACGTCGTTGTCTTCATCATCTAGCAACGAGGGCTCCTCACGCGACTCCGCCGATGGCTGAGCAGCATTCGGTAGGGTTTCTAATTCGGCGCCCAATGAGACAGCACCGGCTTTCTGTTCCCGGTCCAGTAAGTCGTCGTTGTAGTTTGACACTTGCTTCTGTGAGGGCGCGAAAGGGATTGGGGATGGAGTTGGAGCCGTCAGGTTGAGATTCGAAGCCCAGGGATTATCCATGTGGTCTTTCGCTGTCGAGGATGGGATCAGCGGAGGTTGTCCAGAGAAGGATCCTGCCGGCGGAGGGGGAGGAGGAGCATGTGGCATTGGGGGCGCCACCACTTGCTTCTCTCCATCCCAAATCTCTGCCGGTGTTTGTCCATCTGGTTGGGGAGTGTAAGTGGACGGATTAGAGGCATTGTTAGTCCCGATGCTCATCCCTTGAAACTCTTCTATCGGTGCCTGTCGAGTAGGTCTTTCCGGCTCTTTACCTTTCAAGGATCGTTGCTCTTGGTTTTCCCACTCTCTACCATCCCAACTGCTGTTTTGCACGTCGGGAGGAGACGCTCTTCTGAAAGGGTTTTTCGAGGAGAGACTGGGACCAGCGGCGATATTTGACCCTGACGTTTGAGGCGAATGAACCGGCTTTCTCTTTATTCCAGGCGATCTTTCGGCGGGCTCTACGTTGGCCAATGATGGCTTATTGGCATCGACCACAGGCGGCCGGACGGGACTCTTCCTGCCCTTATCCTGCTCCTCGTCGGACTCCTCCCAGAAGTCCTTGGACCTCTGGCTGTCCAACGAAGACCGTGGCGTGTCCTCTTGTGACTGGCCCGCACGCAGGACATGTGGTATATTCGTCAGAGGTTGGCCCTGTGAAGAGCTTCCATTGTTATCCAACGGCCGTGGGGGCCCAGGCTTCAGAATATCAGGCAACGGCCGATCCGACCTGAGTTGCTGTCCGGGAGCATCGAGCCAAGGGTTCGGTGTATCTTGGAGACCCGGTGTATTCGTGAACTCAGAGTGTCTCTGTGGAGGAATTGGAGGGATATCGGCCGCGTCAGGCACTAGGTTTTGCTGCGGGTCTGTCGAATGCTCATAGGCAGGACTCGCAGGATAGGGTATGGATGTTTTGCGCATGACCATGATTGTTCAAGACGAGTCCTGGATAGACAAAACTTTTAGTGAGCTGGGCCACTGGTCGAGGTGCTGCGCGTAGAGCGAGTTTGATGGTTGATTGATTGCCTGCGCTTCACATGATAATGGTGGGACCAGATCTTGGAGCAGAGCGGCGAGACAACTTGGGGAATATGCCTGCGCACAGCAAGTCCGTTACAGGACACTGAGGAGAGGCGAGATGCGTCGTAAGCTGCCAGTGGCACGGAGAAGGAATTACAAGATCAAGTCGTTGGATGGTTTGTTTTAACGTGGTGTTGTTGGCACCAGCCTCGTTGATTGCCTTTCAAGTTGTTCATCAGGCGCCCTCGATTCTCGCCAATGACGTACTAGGAGCAGTATATAAATAAATCCTCCGGTTACAACTGCCAGGGCGAAACTGCCACTGGTATGGTATACACCCTGTCGATCAATATCCACGACTACGTTGACTGGTGCCTGCAATGCATACAAATGTCACAATCTACTGACGGGATGCCCATGCATTAGATGAACAACTGGCCACATCCATTCATTGCAGAACGGGAACAAACTATCTGATGTACATCTCACACGACAATGTGCTAATTGACAGCAAAACCAAGTCTGGACTGACAGCGCTAGCCGTGACAAAGCGGGTAACATGTGTCAACGAATATATAGACAAACTCACAACCGACACAGCTACTCTGACACTGAGCTTTTGGAATATGTCCAGTTCGGATGTCGGACCGCCCGACCGTCACAAAAGGAGCATCCATAACCTTCTAGCAGCTCTTCACCGTCGTTCTTCCCGCCTACCAGGCTCTCCACCCTGACTCAAGCCGCGAAAGTGCCCGGTTGGTCCGGGATGAAGATTCTGCGGCTGAGTCTGCTGCTGATGGTGGACATGATGCAGCGAACGGTGGGTCGGTTGCCCAGCGCCCGGGCCTTGGTGAGGAGAAGGGCCCGCCGCAGCTGGTACATGATACTGATACTGGTGCTGGTGCTGGTGCTGGTGCTGGTGCTGGTGTGGATGTTGATGTTGTTGCTGGTGCTGGTGTTGGTGCTGATGCTGGTGCGGATGATTTGCTGGTCCTGCTAGGCTTCCAGGTCCCGGGGCTTGGTATTGAGAATGGTTGGGACTGTGTGCATGGGGCGGCGTGAAGGTTCGAGGTATCTCACGCTGAGCAAACGCCATGTGGCTCTGATTGGCAGCGGAGCCCAACTGATTCTGTCGAGACACTGCTGATGGTGGATGTTGTTCGACGTTGTATATCTCCCGCCTCAAGTGTTGTTGTTGTTGTTGTTGCTGCTGCTGCTGCTGTTGTTGTTGCTGTTGTTGCTGCTCACGATCTCGCTCACGTTGAGTCACATCCAGGTGGCGCTGCCGTTGGTACTCTCGTTCGTGGTCTCGATGTTGCTCCTGCTTTTGCTGGCTCTGTTGAGCCATATGTTGTTGTATTGTCAACCGAGGCGGATAGTCAAAAGAGGTCGGACCTCTTTGGTGAAGGCCCGCTCCGGGACCCGGCGTGGAACTCGCCGACTGTGGGTGGTTCGCTGCCACCTGTTGCTGGCTGATTGAAGTGTTCGGGCTCCCTACTGGAGCACTGGAGTATCCTAGTGATGTCACTCGGGCATGCTGTGAAGACCCGGAAGCTGAACGATACTGCGGTGCTTGTTGGCTGGCCTGCTGCTGCGGTGGAGGTGATGATGCATGCGGCATTTGATTCACCTGCCCTAAAAAGGTTCGTCGATGGTCGACTGTAGGTCGTTCCAGTCCCCGCGGAGTTTCTCCCCGCACAGCCATGATACCTGGCTCGCTTCTAGGCGGCACGACCGAATAATGGCCCGGGCCGGGAGACTGATGATGGCCTCGTTGCTCACTAGGTGCACCTTGGGTCCGTGGGTCGAACCGGTCCATCCATGACTCATTGCTCGGCGGAGGACCTGGGGTAGCGGAGAATGCACTAGGATACTCCGGTGGCGCCGGTTGACTGGAAGCAGTCTGTAGACCCCCGCTGAGTCCGTACGGGCCTCGGACTGTTCTGGGGTCGTCGGGCACTGATTGACCTCGCGATGGTTGCAGCTGAGGATGAGGAGTAGATACGGGGGCAACCTGCGGCGACAGCATCGACTGTCGCTTGCCTGTGTCGAGGGTTGGTCGTTTTGGCGGCGGGTCCGGAGGGTCATCATTGAGCAGACCAAACACATTGGAACGCTTGCCCGGCGGTTTGGGGGGGTCCGCAGGGTGCGGTACTAAAGTAGGTTGTGCATTGTCGGCTCTGAGTGGCTGGGACGACATAGGTACTGGAGTAGACACTGATGCTGGGGAGATGGCTGGCCCAGGCCCATAGTGAACACGTTGGTTTTCCAGCCGTCGGAATGAGGACAGATCTTGCCCTTGTTCCGGAGCCATTTGACTGGGCGTGGCGGTGCTACTGGCGCGGCTATGGCTGGGGCGAAACACAGATTGCTGGTCATAGTGTTCCAAGTGCGGCTGCAGACTCTGAGCCATTGTGACTGGAGGAGCTTGTGCCCGCTGGAGTGGTTGAATTGCGGACTCTCGCTGCCCGAGAATGGGGTGCGTAACTGCTGACATGGGAGCGGGCTGACTTAACTCGGTGCGAGGCAGGTCTGGAGGACGCTGCGGGTGTATCTGAGGCGAGGGTTCGTGCATTGGCACTCGCAGGGGTTGGCGCGGTGCTGGAAAAGCGCGGTGCTCCTCCTGGAACACTCCCGGTCTAGGGCCATGCAAGGGCTTCGGAGCATATAGGGACTCGCGATCATTTGTCAACCTCGATGTCTCATCGGGATTTCCTGCAGAAGCACCAGATAAAGGCGTCTCAGCAATCACCTGTACCCGAGGCTTCGAAACCACTTCACCAGTAGCAGTTCTTTCCACCGTGTTGCGGGGGAAGTCCTCAACGATGCCTTGTTTGCTGGCCAAAACAGCAGGTTCCGGGTCGACCAAGGCCTGCTCAGCATGTGTTACATGGCGAGCCACAGGAGCGATCGTAGACGCCGCTTCGTACCGACGTTTGGGAGGGGCAATAGGACTTGGTGGACGTCCCAAGCCATTGCCACTCAACCTCATTTGGTCACCTTGTTGCGCGAATCTTTCAAACTCCTCCTTGCCGTCGTTCAATTGTCGCATGAAGTAGTTCTTGATCATAGTGACGCTCTTGGTCTTCATGAAATCTGCTATCGCCGCATAGTCGTGGCCAAAATATGCTAGAAGCTCCGGGAATTTATGTACCTCAGGAACCGACCAATAACTTGTTACCTGGGATGTCGCAGGATGCTGGATAGCTGGCGGGGCAGCCGGCATGTCGGAGACAGGATATTGTTGTAGTCCAACATCAGCTGGGCGTAGTACCTGTGGAACAGGAGCTATGTCTTGTCTGATGGACGTAGTTTCTGTGGGTAGAACTGTCCTAGTCTTTTCTCCCTTTGCAGTAGAGGCATGCTTGCCTGCTGGCCCTTCGGAGGCCTGGAGGAGTAGTGCCTGCTGATCGGCCAGGATCTGAGCCTTTGTCCTGCGATTTCTGGTGGCGATGCCGGCCTTGCGCCCACGCGTCGGCTTTGTCGTGGCTGGTTCGGCGCTACCGTCCTTCAAGGCGGCAGTAAGTTTTTTCGACTGCGGCGCTGGAGTCGAGGAGTCGGCTTCGCTAGCAGCATCGCCAAATGTTGGCGCCGCTGCTCGCCGTGGCCTCCCACTGTCGGTAACGGCAACGGGCGCTGCATCCGGGTCGTTGCGATAGTCCAACTCTGACATTAGAGCGGTCGACCGGGGCTTCGTCGCGGCCCTACCGCGCTTCTTCTTCGGTTGAGATCGTCTCCAGAGGTCTTTATAGCGCGCTTGTTTTTTGGTCAAATAGTAATGAACAATGCAGTCTTGATACGTCCGCCCGGGGATAGACTCTGCGATCTTACCCCATTTCTTAGGGTATTGGCAATATGCTGCAATGAAGAGAGCCTGCTCTTCTTCAGTGAAGTCGTCCTCTGGAGGCACAAAGCGGAAAACGTCCAATGCGAGTTCAAAGGGCACCAATCCGTTCGTCTCCTCAAACTTGGACAGCTCAACGTCGGCAGGCTTCAACATAGGAGGAATTACGGCCTCCAAATCGTAATTTGGTTGCGAGCTGGAGGCAGCTTCTCGTTCTCTTCTTTCCTCTTCTTCTCGCAATGACTGTTGGGACATCAGAATGGCCGCCTGCAAATCCGCTTCGGTAGTGTTCCGGGCTCCTCGGGTTCGCTCGTGCGTAAGCGAAGGGGTAACCGAAGCCGTAGCAGACGGTGCTGGAGAGGCCGGAGCAGGGCTTGCCAGCTGGTCGCCCTCATGTTCAAGCTGGGCTATCTCCTGTTTCCATAGCGGATACTTCCGTCGAAACTCTGCGTGCATGTCTTCAAGATCACTTCTCCAATCCCATGCAGCTCGTTCAAACTCTTGCTGAAGGAGAATGGAAACGGCTTCATGTTCGACCTCATTGTCGGATTCTTCGAACACGACCCTCTCGGGAGGGCCTTCCTTGAGGTACGGTAGGTCTTCGATAGGTGGAGTTGGAATGGGGTTGATATGCGGTTGCTTGAGTGGCCTGCCTTTGGGATAAGGCCGCGCGTCATCATCCTGATCAGACTTGACATGCTCTTCGTTAGAAGCATGGCCTGGCGACGGGAGCCCGGTGGACGCATTCACAGGTGCCGAACTGTCCTCTCCTTTGCTGGCAGCCACGGCTGGTGAAGGAAGACTTTCCAGTGTCTCTTTCATGAGCATCTGCAGGAACTGCAATCTAACAAGGAGAGTCACTATAGTCTCGTCTTGCAGTAAGGGTGGCGGCTTTCGCGCCTCAAGCAGATCCATCTCTTGCCGAAACTTTTCTTCAGATTTCGCAAAATACTCTTCGTCGAATGCATCGTCCTCTGCCTCATCTTCGTCCTCGCTTGAAGCAGGCATGGACATTTCAACATCGGGTGGCGGCTGTTGTTGTTCTACAGACTCCTTCTTTGGAGAGACTGGAGTAGCTTTTGCTTCTTCAACGCGAGGACTTGTGGGCTGCAGCGCCTTGGGTGCAGATGGAACAGATGTACCGGTACCGGCAGCCCTATCTGCGGCATTGGGAAACGTGTTCGGCTGTCTGGGGCCCGTCGGAATGCTGGCTGACCTCTCACGCCCTTCCGGTTGATACGTCTTGTTGGGTGCAGGTGTGCTTGGCGGCTTTGGCTTGTAATCGGGGGAGATCCATATTTTTGACCCTGTCCCCGGCACGGGTCTCGCTGCTTCTCTGTCCAGACGGGGTCCAGTGGGAATCGCGGGGGCTTTGCTGTCGGCTACGCTGGGTTTGACAGATTCCCGGAGGGCGGTAGGAATAACCGCAGGAGCTGCCGGCTCGATCGAAGGTAATCTCGGTCTGTAGGGAGGAGCTGTGGTCAATCGTGGGCCGGAGGGGACATTTGGCGGCATGACGCGGGCTGCAGCTGGAGCTGTAGGAGGCTTGGGCTCCAGGCGCGTGTCATCCTTTTGCACTGGAGCATCTGTGGAGAGATTGCTGGCAGAAGAAGAAAGACTCGGGCGAGGACGGGAAGTAGAGTCTGGACGAGGCCATGGCTCCACACGCTGAGCAACCTTGGGAGTCGGGGCTGACGGTGCTGAGATAGACGTCCGTGCAGCCTTTGGCCCGCTGGGCGGCTGAAAATTGGACGACGGCATTGGAACTGCTGGTTCAACCTTGGGAGGCTGAGCCTTTGGAGGCGCGGGTTTCTCGGTCGCAGATGTAGCGAGAGATGGCACAGATGGAGGCGGGCCATAGTCGAGAGCAGTGACGGCAGTCGGCAGTGGCGTACTCTGAGGGGGTTCTCGTCGAGATGGTTCCGTCCTAGAACCTCCAAAAGAATCAATTTGATCACCATCGCGTCTTCCTTCCCGCCCTAAACTGGTAGTGGTGGGCGCAGCCGATGGTCTCCGGGCAATTTCGACGTCTGGTTTTCCAATGCGATCGGTTGCAGAAGCAGACGCAGTGGCGGCAGTCCCAGAGGCTGTTCCTACGGAACTTTTGCCAGGGGACTGCTCTCTCGGCCATAGGTCATGGTGTCCTCGCGAGTCACGTTCCCTGCTGCGATCGTATTCGCGCCGGTCGTAGCGGTCCGGCCGTTCAGCATCTGAGGGCAACGGACGCCCACGGTCAAAGTCACGATCCCGCCAGCCCTCTCGTGACCGACTCCGAGGATGAAACAGGTCACGATCACGCTCGGCAACGAAGGAGCTTCGACCTCTGCCCCTGTCCCAGTCACCTCTGCCCCTTCCACGTCCTAGCCCGCCGCGCACTGCTGGACTATAATACGAAGACGCAGAATCCGGAGGCCGGCTGAAGGTGGAGGGAACGGACTCACGCGAGTCTTTGCGCGGTCGGATGGGAGAAGCAGACCGGTCTCTGCCGGCGTACGGGCGACCACCATCCCTCGCAGAGGTTGGAGCGCGCTCTACTGTGCCGAAATCGCGGTCACGTCGGGGCCAGTCAGCTCGGTCGTCATCACGGTTTCGATACGAGGGAGGGCCTGGACGACCATCTCGATTACGGTCGCGGTCCCGTTCTCGGTCTCGCTCCCGTTCACGCTCCCTGTCCCACGTGTCACCCCCTCGAGCCGGGAAAGCTCCACCACGACCGCGAGATGGGAACGAGTAAGGAAAGCTCCCACCACTCCCGCGGCCGCCGCCAAACTCAGCTTTTGGCCCGCGTGGAGGGGCTCGGTCTGATAATGGTGACTGAAGATCTGCTTGGCCCCTGTAGGAGGAACCTAGGGAGCCGTAAGTGGCTGAGGACCTGCGATCATAGCGGGGAGGAGAGCGATCTCGAGCTGGAGGATACCGCGACGACGACATAAGCAAAAAAGAAATGGAAGTGTTAGGTAAGCAGGATATGCGCTAACCGGAGCGGGACTGGGGCATCACGTGATGCCTCGGGCGAAGAGATCTGGCGTGAAGTGGCTTGAAAACTGAAGGCCCGTTGCAGTTCGATGCCAGCAATGATGATGGATGGTTTGCAGTAATGAAACAGCCCCAGGCGGTTGTGGAGTTCGTTTGGATGGCGCAAATTGTTTCAACCCGGTCAATCCCCGAAATGCCACGCTGCGCTTTTTGCTGCCACTACTGCACCACACTGCACACGGTGGTTTCCGCGCGTGTCGAAAGACAGACTGATTGATGGTACTGCTGCTCCTGCAACTTAACGTTTCATCTGATCCGGCTCGCGGCGTGTTGGGAAAAACCCCGTCTGCGAAAAGCCACACCCGACGCGAGCCCAAAAGGCCAGCGCGACCCTTTACCTCGATCTAGCTCGGGGCGCGCTCTATCGTCCAAAGGTGACCTGTGGCTGCGATACAAAGTCTGTTCTCCGAGCAAGACGCCGGCCGTGTCCGCTACCGAGAATTTCCCTTCCAGCACAACACCACCGACAAGGCTCGATCAGTTGCGATGGTTGCCGGCGATGAACGTAGTCCAGTAAACTGCTTCAATGAGGACGGCGGAAGGAGATGTAATAAGTTCGGAGCGTGGCCAACTTTCGATGCTGATAATCGGTACCTAAAACGTACACTTCGCGAAGCTCGCGAGACACTTTTGGTTCGACGTCACACGGCAATGGCCAAACCGAGGGCCACAAACGGACGCGACACGCACAGAAGAAGGGAGTGTGTTATGCGATGTAGCAGACTCGCTTGGTCTGCATTGCAGGGGGACACAATTAAGAATCAAGAAGGATGGGTGAACCACTGGCAGGAAGAAGATCAAAAGAGAGGTCCAGGCGGCCAGAAGCGCTCGAAGGGTTAGCGGCAATTAGCCGCCGATCCGCCAGTGGCTGTTCGAGTTGTAGCACTGCACAAACACTGCAGTGCAGAGAGAGGAGTTGTAGTATGGAGGAGCAGGAGGCCATAATAGCAGACTCGGAGGCTGAAGAGTTGAGTTCAAGTCGTGCCAGTAGCAGATCAGATTTGCTTGACGCACGCCGCACGGGGAGGTCTAGGCGCGGTGAAGTGCGATCTGGGCGTGACCGACAAGCGGCGTTCGCTGTTATTACGGTACGGGGACTGCGCCCTGACCCAGCGCTTCCATGTCGAAAATGGCGCTGTAATTACGTCCCTTTTACCAGCTGACCGGAACTTGCTGGAGGCAGACGCCGCGTCAAGGTGCCACCAGCGGAGTCCGATTGTCTTGGAGACGACAACGACTGGCGGGCAGCAACTGGGACGCCCCAGAACCCAAAATCGGCCACTGCAGGGGCGCTGGATTTACGCTGCGGCCGCCCACTGCAGCTGCCGGCCAGCGAAAAATCGAAATTAAAATTCCCGCTTCGTCGTACTGGCAGTACCCATGGTACCTAGGTTTCTTGAGGCTCGGGTGACGTTGTTATGTAGTGAAGCATAAAATTTGTTACATTACTACTACAAACGTTGTAGTAGCGATGCATTAAATTGGAATAAAGGTATATCCACAGAATAAAGAGTGCCTGCTCTCGGGACACTTGAACCGTCTAGCGAAAGAACGTACCAACCATGGCCGCTGCACCGCCTGCAAAAGCCACCGAGGCTGTCTTGGTCCCTTCGGAGCCTGTTCCACAGGGATCCCAGCAGGTCAAGGGCATCGACTGGCAGTCCCTCCCGGCCGAACAAAGGAATATTATCTCGAACTTCGTCGACCAGCTAACGGGACAAGGGTTCCAGTCGAGTTCGCTTGGAGATGCGATACGTATCATCAATGACATGGTCGGTTCACTAAATATTTCCTACCCTTCCAGTTGTCATGGGCGGGGAGCAATTCTGATGACTTGTAGCGATCATGGCAAGATGCCGAAACGGGGGAGAAAACGACCATCTTCTTGGGTTACACTTCCAACATGATTTCTTCAGGCTTGCGGGACACATTTCGATATCTCGTACAACACCGCCACGTGTCAGCCATCGTGACGACTGCGGGCGGTGTCGAGGAAGACTTTATCAAGTGTTTGGCTCCCACATATCTGGGTTCTTTCTCCACATCGGGCGCTGCCTTGCGAGCAAAGGGGCTGAATCGAATCGGCAACCTGGTCGTGCCTAACAACAATTACTGTGCTTTTGAGGATTGGCTCATCCCCATCCTTGACAAACTATTGGCAGAGCAGGAGGCAGAGTTTAAGGGCACGGGCGATCGGTTCCTCTGGACTCCAAGTAAGATCATTCATCGACTGGGCAAAGAAATTAACGATGAATCCTCGGTGTATTACTGGGCATACAAGAACGACATTCCTGTCTTCTGTCCCGCTTTAACGGACGGAAGTCTTGGGGACATGATATATTTTCATTCCTTCAAAGTCTCGCCACTTCAGCTAGGCATCGACATTGCACAGGACATCCGAAAAATTAATACAATCGCGGTACGGGCGAAAAGGGCGGGAATGATCATTCTCGGCGGGGGGGTGGTAAAGCATCACATTGCTAATGCGTGCCTCATGCGGAATGGTGCTGAAAGTGCGGTGTACATCAACACCGCACAGGAATTCGATGGGAGTGATGCTGGCGCTAGGCCAGATGAAGCCGTCAGCTGGGGCAAGATCAAAGCAGATGGCGATAGTGTCAAGGTGAGAAGCAATCGAGATCTCTTGAAGAAAGTATTGACTCATCGAGCAGGTCTATGTTGAGGCTACCATAGCCTTTCCCTTGATTGTAGCCGGCACTTTTGCTAAAGCAGCATGAGCATGACTGATCCGCTATCCGCTCCTCTTCTCGCAACCAGCCAGCACTTTCTTGAGAACCTGCGCGGTGACTGTCGAGCCAGACTGTAAGTGAAGTCAGGGTCATCAAAGGACGGGATTATAAGGTCCGTGGATGTTTGCAGTCGAGTGGAGCTTTGGAAGATATTCGAGCCACATGCTATGTTGAGAGGAGATCGAGCAGCGGGACTGGCGTGACGAGAGGGCGATTTCGAGAAGCAGAAGGATCGGCAAGCCGGTGAAGCAGTCTATGTGCAATTCTGCCTGTTGGCATGAGCCTTCCAAGCCCACTGAGACTCGCCAGTTGCTTTGGAACGCCAGTAGTAATGCTACTGTACATACAGTACCAGGCCGTTGGCAGGACTGGTTGATGCGGGTGCAGCGGAGTCCAAGATGATGGGATCGTTGCCGCTTTGGCTGGCGGCCGGCTAACACCAACAAGCGGCATGTTAAAACAACAGGCACGAGTAAGAGACCCACAGCGTGGCTGCTAGTGTCCGTTAGGTAGTACTAGTATGTACAACGTAGCTGCAGGCCCCGGCGGCAGGGGCCCGGGGGCCGTCCGGAGCCTATGGAGCCCAAACCCCAGACAGTAGCGGGCCCCTCTGCCCCTACAACCACAGGCTCCAGGTAGCCGCAGGCCTATGGTGGCGCCTGAAACCCTAATTGCCTAGGTAGCTGAAGCTAAAAAGACCCGTTTATATTCGACGCATCCCGATACGCTGGCTGCTCCAAGGCGGAACTGTACTGGTTGCCTGCCTGTGTTTTTTCTTTGTATGCCTTTCTTGCCTGCCTGCCACTGCATTGCCTCGTTGCTCGTCGTTGATTGATGGCATGGTTCTGCCTGCGACCACTGATGACTCTTTCTCTCCACCGTGACCGGTCAGATATCTGGGACTCCGAGTCAGTGGACAGTGAAGTTCCATGCAGGCTGAAGACATCGGCCCACGCAACGCAGTATATCATTCACCGCGTCTGCCTTTCACTGCAGTTTCACTGATAACTTCAACTTGAACCACGAGCCTCACCCAACGCCGTGAACTGACGTTCGAACATGTCGCGTCCCTGAATTTGGTCCTTTTTTCATCCCAATCAACCTGGATTTCTGCTCCATCTTGTTGCTCTCACAGTATCTGTTCCACTGCTTCTCAACCATGGCGAGTTCACAGAGTTCCATCAGCCCCGTGTTAACGCGACATGCCTCTCCCCCCCATGCCCGAAACCCCGAAGTGACTGTCGTTGCCCTTTCAACCTTCAGTTCAGAACCTCGTACACAGCTGTCGGCTGTAACAGAAACCTCCACTGTTCATGCGACCGCTTCTTCTCCCTCCGAACCTGAACGCGGGCTGGCCACAACTACACCAGAGCTACTAGATACAGAGATGACAGATGCCCCTCACAATAGCCCCGACGCCCTTTTGCAGTTAGAGCGGGACACAAGACCCGGAGATGGGTTCCCACAGGAAGGAATTCCCCCGAATGAAGAGTCACACGAGTCACAAGAATCGGTTTCTGAGGTCGAAGGCCCCACTCCAAGCAGACATCATGATACTGTATCCTTGGACATACCAGAACGGGTAAGCGGCGAATCACAGGTCGATGGTCAAGCAACAGAGCAGACCGATGAGCAAGCAAGCCGGGCAGGTGACATGGGAGGGAATCCCTCCCCGCCACCGCCAGATGCCATACATGGACGAAGGCGCGATGTCCCGATATGGGTGACCTGGGAAGATGATCTCTCTGCTATAACGGAGGAGGAGTTGAACGAACTAGAATCAACATGGAGCGAAGAATCAGAGCCGACCGCCACGGATGTACCCAGAATGGAGAAATACATCTATCGGGACGTAGATGATCCGGAACAGCGGCCTGTCAAGAAGCTGAGGCTGAGTTGGATCATCAAAAGAGTCAGGGGCACTAGGGACAAACCCAAATATGCCAGGATGATGGTGTCTCCGGCTGCGAAGGTGGACGAAAACTACTGGCAGATCAAGTTTTATCCTCGGGGCAACAAAAGCTCCTCTGTCAGTGCATATATCAGTTGCAACAGGCATCCTCCCAAAGTCGATGCTAACACCCACATCCCGGAGTGTACCTTTTCTGTGTTCGAAGGGGCTCCAAATGTTGACTTGGGGACTGCTGCTCCTTCTCAGTCGCTCAAAATCGAGAGCCACACGAGAAGTCAGAGCATTTCTGCTTCAGTGCAGTCTGTCACATCGTCAGCCCTGGAGAAGTCGCACCACGATGGCGTCACAAATGCTAACTCTCCCAATCCCCAAACCCCGGATGACCCTGAGCCCCAACCGGGGGAATCTACAGACCTCGGAGGCAAAGAGGGTGAGCAGCAGGACTGGCGCGTTTCTGCACAGTTGGGGATGGTGATATACAACCCGGAGGAGCCGCGCACTTGCGAGTGGAAATCTTCGCAACACCAGTTTGCGAAGACCAATGACGACTGGGGATGGACCAGCCTTGTTGATCACTGGGACGATATTCACATTCGGCAGCATTTACAACGCCAACCCCTTCTTCGAAATGACACTATTGCCATTGACGCATACATTCGCATCTTCGACGATCCGACACAGGCGCTGTGGTGGCACCCCTCTGATGCCGAGCCGGCCTGGAACTCCAAATCACTCGCCGGCTACTATCCCATGGGCAGTGACGAGCAATCGAGCAGCCCTGCTTTAGCTGGGTTAAGCGCATGGCTCCTCCTTGCCCCCTTCCGTAAGGTACTCCAGAGTTGGCCTTTCGCAGAGTATGAGCGCCATTCACGAGAACCTCTTAAACCAATCGTGTCTGAGCTACAGAGTATCTTGTCACGCATGCGCTCGTTGGACAGCAAAACCGCATACGTGAGTGTAGACGGTCTCGTGCGCGCACTTAAGAATGACCTTGGAGAGTCCTACATTGATGTCAAGACGTTCTGGGAAGTGCTCAGGAGGGCAATTGAACTCGAGTTCCGATATGAGCCCGGCTTACTGATACAACTCAGCAGCATCTTCGACAGTCCAGACAATCCAAACAGCCCCATGTCCTTGCCACCCCTGCCGGTTCAAGGAGTCAAGGACATTCAACAAGGTCTCGATCAAGTCCTCGACGGCCTCGGGTACAAGGGCCGTCTTCCCAACTTCTTGCCACTGTTTCTCGCTCGCCAGCGCTTCGATGAAGCTGCGCGAGAATGGAAAACTTTAAACGATCGCGTCGTCCTAAATGAAGTGCTCGATGTCTCAAAATATTGTGGCACGGGCAAACAGGCCACCTACACTCTCTACGGTTTTGTTGTCCACAAAGGGCAAAGAACCTCCGAAAACTTTTTCAGCGTCCTACGACCAGGGGGACCAAATACAAAATGGCTTGCTTTCGACGACGAGTGCGTGAAGCGCATTCACTCATATACACGAAAGCGGATTGAGGAGTATCAGGGGTTCACGGCCCAGACTTTGCCAGAGGGGACTCGCTCCAGTTTGGCACCGTCGACCCCTGTCGCTTACTTGGCAATGTACGTCAAGACAGACGTCCTCCAAGAGTATCTTCCTGGCGTACTGGAGCCGTACCAACCTTCAAACAACAAGTCCTCTTCCATGGCGCATGAAATTGGCAGTCCGAGCGGGCTACCCGTAGCGCCCCCTCCTGATTCGGCGGAGATGATCAAGGTAGCCTATTGGTCTGACGAGACCGTCATCGGGCAGAAGGGACTTCTCGATGTTCACAGCTTCACGCGGCGGTCAGAGCAGTCTGAACCATATTATACTACGCGATTGCCCAAGTCTGCCAGCTTCGCGGCCCTCAGGCACAAGGTGGCTGAATATCTAAGGCTTGAAAATCCGGACAAGGTCCTCCTATTTCGCATAGGAGATGAGCCTAGTAATAATAGGAGGGAGAAGCTATTGCCTCTTCAAAGTGATCATGCCACTCGTCCTTGCACAACCATCTGCCCCTTGCTCCTCTGGGTGGCCATGATCAACAGTGACGAAGAGCTTGATCTCCTTACTGAATACTACCAAGCCTTAGAAGGGCATCTTGACCGGGATAGATCAAGTGGTGCGGCTGTCCTTGGACGACCGCAACACCTCGAAAGTGGCGATGGAATAGAACTCGCAGGCCCAGATGCTGAACAAGCGTCACTGCATGCCGCTGTAGCTGCAGATATCGAGCGCATCGGTACGATGATGCCGGCGCCAGAACCGGCAGCGGCGGGTGACCCAGACACGCAAATGTCGGAGACTGACGTATCGCCTCCCACGGCTGAAGAAAGCCTTACAGCGGAGGTACCGCATGGGCATCTGGTCGAAGCGCAGGAGCATGAAGGCCAAGTGGCTGTTCTCAGTGCCAACAATGTTGAAGACCCCTTCCATCCACCGGCAGACGAGGACGTGACGGGATCTCCCCAAGATGGCGAAAGAGCTGGCATGGGGGCCGTTTCCACGGATAGAGGTGAACCCGAGGAAATTTTCTTAGATCCCGGACTTGCAGAGATGGAGGAGGACGACGACACATCGTCGTCGGAGTCGTTGGAGACGGAAACCGAGGCTCAGGTGGCGGCGCCCAAGGGACTTTCTGTTATCTTCGGTTTTCTCCAGACTTTTGACATGGACGAGCAAACCTTCACAGTGCGAAGCAGCTTTTTCGCCAGACGTAGCGACAATGTGAAGGATGTGGTTCGCCGACGGATGGGATGGCCGGCCGACAAAGACTTCCATGTCTGGCGCCGCGAGGACACTGTCAGAGGCAGCGCAGTTGAGAGCAACGCCACGTTCGAGAGCGACGACCTGTTCTGGGACGGCATCTACGTGATCGTTCGGGAACAGCTTTCCGAAGCCAGGTGTCAAGAACTTTGCAAGCAGGGCAAATACTTGGACCCGTTCGAGTTGTCTGCACACTTGCAGATGGTGGCTCGGAATCACCCTGTGCTATCCAAGACCACGGCGGAAGCGGAGCCTGTCGAGATATGCGAGTTCGGCGGCGACTACTACAAGGGCCCGCTGGTCATGGGCCGGCGCCACGGCGAGCACTGCGTCCACATCAGCTCGGCCGGCGAGGTGTACGAGGGCACGCTGGTGTGCAACGTCCGATGCGGCAAGGGCGGCAAAATGACCTATCCCAACGGCGATGTGTACATTGGCGAATGGGCCGACGGCATGCCACACGGCCAGGGCACGTTTGTGCAACACCGCACGGGCAACAAATATGTCGGCGGCTTCGAGTACGGCAAGCGCTGGGGCATGGGCACCACCTACTGGCAGGTCGCCGACGAGCAGGCCGATCTCTGTCAGATCTGCTACGGCAATGATATCGATGCCTTGTTCTTCAGCTGTGGCCATGTCTGCGCCTGCGTCGACTGTGCCAAACAGTGCGAGATCTGTCCGATCTGCAGGAAGCCCGTCGCCCAGGTCGTCAAGATGTTCCGTGCCTGAGTTGCATTTTGATCCGACACCAGTTTCCCTGGTATCATTGGACACATTGCCAGTGCTCGGGGCGTGGTTATCAGGCTGCAGCAAAGATCTCAATCTCCATGTCCATTTTCATCACCATCTCTAGTCCCATCACCAGACGAGAGAGACCTCCTGGTACTGCTCTACAGATCCATTCTCATTATCATCCTACTATCTACTACTGTGCTGTACTGTACCAACAAATCAAATTACAGCGGAGAAGATGCAAAACATAGCAATGCACGTGCTGGCAGGGCAGCACTACACTACACTACACTCATGGATTCATGAAACAGATGAGATTGATGATTACCTACCTACCTTAGCATTTCCCTTTTCCTTTCCTTCTTGCCATAAGGCACACTCGGATAAAGCTATCTAAGAGGCTCCTGGCGCTTGGCTTGGGATGAATTGAACCTACTTGGTAACCTATAACTTATGCATTGGTGATCCTAAGTTTCGATTGCCTGGATATCAATTCATTTTCCGACGCAAACTTGACTTGAACCTCAATACAATTGAACTAAAGTGGTATCTCATGGCTCGTGACGACTGAAAAGGATCTGCAGTGCCCAATGTGTGAAACGCCGCGCGGCCAACCAATGCAAGGGACTGAATGATGTCAGTTGACGATGAGAATCGAGAAAAGGAGAGCAGGACCGGCCTGAGCCAGAGCCAGCCATCAACCCAGCAGGACATTCCGATCATTGACAATACAGTCAAGCCACTCCCTTGGCGTTATTCGTCTTTGACGTCTGGGTACTCCTCTCACATTCATTCCCCCCTCTCCCAGTTCACGTTTCTTTCCCACAGTGAAACCGTAAAAGAATAGTGTTCTCATGACCTTCCCGAAGCGTAACCGAGACAAGAAAACAATGCTAATGCTGACGCCGAGTTTCGGGTGGCTTCTTCACTCACGACCAACATGGTCGGATGTTAACTCCACCAATTCGAGTATCGAAGAGCTTAGGTATATCACCGTCAACGCACTCGGGGCTGTAGGGGAATGGGTATACCGCCGCCAGTCTGTCTCGGTCCTGAAGGCAGGCCATGAGATGACCTTCCTCGTCGATTCAGCCGATTCGTTCTCCACTGCTCATAAAACTACTCTTCGTCAGCACTGATCGCTCAGTTGCTTGGTCGCGTAATAACTTACCACTTCCCGGCTTGCTTCTCTCAACTCCGAGCGCCACTCACCAAACACCGCATCTTTCAGTTTCACAAAGTCGCAATGGTCAGGGTTGTATGGGTCGGCGAATCCCCAGGGAAAGGATCGGCCAATGGGTCCGTCTTTAGACTCAAGAGAGTACTTGTCCGGACTGATGATTGACCAAGGGACGTAGCCGCTGTCCAGATTGGGATCCATCAAGGATAAATTTGAAGGCTGACGTTTGTGGGTAACTGTGCGCTTCATGTTGGAGATGGGTCGCTCCGTTGCAGACTCTTCACTTCTTGAATCCGTGCCGCCCTCGGAGCCTCCGTCGCTGCTGTCCACGTCCTCATCGCGCTCGTCAAGTTTGTCCTCATCAAAATCATCCGCCGCAAAGTTCAGAGCTTCGAGGGGATCCAGCCCGGCTTTCTTCAAGCTTTGGCTAACCCGTTGCTTGAGAAAAGCCATATGAGCAGTTGTGACAGTGTCAGCTTTGCTGATGACTGGGATGACGGTGGTCTTGCGGGACAGCGTTTTCAACACTTGAATGTCAAAGTCCTCGTCTAGTGCGCCAACAATTCGGGTAGGCTTGCCAACTCGACCATTGTCATTGGCAGTATTTGCTCCTTGCGAAGCATTGATATTGGCATCGAGTCTAGAAGGGTCGAGGATTAAGAAGACACAGTGGATGTGGGTATCCCTGACGCCTGGCGCGCGAACAACCTTCATCTCTTCAATGAACGTATCGTCGAACTTGCTTTCCACGAAATTGCTCATGTCCCTCAATTGGAGATCCACGACACCTTTGTCAAGACCTTGTGAATCCCACAGCGTCAAGCCAATTCGCTCATTGTCGATCTCAATCTCTTGGTAGTGATGCACGAAATTCGGATTCGATCTGGTGGAAGATGGAGGAGTTTCGCCATCGGAGACTCGATGCGGCCGTTTCTGGGGAGGAAGCGCCAGCGCTCTGTTCAAGAAGTTAAGGAAGGATGTTTTGCCCGAGTTGCGCGCGCCGATGATCAGAATATTGTACGGGGTGGGATCTTTGCGACGGCGGACTCTGCGAGGAGAATTGATGGTGGAGACGATCGAGGTTGCATAGGAATAGCGACCACCTGTGCCGTTGTATCGGTTTCTGTCAGTGATGCAATCCCGCCTGAATCTGGGGAACTTGAAGTGGTCCAAGCAAACAAAGTCCACTTACGGTGGGTCATGCTCTCAGTTCGAGCATAGGGATCAACAACATCCTTTTCTTTTTGTCGTGGCAGCGGAGGCACCGGAGGGACATCTGTCGCACCGTTTGCGTTTTCTGAAGCGGCGTAATCCTCACCACCAAAGGACTGAATGTCCAAAGGCTGCGGGGTGTAGCCTGGAAGACGTGGAGGAGACTGAGTGGTGACTTTGACGGATTCGTCCATCTCGCTGTGTTTCTTCTTCAGTCGTCCGGCCGAGCTCTTTCGGTCACCTAAGGCTTCTCCGCTTTTTGATCGAAAGAGACGCGATCCAAGACTGGCACTTCGGCGACTGGAGGCGTGCGACTCGTTGCGGGAAAGGGGAGCGGCTGAAGTCATGATGACAGGCAGGTAAGGTTAAGTACCGGTCAGAGTGCAGTGATTGCCAGCCGACAATGCAGCAGGCGAGAAAGCGCGGGGCAGGCGCAGACCGGAAGTGTCAAGCCTGAAGTCAGTTATATCGACAGGCTGGATCTGGATGCGAATCTGGGTCGTGCTTGAAGGCTGGTCGGGTTATTCGTAAAGGCAATGGAATAAGTTGCGAACTCAATCAGGACCAGGAGTAGGGGGCTCCCTCCGCAGTGTGCCAGGTGCAGCGCGGGATCCAGGGCCGTCTGTCAGATACACCGTGACTGCACAGCTTAAGGTTGGCCTCGATTTGTGTGCGCAGCAGGAACGGCACGACAGGGAAGACTGACTGCAGTGACTGACTTCAGGCCAGAGGGCTGGAGAGGGAAGTTTGTATAGCCGGTGGCTCAAAACTAGAAGTGTAATTGTATTGCCTGCAGATGTGTTTGCGTGCATGCTGCAGCGGCTGCGGTGTGACTTTACGGGGCAGGTTGGAAGGGTCGCTGGTGGAGGTTCTGCGCCTGCCGCCCACAAACCAGCCCCCTAAGCCTGATCAAGCCTCCCAAGCCTGCACCCTGCGTCGTAACGGCTGCCAGCTGCGGTGCCCCGATCTTCTCCTACTGGGCCAAAATTGCCCGTTCCGCTGTTTGACGGTTGATCCTCCAGAGTCGAGCAATCATAACAATCCAGTCTTCCTGCACGTGTACTATATGCATCCGGCCGCAGTGGGCTGGGAAGCTGGCAAGATGAAGAGAAGGTTTATACAGTACAGTTCGAGGCTGATCTACCACTGCAACGCACCATATCATAGCTGTTGAACAAAGTCAACTGCCACCTCATCCTCTGTGTTCGTGTCCTCCTCGGCGCTGCTCACACTCGCGACTCAACCAACACCACTACTGACTCGGGCCCTGGCTCCGCTGTGCAATTTCATGGGCGGTGGAGGCATAGAAGTATTCAGGGGTTCACGGTCCTCGTGCAGGCCGACGCCGGCTGGCTACTGGTCAAACAATTCAGGTATGGCTTCAATGGTTACTCGTTTCAGGTTACTCTGTCACACTAGTATAAGAACTAAACGAACTGCTTGCGACCCGGGCACCAAATACTTCTATCACTCTTCCACTTGGACTCCTCCTCGAAGTTTCCCACCTTCTAGGCCCCTGGTGGTGGACTAGGACTCCGTGCCGACCTCGAGTCCCGGACACTAATATTATGGATGCGCCCACATTGAGTACGATGTCTTTCGATTCTCCCTAGCAAAGCGATCATCTGCTCGATGGAAAGAAAGATGGAGAAGATTGGTCCAGTCCTGGTGTAAAGTTGATGTTCCCGGGACTTCCTTATCCACCATCCCTGGTCTGCAGATACACCATGATCTCCACTTCACACATGGTATTGCCATCGGCTGTTGCCCAGCCAGGGAAGCTTTCTACCTCCGACACCATCTTGCGGAAGCTATCCTGCAGTCCAGGCCGGATAAGGAGATTCTCGCGTCCGGTCAGCCACGGGAACGAGATAATAGCGTAATGGAAGACTTTGCCCTCAAAACACCACTCCCAGGAATCGACGATGAATTGGATGAGCTTGTCTAGACTGTCACAGTCTTTAAGAGTGGTAGGGACTGAGGCGTTGGCAAAGCCATTAAGCCACACCCTCAGTGTCGTGCGGGCTGGATTATATTCCCCAGTCGTCCTGAGCTCCGTTGATGCAGGTTTGACCTTGGACGAAGAGACCTTTTCTAGCTTGGTCGCCTCTACGTTCAGCACTGGGGCTCTCTTTGGGCTGACCGTTGATTTTCTAGCCTTCTTTTGCACTGGTTGTTGGGGGATAATTTCTTTTTCTTGTTGGACAGCTTCCTCGACTATCCCAACGTCAACCGGCTTCCCGGTCTTCGCAGCCAGCACGTGCTGGTGCTTCTCATAAGTGAACGGATGTGTTTGTTGAACAGACCTCTTCCTGAGGCCTCTCGTTGGGACCTCCTCCTCGGCCGCGTCTCCGGCATGGGCACTGGTGGCAGTTGAATCCCGCAAAGAGGCATTTCGTTTCTGTAGGCGGCGGCCGTCACTTGCCCTGCCGCGGGTTGCTAGGCCTTTTCTAGACCCTGGCGGGGTTTCCGGAGGAGCTGCTGTTCCTGCGCTTACTGTGCGCGAGGAAGTGGCCCGTCGAATGGCACTGCCTCGGAGGTAGGGCCGAGGAGCCGGGCGTGATGGAGAAGTAAGTTGTTGGGAGCGAAGGTCTATGATCGCTTGCTCTTGTCCGCTGTTTTCTGAGGCACTATGGTAGATGTCCCCTTCCTCGACCTCGGGTTGGTCGCCGGGGCCAGTCGTAGTCTCCTGTCCAAACAGCCAAGCCTTATCTGATTCTTCGAGATTCCGCTCAACATCCATAAGCCTCCGGCGGCGGGTTGATTGGCGGCTAGAAGACATGATATCGGTGGTTTGTTCGGAGTCACCGTGAGATAGACTGGCAGGGGAGAGTGAGGGATTTCTAGTGGGGGTAGATTGCACTCTGTAGAGGGGTAGTTCTGGAGAGTGCGTCCTGATGGCTGAAGACGAGGAAGGCATTGTGGGACGAAGCGGCGGCAGGGCTGACTCGTCAGATATATGCAGACAAGGTAGTAGTGAAGGCGTGGACACAGCCAGCCAACCGCTGAGATAGGAAAAGCGAGGAATGTTGCCTGCAGGGTGGGTGGTCTGTAAGAGGCAGACCAGGCCGTTGACCAGACCTAGAGGGAGGGGGGCGGTGCTGTTGCAGGCAGCTCAGGTTGTTGGCTTCCTGGGGGAGGGGGGTGTCGTTTCGTTCAAGTAATAGTACTGTAGCAAATTGAGGCGAAGCTGAAGACGAAGAAGAAGTCGAAAAGAGGATAGAGAGATTCATGCCTGAATAGGCCACCACAACGACGACCTTCACTTCATAGATCATACCACATGCCAGCACATGCCATTTCTGCCCGCCGACTGAAGTAAAGCTTCGATCTTCAAGAGAGGCAGGTCAACGAAGTGAGTATTCAATTTTCACGGGAGGCCGAAGCAGTGCTCCTTGTTCTTCCCTTCACTGCAATGGGGATGTCTTCTTCACTGAAACTTGAGGTGGCAGTTCAACTGTCTTCACTCTCATGCCGCCGTCCCATTCCCTTGCTGTTCGCTACTAGTAGTACCAGTAGTCGTAGTCTCAGCCTCAGCACGCCGTTTATCCTGAAGTTTCTTCAAAACCCCCAAATCAAGCGGCACCCGCTCACCCAGCCACGTCGCCCGCTGACTATGAGCTCGCAATTCATCACCGTCCTCGGTGTTCGGATGCACCAGGGCCGACAGGGGCCCTCTGTTGATGACCAGCCAAGGTATGAACGCGCCAAACTGCGCCGGCGTAAAGATGTTGACCTCAAACATGGCCATGGTGTGAGGGCCGACGGGGCGGTCCCAGACCTTGTATATTCTGGGAGCAAGAATTAGGAAGGAAAGTGAAAAAGACAGAATACCACTGTAGAAACAGCCTTGCTGCGCCACGCCACGACCACGCCACACTTCCCCAGATTACGGCCACGAAAACAGGGAAACAGGAAAACAGGAAAACAGGAAAACAGAAGAACGCAATTGACACCCGCTCACTGCAGCTTACCTCAATTCAGGAAACTCCCTCCGGATTCGCTCCCACAGCGCTTTCGCGTACTGAGTCTGTTCCGCGCTGTTGGTGTGGTAGTAGATGTGGACGTCGAACCCGGCGCGGCGGCCGTTGGTGATTCCAGATGTGAACCTTTGATAGGACTTGCTGAGGACGCCGCCGTTGTCCGGGTTCTTGAACGATTTGCCGTCGTCGTTGAGCTCGTTGGGGAGAGGTGGGAGGTTCTCGTATCCTTCTAATGGCGAGGGATAGCTGTAGAGAAAGGGATCTGACATGTTGCGAGAATCCCCGATCCTGATTCTGACTCGAGAGGAATACCTGATACGCTTCTCACGTCCGCAGCGGCGGCGTTTCCGCACAGTAATGTATGTATATAAAATCTCCGAGTACTGCCAGCCGCTGTTCGATGATGATGTTGACGATAATGATAAAAAGACCGCCGACGGAAGCAGACCAGACTCGGACTGTACAGGAGTCGATAATCGATCACTATTGCAATGTTCGATCAGAAGCCAGAGAAGGAAATACAGTTGTATGTACAGCGAGAAAATGGCTAAGCAAAGCGAACGAGTAGTAAGTACGCGTGGTATGGCATCATTCGAGTCGGGTGTGAGTCGATCATTATATATTCCCTGCCTTCATCAGTTGGGCATCGAAGGCGAGAATTAGTACTATAGCACTGCACTTTGTACACTGTAGTGATTTTTAATAACTTGGATTAATTAAATAAAATAAACACAACATCTGCGGCCTCGGAGCAAAGGGCGGAAACGTTCCGGCGACACTGGATTCACCCTTTCATTGTTAAAAGTTGTTTTTCTTTTTGTACAGTATCAATTACTACTATTCACCACGAGCCCAGACTCTAACCGAACCATCACCTTTCAGCTGATAAAGCCACTCCCCATCCACCAAGTCGTCCAGGTTCTGCGTCGAACGAGACGTTGCATTGTTTCGTCTGTTCACCACATCATTGGTACCATCACTACCACCATCACCATCGGTACCGTCCCCATCATCATCATCATCATCAGCTTCCACAGCGCCTCCCCTACTGACCCTGACCACTCCCGACACATCCTTCGCACTGCCTGTGTCGAGTCCCCGAAGTTGGAACACCCGCCGGCTCGAGTGTGCAAGGCTACTGAGCACATGGGCATGGTTTCGCTCCACTGGCGTTTCTGCACTCGTCGTACCCGTACCCGTACCCGTTCCCGAACTCGCCCCATAAGCGCTGTGCAGTAATGGCGCGTCGGCCTGGCAGGACAGTATGACAGCATGGCTTTTCGCGCGCACCGTCGCGAGAAATGAGAGTAGCTCCACTGTCGAAGCGGACTGTGCGGCCAGCAGGAAGTCGATGCCGTCGATCAGGATAATGGGGGGCTGTTCGGTACTCGAAGACGACAACGACGACTCCTCCGGGCCCAAAGGTGCAGATGTAGAAGTAGATGTAAGTCCAACCCCGGCACCACTGGTGGGAATACGGGGCGAAGGGCCTGTTCTGGCATCAGGGGTTATCGTCGGTGTTCTCAAAGGCGCGTGTAGCCCCGGCCGCGATCCCATGGTAGATGCAGAGCCGGAAGCAGAGGTAGAGGTAGAAGTGGATGTGGAAGAAGGTGCAAAGGACCTCTTCAGAACATCGTCCAAAGTCTCCCTGACACCTTTCAAGTCGAGAGCCCCGAGTCTCACCATCGGTAATTGTTGGGCGGCATCGTCCCCGCCGCCGCCTCCTCCAGACACAGGACCAGAGCTCGAGTTTCGCGCTGTGGTTACACTTCCATGCGTGAGAAGTCCGTCAACGTAGATAAGTCGCCGAGTCTTCAGGAGAGATGGGATATCTAGGCCCTGTGGATGCGGGCGGTATCAATCAGCCAAAATAGCAGGAAGAAGAGAAACGAAACAAAACAAGCCGGTACGGTTTTAGTTTTGGTTTCCTTTTCCATCCTTCTCCATCCCGTTCGAGAAACAAGGAGACACCGTGGAAATAACTGGGCTCCAAAATCTCAATGGTGCCATGTGTGCTTGCACGGCAGTGTCCTTCTATCTGGGACTGAAAGCCACCGGGCAAAGAGGTAGACAGACAGGAGTTTCAATGCTTCCCTCAACGAATCAATCCAACCAGCATAAAAGCACAGCGAAGCGAGGCAAAAGAAACCAGAAAAGACGCTGCCAGACAACCACATCCAAAGACGAGACGAGACCAAACAAACTAATATCGCTCCGCGGAAAATCATAGCAGACCGTAACCCATGAGGAGCCAAATTGCATCTTATCTCATCGCGTTCAAGGAGGCAAGAACAGTGTTCCCAAAAGGCCATACATGACATGCATAACACCCATACGAACGACGCAGTAGAAAAGTGGTGCACACATTCACCATGTCTGGTCAAGTACATCAAGTACCTAGTACGTACCATTTTCTTCCCCATTTCCACCCATAGACCCAATGGCCTCAATAGACTCACGAAAATCACATGCCGCCGGCCCTGCTGTGGCCGTTGCTGTTGGTGGTGGTCATCAGTGTCCTCGACGCCATAGAGAGCCGCGTAGACCAGGCGCAGGAGGAGCCAAGGGGCCGGCGTCTCGAGAACCGAAGTCACCAGTGTCTGTGTATGCGCTCGTGGTGGACGTTGCTGTCGTGATCGTACTGGCTCAGGCGGCGCGAGACAATCGGTGATATAGGCTGCTAGCGGTGGGGGAATCGTGGGCGGCATTTTGCTTGCTTGCGGACGGAATGTGCTTCTGCTTCTGCTTTTACCGCTTTGCTGCTGCGACCGCTGCCAATAGTGACAATGATGGTGATGGCGGTGGTACAGTAGACGGTATATATTTCCAGGCAGATACCTACTGTACCGTATGTTTGATGGTGTGTTGGTGTTTCATTTGCGACATAGGTGAAGTTTTTAACTCGAGACAATGACGAGAAACGGAAACGAAAGAAAAGGAAATAGAACAGAAAACGAAAAAACAGTGAATATCCGGATAAAGTCAATTCCTCCTGGCGAAGGTACTGTACAAGCTGTATGTGTTTTCTACACAAAATCAGGTAGGATGGCTACAACTATTTCTTTTCTCATACATGTCACCACTAACCACTGGAGAGGTATTCCTGTATCAACTAGTAGTACCTAAACTTCTTCCTAGCTGAGATGACATGTACTTCCTTGATATCTACCAGCAAAGAATTTGGTGGTTCCAACTACGTTACACCACGACTCGGACCCATTTCTAAGTCGATGCGAGAGGCAAATGTATGGCGGTCAGGGGCTAGCGCGGGATATTCCTAGCAAAACGCAATGATGGATCGCAATGTGTCTACATCGCATTCATGGACATCAAGGGAAGGCGTGGTTCAATTCAAGATCTTTTGGGATTTCTCGGTGGCCATTTGCCGGCCAATCCGAAGAATCCATGCTGCGATAGACATTCGCTGGATGCCATTGCTAGGTAGAGAAGAACAACAGCAGTACCACGAAAGTCTACCGCGCGCGCCACCATCCATGTCTCGATCCAGCAACTATCTTAGAACTGGGACGACAAGACAGAAGATGCGGTGGCTGTCCACGTCTTGCCCTGCAAAAAGAGCAGCGGTTGGCCAACCTCCGACATCATCTTGTCTCCCATTTCTTTCCCCGTCACTTCATCGCAGCTGTTTTTGATCAATTGCGCGGACCTTGCTGTTCCCAGCGCAACTCTCCTCACCACGGAACTCCTAAGCCGAGCACATTTTGCAGAATTTGTTTCCGAGCGGTTTGTTCAATCGACTTGAAAATGACACACAGAATCCGTTTCGAATTTATGCCTTGAGCGGGCCGCGGGCTCCCTTAGGAGTGCCGGTCTGGAATCCGTTCTTGAATTTTCTGTTGAGCACGTCCAGTGGTTAGCCCAGTTTGTTCTAACCAAGAAACACGTTCACACCCTCCCCCATGATTCTAGCAAGCCTCGTTCCTCTTTCTTATTTTTCTTGTGCCGCCGAGCGAATGGTTGGGCCTGATGGCAGTCCTCCTCTTCCGTCCCAGTTCCAGCTCTTCAGATCCCAAAGCATCAGGCGCAGCGTTCAAAGCAACACAAAAGGTTGGGTAAATCTTACCGGTTAACAGTCGACAACGATCGCATGCGGCCAGTTCCGGTGGTCTTGCGTCTCTTGGCCTTCTCGCTCCATTCGTATTTCCGGGTCTTAGCGGCAGGGTACTAAGGCAAAGAGTCAATCTTTCTGTTTAATGACATCCACCACGACCGAACACTGGATGGTCGAGGACGAGGAAAAAGAGAGGGAAGGGCTATCGTACTCCGCAGTTGGCGCAAGTGTGCTTCTGGATGTGAAGGCTTCGGCGACCGCATCTGTGCATCATGTTTTAGTACACAACAATTCTTCTTTGTTGAAAAAGGCTGCAGCCACGAACCTCCGGCACAGAGTATGCGTCTTGTTGTGTCCTGCACCATTCCGTTAGAAAAACATATTCACATTCAATCGATCCCGCCGACAAAAGCTGCTTGAGGATCTCCTGGGGTCTGGCGTACTCTTTCCGAAAGAACTCGTTCCCTTCGTCATCTTGGCGGCTTATTCGTCGAGACGGATCTGTGTCGAATTAGTCGGTCGTTCAGTTGACAACAATTAGATCGGGATTTCAAGCGTACGGGAAGTTGCTGGGTGTCGAGAAGAAAGGCTGGGTTGGGTCAAGGTCGTGGTAGCACTTCAAGACTCCCAGGTCTAAGTTTGCGGGCGGCAGCTGCGCAGTTTGTGGGCGCCAAGATTTGAACGACGCCAAGGACTGAGCCACTCAACAGACATCAGCACGTGACCCAGCCTCATCTGAAGTCACCACGATTGATTGGACGCCATGCAAAATTCAGCCTCGTTAAGATTCGATGATTGCGCAAGGTGCAAAACAAAAAGGGGTCCTGAAAGCATCGCGGTGTCACTACCATAGTTGCCCTCCTCCTAACATTATTCTTGATAGGGCTGCTTGTAGACTACCTGGTAGCTTTGATATGTCAACTACGCTGACACGCTGATTACTAGCGCAACGAACACCTGAGAGTACCTTCATCAATACGCCTGTGGCTCGATTTCACTGACACGAATTGTCACTGTTTTTCTATGAAAGGAAAGGAGTTCAACAAACGGCCCCTCGTCAACTAAGTGGAGTGAGCAGAAGTCTATCAAGGAGAACTGATACTGAGTCCGGCACTCAAACCCGTACCCTGTCCCATCTCAATGGGTTTCGCTTCAATCGCCACGAAGGAGTCCCCGCCCGCAGCGCTGGAGTTGCCATTGCAGGTGTTCCGGTCGGCGGAGCATGACTACTGACCAAGCAACTGCAAGCACTGCTCACTCTATGAACATCTTTCGAACAGCCTCCTAAGAACGTAGGAAGAGCTGCGGTGTTGGACGCAGTTGTGGTATAGGACGAACAGAATGCGAGCATTGAACTCGAATAGCGGGGATCGATCAGATTCCGCAAGCAATTGTCTTGGTTGCATACCAGCTTGGCTGCGGATGCCGGGGTGACGGGATTGACCTTGTCAGTGGTGGAGGCGGAAGTGTGAGATACAGGAATCGAGACGACGGAGGCTTGCCCGCTCGACGTCGCGACTGATGGTACCGCTGCGGTAGGGACAGGGCTGGACGGGCTCAAGGGTGTGTTGGAGCTGGTCATACTTACGCTCGTAGATGGCACAGAACCGGTCGCAGGCGCTTGGCTGCTGGCAGCTGCGGTATCCGAGTTGGACGATTGCGACGATGCGTTCTTGGTGGTAGGTGGTTGGCTACTGGCAGCTGCGGCATCGGAGTTCGACGATAGCGATGAGTCCTCCTGGGTCGAAGTTGCAGCAGAGTCAACACTCGATTGGCTAGCCACAACGGTACAGGTTGATGTGATTGTTGAACCCGAGGTGATGCTGGGTGCTGAGCTAGAAGCAGCAGCGGGAGCCGACGGTAAGGTACCACTGGCAGCAGCTAAATTATCCGACGTTGGTGTGTCTGAAGGAGGAGTTGTGGTCTCTGTTGTAAGAGAGGCAGACTGAGAACTTGGACTTGGTTGGGCTGGGTTAGTAGGGGCACCTGAGCTTGGGAGTAGCGTGCTTGAAGTTAAAGAACGCGTGCATCCACTGGGAAGATTCAAGGTCTGTCCTACCAGCAGATTATCCCAGTCGAGGCCGGGATTCACTCCAAAGATCTCGTCAAAGCTACAGCCAAGCTTCTTGGGAATGCCATAGCCGGTATCGCCAGCAACTACGGTGTAGACAGTAGCGGGGGCCGACTGGGAGGAGCTGCTCAAGCTCGAGCCAGCCATAGTAGACGATGCAACAGCTGTTAGAGCCGAGCCCGACATCATGATGCTTGCGGACGCAGATTCGCTGGAAGAGATCGAGCTTGGACTGCTCGTTGCATCCGACGTTAGGGTGGCTGAATTTGAGTTTGTTGGAACCGCTGCCGAATTAGCTGAAGACGTGGCAGCGGCCATGTCTGAGGAGGCGCTGGTTGCCGACGGAACCGCCGATCCGCTTGAAGAAGTCGTACAGTTTCCACCCGGCACATTGAGGGACTGTCCCACCAGTAAGGTATCCCAATTGACATTAGGATTTGCAGCCTTGAGGGCAGCAAGTGTCACCCCTAGTGTTGTTGCAATCTTGTAACCGTCGTCCCCTTGGGCAACAGCATAAGTGCAGGGAAGAGTGTTGGTAATAGTCTGATTTGTGCACACCACACTTTTGTAAGTGCCGTCAAAAGGATTTGGGTATTGCCATGTCGAGCAAGGACTCGACGTCGTGATCTTGACCGACTTGACGTAGGCAGAGAACGGCGCCTGACTGAAATTTGTCGGGCCTCCTCCCCACGCAACAGTTGCGCCGTTGTTGCCCGGATCACCTGCACACCAGACACCCAAATGTAGGCGTGATGGCGTCTGGGGGAACTGGTACTCACCAGACGTGGCATGCGAGTTCTTCAGGGTGCGAACATTCTGTCCGTCAATCGACCAGGTTAGAGCGTCAGGGCTCCAGTCTAAAGCGTACGTATGGAATTGATCCTGAGGATTATTCACCGCTGGCGTCGAGCCTCTGTCGTAATATCCCGTGATACCTTTACCGAAAAAATTGGTCTGCACCTTTCCATTTGACCCAGCAAAGTTGTTGCCCGACCATTCCCAGTCTATCTCGTCAAGGTCGTCCGACATCATTACGGCGCCTGTAATGATGCCAGCGCCAGGGGCCGCCTTGAGAACCACTTCAATACGACCGAATAGAACATAGAAACGACTCCAAATGTACGGTGCATCATAGCGTTTTGCAAAGGTGAAGTTGGCACCATTGGGAGCACCGTAATTGACCGTGGCCGCGTCTGCGAGGATCCAGTCCGACGGAGTCGTGGTCTGCTGGGTAAAATCAATCGAGTAGGTGCTCGTAGCGAGGCCTGGAATGGCAGGACAGGGACCTGGAGTGGTTTGCATCAGCTTTTGGCTAGATCTGGCCCGGTCATTGTAGACTTACCGTTCAGAGGATTGCAGGCGTCAGCGCTGGCAAGGCCCACGACTGCTGCCCCCAGGAGCAATGCAGTACGCAGATAGGTGTGGATCGCCATCATGAAGATGGGAGCTAATGCAGGGCCCTAAAAGAAGATAAATGCGGTAGTAAGGACTTCAGGGCCGTATGAGACTCAAACTTTGAGCCTGGAACGAAAGGTGGAAGATATTGGGCGTCATGCAGACAAAGAAAGCCAGCTGCAAATACTTCAGCCGCAAGTGAATTTGTGACAAAGGAAACACGACAAAGAAGAATCCGTTTGCGCATATTATGAGAAGGGCCTCTGAAAGAAGTCTGAAGCACGCTGTTACCATTACCGATAGATGATCGCCATTGTGTGAGAGGCATCCTGATATCCATCGTTCAGTGAGCACGACTTGAACGGTGGGTGCCCTTCCTGAGCCGGCTACAAGCCAAGTGGGAGGATGCGCAGAGATCCCGAAATCGAGAGATATATAACTCTGCAGCGGAGAGGAATGATTCTAACCCATTATCTCTGCCATCCAGCTGGACGATCCATGGGAAAGCGACAGCGAGAATGGTACAAGTCCTTTAGCTGGAGGGAGGATGCGTTTGGCTTTCCATCCACCGGGAGATTTTCGGAAGTTTCGTTCCGGATCCCGGATCCGCTAAGCTTTCCACCAAGCCTAAACTTTTAGCGCAATCACGGAATATATTACTGGCCAGAATTACTGCAAAAAGGATCTATTGGCAATATCCTGCTTTCGTGCCTTCTGAACAACTGGCATCGCAGACACAAATCTCAGATGTGTTCCCATATCGCTTCATTCTACTCTGTTTCTTCAGAGTAAAACGCACAGCCCTGTCGCCGCAAAATCAGCCATCAAGCTAGTGGCCACCATCATTCCGGAACAAGCGCCGGGAGAACAGGATATCTCGGTCCGATACCCAACTGCCGTTGATGTAATTCGTGATTGAGAGCACGGAGTTGGGGTGGCTGCACATATCTCCACGATCTGTACCTGGTACTCTGTGAAGGGCACTACGGTTGTAAAAGTTGCCTGAACAGGATCCACCGTCAAACCTCCGGGGGTTGATGTTGTGGAGGTTGTTGTTGGCCCTCCTGTGCTTGACCTTGACGTGGAAGGTTGTGAGAAGGTCGAGGGGCCCGTGGTGGCGCTCACTTGCGACACGGAGACACTCGTAGTTGTGAAGGAGGACAAACTAGTCGCACCGTTGCTGGTGGAGTCGGTGCTTGACGTTGAAGAAGTACTAGGAGACGGAAGGCATCCTGCAGCTTCCGGGGGACACGAGGTCACAAACAGCGTGCTTGTAATGGTGGTCGTTGTGACCAGGCCTGCAGTATGAGTGCTGGATTCTGCCGAGCTTGAGCTTGTGGTTGAGATTGCGGGAGTGATGCTGAGTCCTTCCGAACCAGTGGTTGAAGTCGTACGCACGGGATCAACCGAGGGTCCTTGGGTCGGTGCTCCAGAGAAGGTTGGATCTGGCTGGGGTGTTGCAAATATCTGTCCATCCGGGCCCAGGATCAGGAGGGCGGAGTCTTGTACGTCTGCAACACACCTAGTTAACCCAGCTCTGGAGATCACTGACAGTCTAGGTAGTAGGCGCATGTTTGGGAAGCTTACTTCCTTCTTCGTCGGCAAATAGTGGCCCAGTAACCTCTTCATACTGTGTACACAGCCCAGCTGCGCCGTCGCTAGGTCCGTTGAACGTTACACCTAAGCAAGCCCCGGGCGTGTTTGCTCGGTTGTAATCGACGCAGGCGCCAATGCAGGCGCTGAAGTTGGCTGCATTGGCCTGGGACAAGATGTCTCCATTGTAGTTGGTGGCGCACTGTAGCTGCCAGGTGTAGTTTCGTGGTGTGACATAGAAATACCCGTCATAGTCATCGCATTTCGGCACTGTGGTGATGGGAGGGGATGCTTGTCGCGGGTGCTAGCCATTGTCAGCAGCCTCTTGGAGTGTGGGATTGGGTTATTGATTCACCTTCAACACGCTGTTTAGCTGGCCATCTGCATAAGCACGCGCTTTCGCTGGCCGACCTGGTTCAGGGGCGTTATGCCAGCCCATGCGGAGGGCAGCAAGGCAGACACGTGTGTGGACCAACAAGGTCAGAATAAGTGAGGCGCCGAGTAGCTGCATTTTGGTCTCTCCGATGGTAGTAGCAAGAGGTGATTGAAGCGAGGATCATGCGACGTGGAGGAGGTTAGGGAAGAATAGTTGTTGTCGCCCTTGCGCGTCCATAACATTCTGGTGATTGTTGGAATGTGGTGCCCGGTGCCTCGCGAGCTCGCCTTACACTCTGCAGACTGCACCAGGGGCGTATTCATTGTGGCTGGAATGGAACCAGGCTCATTGCTTAAGTGCCTGCTAGTCCTTTACTCGTCAGAGGATCCAAGAGTGTCACCATACTGTCTTCTGTCGTACAGGTTATGCGCATCGCGCTACAGGTGATGCAAAAGAAACCTGGTGCGTCAGTAATAGGCGCCCTGCTCTGAATAACTGGGCGAGCGGAAGGCCCTAGGACCGCAGGACCACCTCCTCAGCCCATTGCGGTTCAAGTTGAGTGGACGGACCGCTCTAATTCATGGTGACAATCTTGCTATGAGGAGCACAATGAGACTGCTGAGGCTGTACTCCAACATCCAGAGGAAACAATTTATGACTGAGTGTGAGATAGGAAGAGTCACACAACCTCCTGGAACCTGGCCGGCCGGTCAGAAGGCCTAGGCGTGAGATTAGCAGGAATAAGAAGTGGTGACTGAAGACATATGGCCGGAAAGCCCAGAGCATCCCAACGCCACTCTGCAACTGGTGGCATTCGCTAACGTGACAGGAGCCTTGTATAGCGGCCAATGGTGGAGCGCATTTCACAGGGGATCCTCCACATGGGCCCTCACGTCCTCCACGACGCAGCAGGAATGTGCCAGCGTGCAGTGCTCGAAATAGTCGTTCCTCCACCGCAGTTGCCCATCATTCGGGAGGTGTTCGAGCAAGAAGAAGCATTTCCCCCCTATTGCTTAGTCGCCTCGACCGACAGGATTTGTGTCAGAATTGCCAACAGCATATACTGCAAGTCCAACAGCAAATCTGGGTGTCTTGCTGAGAAGATTGACAAACACACATCTGCTTTAGGAGATTCGTAGCTTGTGCGTGGGTGTGTCGTCCAAAGATCGTCGAAATGACACATAACACGACACATATTTGCATCGCTCCACAACTTCGGGCATGGGCCATCCCATACAGAACCAATCTGGGCTCTAACGTCCGTCGCTGACTCTCCGATTGTTCCAGTACCGTGACACGGCCTTTCGCGCAGTCTCGTTCTGGAATTCCGGCCGTGATCTGTATAAGTTGAAGACACGAAACTCCAAGTCGGTCATGATGTAACCGTGCCAAGGACCTCGTCAGGGGGACCCACCCCTCCTTCCGAGTTTGGCGGCCGCGTTTACGCGGCGCCACACTTGCTCTACGAGCAAGTGCCTGTCGGCAACTGCGTCAGGTCACCAAGTACGTCGCGTTTCGTAGATTCACGCGTCTATCGACGTCGACGTCGATAACGTTGTTGATAACGCTCAGATATGCTTATTTATTCTTCTTGATGCTCCTATAGGGTCTCGAGGGAAAAGTTATATAGTAAATTAGGCGGTACTTGTCCCTCCGTCGAGCCCTGCGCGCATTCCAGAGAGGTTGCCTCCATAGCCTCCTCTTGAAGTCTTATACTTGCTCTGTTACGTTGTCTCTCTTCCTGGCGCTCTAACCGGCGTTGTTCACGTTGCTCTCGACGCTGTTGTGCTTGCTCTTTACGCTCTTGTATTCGTTGTTGACGCTCACGCTTGCGTGCGGCAATCTCAGCGCGTTTCTCCTCCTGTTGACGCAGTTTCTCAAGCCTCTGGGTCTCGCGCTCGATAATGCGTTGTGCCTTCTCGTATTCACTCTCTTGCCGTAACTCGATATGCGTCCATACGTCTACCACTGTAATTACGCCTTTAGCGACATATCTCTGTGACTGATCTCGGGACTTTCGAGACTCTCGGTAGTTGTAGGTGCGCTATAGATCGCGAACTGCGTTCGCACCTGAAATAACGAGCGCCTCGGCGCCTTTGAGGAATGAATTAAGCGAGTCGCGTGCGGTAGGCGTTATCTCAGTCTATTTGACTGCCTCTTTGAGGGTTTTACAGGCAACGTAGAAGGATCGAGGCTTATGAGGAGTAGTAAGAGTGACTGTATCGAGCGTAGGCGGAGGAGGAGGAGTAGGAGTACGAGAACCTATACGCCAACTATTATCACTGTCATCACTGTCATCACGCGCTTCACGCGCTATACGCTCGTTATAGGTCTCGTTATTGAGAGTGTTGTAGTCGCAGTAGTCGTCTCTCGATAGGTGCGCAATTCGTATATTCTGTTGTCGCAGCCACTGCTCTTGTGCCTTTTGGATCACTTATGACGGATTAAACGGTATAATGCCTGTTTTCTTCTAAGCGCTATAGATTGTCGATCTCTTGAAAGTCTTGTTTCTTATCTCTGTAAGATTTAATAGGAAATCCAATTTATCGAACTCCTCGGCGCCGTATCGTATCGCTCTATCGATATACTCGCTATGCCAGTATTTATACGGCTGAAAATAGATAACGTCGAGAGGCTGGCAAAAGTGCGAGGTATGCGCAGGAAGTGAAAAAGGTATAATCTTGTGATCCCAATAGTAACTGACGAAGCCGAACTCAAGGTGCCCTATAAACCCGTCGAGGAGGAGGAGTCGATAGAGGCCTCGCGTTCTGCGCGCAGTTAACCTATTAAAGTGCTTTAGCCACTCGAACGTAAGCTCGACGCTCGAATACTCTATCTCGGACGCGCATAAGAGGATCTCTGAATGAAGATTTAGTAAGATATGCTTCTCGAGAATCGTCGCCGCCTACATAATAACCTGGGGTTAAATCACAGTACCGTCACCACAGATACACTTAGTTAACGTTAACGTCTCCCGATTGTCAGGGCTAGGTACGAAAAGCCGTACGTATTCGTCTCCTCTGGCGACGATTTTATACGGTTTGCCGCAGCCTATTCTGAACCCTGTTTGATCGACGTTATACATATCACAGTCCAGAATACCGTATTCGGCTCGTATATCTGCTAACTTACGAAACCAGCCTCTTAGGGTTTCAGGATCGTACGCGCGCCTGCGCTCGACGGCAAGAGGTCGACCTATCTTCACAGTATACTCAGGATAACGCTGAAGGAACCGATATTGCCACCTATCTCCTAGTCTATAAACTTTAGTACCGATCTTAGTGCGCGACTTGTTAAGAATATCCTGCGCAATCGATCTAACCATTCGCGGCTTCGCAGGAATACCGTGTCGATAGAGCCTATCAATTACTTGACAGAGAGCGAGTTCCTACGCGTCCGAGAGCGCTTTGTTGTGGCCGCCGTTATTCTCGATATCTCGTACTCCTTTCAGTCGACCCGATAACGTCGTTCTCGGTATATCGAATTCACGCGCGACTTTGGATATCGAGGCGCCAGGATGGGCTAGAACCCATTCTACAGCGTCTTTTACGCGTTGCGAGCGGTCGTCCTCTATCTTTACGGCGTATTCGACAAATTTGCGGCATAAAAAACGCGTTATATTTGTGAAAAATTAAGGATTTCTGGAATATCTACAATATCTACAATAACGCGACCGCCAAACTCGGAAGGAGGGGTGGGTCCCCCTGACGAGGTCCTTGGCACGGTTAGGTATTCGGTTGTGCCTGTATATTGCGCCAAGTCTGAGCGAGGGCTCGCTCAAGAACCTGGAGAATTCGAGGATCAACTTGGCCTGTCGTGTTATTCTGAACTATTTCTGTGGCTTGTCTTACGGTAAGCTCTATTGTTCGTGACATATCTCAGCGGCTTTGACGTTCTGATAAATAGGCTCAAAAGACGCCGTAAGAATGGGTTGGAAGCGTATTGCGAGGCTGCTGGCAGTTGAAAATGGTAGAGAGGCATTCCGGTTGGGATGCATCCACTGCTGGGTTTTTCTATTCCGACTCAGAGCCTCACGACATCGATTCGGCCACACAATGTTGCTTAGGTTGGCTAGGACTGCCTGACAACAAGGTGTTTGTGCACAGGATGAAACCGCATTTGGTTCTACAGACAGCATTGGATGCCCCACCGATGTGCGGTGCGACCACGACTCGGCGGGCTGTCATGCCTTAGACCCAACATGAACGTGATTTACCTTGAGTGGAGAGTTCGAGACTGGTTAGTGGTCATCCTCACGCCATCCCACCCCTGAATAGCTGGCTGCTGGAGAAACAGTAACAAGTGCCACGCTTCGTCGATGAACAAGCAGGTGGGAGTTGGACGTCTGAGCCCTGGCTCGGCTAGGCGAAGTATGATCTGGACAGAGTTCTGCTGCGCCAGTTTAGTACTTAGTCCCGCTGATAGTGATATCAGCGACAGGCGAATGCACCCTGCTGGCTGTAGCCTCGACATGCCACTGCTCGTCGCGTCCCGGTCTTTCTTTGAATTGAGTTTTCAGACCCCAACATGGTTAGACCGATAAATCGATAACTCCAACATTGGCGCAAGCGCACGTGTGACGGAAGGTCGGCAACAAGACGAAGCGAGGCAAAGGCCGCGGAGCTGAGGATGTTCAGAACGGGGGTTATTACATACCGACCGCGGCCAATGCGTTCGCTTGGTTGCGCGGGCTCTGGTCCGTTGTGTCAGGAAGCCAAGGGGCCGGTTGTGGAAATGGCCTCAAGCAACTTAACAGGGTTGGACCGAAAAATGTGGTGGACCAAAAGCACGGAGGGGGCTACTCCTGGTTTGCTGCCTGGAATCAGGACAGATCCAGCGTCTCTCTGAACCAAGGGCAACGACGGGTAAGTGCATCGGGACACAAGAGAGACTTGGTCAACTGTTGTCTTGAAGGGGCCGTTTGGGCTGTGAGGTCCACTCTCGGTACTCTCGACCGATGAGCAGAGCGCGATCATGTACTCAGCGTAAGAGGAGTGGACGGGGTTGCCCGCTTAAGAGTGGCAGACCGACCAACTTTCGACTAGGAAAGCCCTGGTTGCACACGCCTCTATCAAGTAGCCCATTCCCGGTGAATAGAGTTTCACGGCTCCAGCTGTCATTCCGGGACCGGGCTTCCAGTGGCCCCAGGATCGAAAGTGGTTTTGCGTCTTCCCCAGGCTGGTCTTGGGGTATATTTGTGTCCAGATTTTCCTAAAGCACGATGTCATCTGTCCATTTAAGCTTTCACGCAGCTGGAGGACATGTGTCGGCCATGGCGGGCCACATTACCCACGTACTCTTCTATACCGAGATCTGGAGGAGCATCAGTAACATCGGACGAGGGTCGGGATCGGGCTAAGGTGTAATGGGTTAATCACCAGGCCCAGGGTTTCACCCACCGACGTAGAGCGACGAAGCAAGCCCCAGCGAGAATGTGTCGCAAAGCACATCGACGCAGAAGACTTGAACGCTGACTGTTGGCGGCAAGATACGATAGTGCCGTGGGAGAAGAGCGAGGGGGCCCAATCGACTATGCAGTGGACGTCCACTAGAACGAACTCGCCTAGAGTCCGGCTTCCCTTCTGGTTCTGTTCTTGCGATTTGGGAGTGGGAGGGGCGGCCCGGCCAGTACCACCTGAAAATTCGCTAGGCGACATGAGAGTCTTCACCGCGAAACGCACTCGCCGTTCGGCCGTGAATTTCTATGGCTGGACAGGCCCAAAAGCAGCTCCAGGGCAGTGGGTGGCTGGGAAAGCTGCTGCTTCTACGGTGGGTGGCAGTGTGCTCCATCTGTCCTCGCACAGACACCCTGCATATTTGCTTGCTACACTCTCTCGTTGAGCTTTGATGCCGGCATGGGATCTTTGACATCTCGGTCCTGCAGATCAATGAGTTATGCTTTGGGGTGCAAGAATAAACCATTCATAGGCATACAGTTTAAAGCGAGCAGCGGACTTCAAGCGGGCCGCCCTGCTTGTTGGAGACTCCAGCAAATGTGCGTTGAAGTCCAGTGCAGTTGGCCCCGGCGTATAGAAAGACGATCACCGTATTAATGGTCATGTTCATCGGCATTGTATAATCCTGGTAAGTGAGAAGAGTATCCGGAGAAGGCGTTGTGGCAATGAGATGGAGTTGATGGATACGCTAAAACTCTGGTATGGTGGTCTGATCCTGCATGGCGACTATGCTCTGGATCTGCAAATACATCCATTGGTGATGTCTTGCACTATTGGCTTGTCACCTTGAGATCGAAGGACATTATTGCAAAGCTGAATCGTGGTGCAAGTTGGGGATCGTGAATGAAGAGGGCTTTGCTGCTCCAACCGTAGTGGACACCAAAGCCAGGACCGCAATAGCATTGTGAACATGGTGACACCCCTTACAACGTGTGCCGTTGTATTCCAGATTTGCAGGCCAACACCAGGGAGAGAAGATCAACCAATACTAGTGATGTTCGAAGCTCGTCTGATTGTACAACGTTATTACTATTGTACAGTCCAACTGAACCGAGAGAGCTGCTTTTGAGATATTCTCGTGACGTGAGGCCAAGCTCGTCCCGCCTTTAGTCGGTGCACGGGCCCGTCGATCGTGCTTTCAACTGCCAGTGTTGGCGCTTCAGCCGTTAGAGGATCAGTGCCAGGGTAAGGATCACGCAGATTGTTGCAGGGGACAACATGGCGTACAACTCGCAGCGAAAAAGGTCTCCAGCAGCGTCTGTAACACCCCGACCAGCAGTCAAACTGGCATATGACACACTGTGGTAGTTTGTCAGATGGGCCTGAGAGCTGAGGAAGTTGCGTTGAAAAGAGTTTGTGTACGAGTGGTACGGCGAATATCGGAGGTGCCGAGTACCACAAAGGAGCGCAGGCTGGAACCAGGTGACACTGACAGGCAAGTTGAGAGGCCTATGTACAAGGTTATCATTCGAATGCGACAATGATCGGACCAAGACCTCCGATGAATTCGCCCTCTGGATACTCGTTGGTTGGATACCATTCCGTCACTGTCTTATGGCGTTTGAATCCAGCTGAAAAGGTGCCCTTCCGCGCCATTCATCGTGCATTCTAACGGCTATGGCAGGGTTGCTCCTTGCGTAGTCTTCCTTCTGCCGTCGACAAATGGTCTAAGCGGAGTGGGCGTAGGCTTCATCGGTGTCTCTATTACTGCAGTAGGCAACATAACCTACTACCGTTCCTGTTTAGCGCATCTCCTGGACTGGAGCATTGGTGAAAGCAGACTCGCTTTTGAGTTCTGAGGGATGCGGGTTGATACTGTGCTGCGAGCCGCTGGGAATCCGACGCCCGGTTACTCCCACTCAGACGACGGCAACGGTGGGATTGATTTCCGAGGTTTGGACCGGGTTCATGCGCTTTGGAACACAGGCAAAGAATACCAGTTTAGGGAAAGCCGATTCTGCTTCTGCGAGCTGAAGACGATTCCGGCATTATCAGCAGTGACTGAAGTGCCAGACAGTCATTCCTCGAATTTGGGGAAAATGACACCACAGCCATGAGACTGTAGCCAGACGTTACGGAGCTGGATTTAAGACCTTGTTCTCTGCATCTGTCACAGCAGTACACGCTCTATTCCACAACCTCTGACCACATCCGACTGCGGAAGGACGCAGATTATGGCCGCTCAGTATTTATTGCACCACCAGGAGCGATGCCCTCTATGGACCCTTCGATGCCTGTTGTGGGACTTGGAACGTTTGCCAGGGTCAGCCGAACTTTAATTCCCTGTCAATGACGATGCCGCAACGAGTCTCCGCTTTGTAAACGCAAAGCTTATGTTTGCGATGTACATTTGTATCGTATGGCACCGGAATGTCCCAGACCGTAAGCTGGGAAACGGTGTGGTTTCGATGTGGCTCCCACTGTTTACCGGAAACATCATTGCGACAACTTCCAAAGCCAAGGTGAAATTGACCGAGGGCAGATGGGCTTGGTACAGGGAGCAAAGGTCCATCTCACCCCGGTAACGTGGGACCATTCGGCCTGAACGTTCTTCTTCCGTGGGGGATTGCGGGATACACCCACTGGGACTGCGGTCGGGAAATCTGGGGTGTCTTTTCGAATGGCTCATCCAGGAGGCCCGCAGCCACAGCCATGGCGATGATGTACTCTGTACCATCATCCAAGGCCGGAATAACCACGTCTTGGAGCGGAATATGCCACCTGGAAGCTTTGAGGAGGCAGTGTGGTCACAAGTTTTGTGTCTCGAGAGCGAGCGTTCACGAACACATAGGAGGCTAGCCTACCTTTCCGGATCATTCGTCCAGGACTGTCCCATACCCTTTCACCAGTGTGAGGAGACATTCATGGTTGGGGTTTTGCAGCGCAGGCCGACACCATTCTATCCTGCCCGTGTCTAGTTCGAAACTCCGTCAAGGGCAAGAAAAGCAATGTTTGTTGCCGTGGCAAGCTCTTTGACAATGACGTACCATATCGTGTCGCTCATGGACGGGGAGGCAGTATTGCACTCGCCCTTCTCTGCCCAGATGCTGCAGCTGTGAATGATACATTTGTAGAGGAGAACGGCTCAGCTTGTAGAGCGCTTCCCTAGAATATGGAATGTGTGCTCTGCCAGGCCGAAACTTAGTATAGGTTACACGGTCTTAATCATCTGTTCAAGCCCAGTGTCTTCCTGGTCAATACGTATTATGCTGCAGAAGCGTCAACTGCGCTGAACATGAGTAAGCGTACGACGTCCGGATATCAGTGCGTTCCGTTCGGGGTCATATGATGTGTATCGTGGTCATACGGGGGTTTGTACCCTGACAACGTACAGGGATCAGTAGGAAGAAAGAAGGATTCGAGCACTCGTTGATCGTGAGCTCTTCGTCTCACCTGATTCGACTCGGGCGATAATCCTCCGAGGCACGGGGCGTCTCTCTTCTCATCAAGGATGCCTTCCAAGGTTCCTGAGTAGCTGCCCACTGCATGCGGCGAGTTTGGACTTGACTTACAGCATCTTGGCATGATGGGAGAGCCAATCATTCAATTATTATGACGATGAGCGGTCGAAGTCTGACCCAAGCACACTCAGCGCGATGGCTGGTGGCTTGCGGCAGTCGGGCACTGTGCCAACGCCGCGGTTGGCATCCGATATCGCGTGCGAGTCAGGCACTGGGCAGCTCTGCCCTCCACCGCACGCGTGCTATAACGTGTCACACTGCAGTGGCAGTGGACATATAGTACTACTAGCAGTAGTGGCATCAAGAAACCGACGTGAGTGGACGGGTGTCGAAATGATATTTGCAAGAAGTCGATCCACTTTCCAATCTCTGCCGAGGACCACATCAAATAGTCGAATCGTTATTTGAATGCATCTCCAAGCGACCTGATAGTAGTGGAACCCAGGGATGCCGCAACTGCTCATTTGTTCGGAGCAATAACGTCAAACAGCCGCGTGACTTCCATGCCAGTAATAAAGCACGAAAATCTCTGGATGACGCGGTTAGCTCGCATTGTACCTGGGCCATTTCCTCCTTTCCGAGGAGTAACAGGCAGTGGAAAATATTTTATGCCTATCAAGAAGGGCAAGTTGGTGCGCCGAGTGGACCAAACCATTCCGCGGGTTTTGTGCTTGAGATACCGTACTTCGTGGTAGGAGCGGAAGAGAGATCCATGGACCTGTGGTCCGTCACGCTGTGGCTACCCTACCCCAGATAGGTGTTTGTTGGCGGCCAGCCAGCCAATGACTAGCGGGATAATATGCGCCAAGTCGATTAGTGGACGCCTGTCAGCAGATAGTCGACGATGGACTACCCTAGAGAGGCAGTCGTCGCAGAGTTACACGACGCAGTAGAGAGGGTTCGCACCATCCTCGTCATCCACACAGCAGCCTCAATCACAACATTTTCCAGGTGCAAGAGAGCAATTAATTGCGAGACTTACCTGTAGGTACTACAGCCCCGAAGGTGTGCCCGTGGATGGTTCAAGCGCGGGTAGTCTGGCCCCTGCCATGGTGCCCTAACTTGAGCCTGTTGTCCGGCTCTTTAGCAAGAGGACGTCGCGTCCGGATGCTCCGATGTGCTCCCAGTATGGTGCCTCAGAAGCCCCGAACTTGAAGCTGGCGACGGCTGCAGCTTGGCCAGGATGGCTTGGGACCCCTGGATTGCCCTCGCCTATTATTACAGGGTCATCGCCTTCTGCTCTCTGCTCTCTGCTCTCCACCTCTTGTCGTTCTGGCTGCTTTCACCTGACGAAGCAATAACTGCGAGGCAGTAGGGACTGTGCCGTTTGGTTGGTTCGCTTTTTATGGCTAGGTGTTGAGCACTGTTGCCCTTGAAGCTAATGCGATGAATACTTTCAGAACGACTCTCCACTGCCCCGGTGGTTGGAAGCGCTTGCTGACCAGAGATCATTCCTTTGGACAATCGAATCCAGCCAGGGTTTTGTCGAGACATTAGTCTCGTCTCTACGCTGTTTGCGTTCCAGTTCGAAAGCATCGACTAGTATCCCCAAACAACTCCATGCCGCTGGAAGGGATTCTGCACGCACCATCTATCGGAGTCATCCTTTTGAACGGTGCTAGAAACGCGAATGGCAGCTCATCTGCCCACGCCTGAAACCAATTATACGGCATATCCTATTTCTCCGATTCAGCAAACCTTTTTTTTGTCTGGTGGAACGCGTACGGAGACCATGTTCGCGAGAATAAGTTCTATCCGAAGTCTCTACACCACCACACACCTCACCATGCCTTATCGTGTAGTTGAGCACACAGCGCTGACAACCCGTCCTTGTGCCGCGAGATTGACGAGCTCTCCGAGCTACCTTGTCCTTGTTTTCACGTCTGCGTGCGAGAATCGGCAACATCTGGGCCGGAAGACGAGTTGCGGGGACAGTCCTCGTTCTGATGACTACAGAGAACATACACAAATACATTTCTATGGTACGAAAGTGGGTGTCCGGACAATACACGGATTGAACATGGATATAATTCAACATGATGGCGATCCGGTTTGGGGGCTACATCTGCTGGTGTACAACTGCCCATTTTTGCCTAAAAGGGGTTTCCACTGCAGTGTCCGGGAGATGAACCGGGACAGAAGAGAAAACAGCTTGACTCGAAACACTGTTACCATTTTAGCCTGCATGATGCCCAGAGGTAGGTTCCACCTCTGCTGGCCGCTCTATCAATGTTGTTTGTTTTTATTTACAACCATTCACGAGTTTGTCAGATTGTTGTTGATTTGCGGTTGCTATCGTCATGGTAGGGAGTATTCCAGGTGGAAAACGCAGATCCGCCTGCGTACGCTGTGTTCGCCTGCTCACTGTGTCAAGCCTTAGACAAGTTGATATGGAAAGGTTCTATCATCATTGACCCCGTTGTCCCCAACTCTATAGAGAATTCTGTTTGTGGAGCTGCTCATCTGATTAACTGCTGCGCATAGAGTCGAAGCAGTTCCCGACGCGAACGTCCCCCTCCCCACACGTCACAGCAGATGTTGGAAGTCGGTTGATGGCGGCAAGAAATTGTTAGCTATCTTTGATGTCCGAAATGCTGCATGTTGGTATCCGGGGACAAGGAAAATCATGCCTTTCAGCGGCTGCGGTCAGGACAAGTTCACACCTTCAGGGCCATATGAAGCCCCACCACGATAGGCTGCTTCAAGCCTTCGGGTTGGGAGCCTGAACACCGTACAAGGGCTGGAGCAGTGGACTTTGAAGCATTTGAAAGCCACTGGAGTGCATTCCCCGCTACCACCGACACAGTTGATTCAACTGTTATACGTACAAGAACTGGGCCCACCTACTCAAGGCGTCTTCTCTCTTTCATGAACAATCCAGGTCCTGGATTTCATGTAAGAAAGCAAAAGATCTTCAAGAGATGTGGTAAGTGCTCACCAACCCCAACTTCGCATTTCACACATCCAAGTAGACCACAGCAGAGGGAAATGGGGCTACATTGATCGAAACACAAGCACTCCTGATGCCCTGTCTCGGGTAGTAAGAAGGCATACAATTTCAAAGTCGCCAAAACAACCGCATCGAACTGGGTATGTTGGCACGCGACGTGTTCTCGTACGGCTGTCACTTCCAGGCTCTCAGCTCTTAATCAGGCTTCGCATTCAAGTCGCCTGCCAACTTTGGAGATTCTATGAGAGATCTCACGCTTGCTGGACTAAAGAAACATGCAACGCCTCGTTCCCGCGTCTCATGAAGGGAGGCGGCGGATGCCTGGATCCAAAAGCCTGTGCGCGCCCTCCTGTCCCCGGCCGGATCTTCAGGCATGCAAACGCGAAGAGCAAACCAAATATCAGGCAGTCTGCCTCACTTGGCCGCCGCAGGCGCAACAAACTGAATATTGCGTCCTGAAAGAAACGGACTATTACGATTCTGGAATTTGGAAAAGGCATTGCTCAGCCGGTGCGTGGCTTTGTGCTCTCTTCATATCACGTCCCAAGAGAGTTTATGCCTGTTCGGCATTTCCATTCTGGGAAGTTGGCTATGGTCCGGGAATGGTTAAGCGTTGCTCCACGTCAGAATAGGGCCAGCTGAGTACTAGCACTGGCAGGAGACGAAGAGCGACACACCGGGCCTGAACCTATTCGGTTCGCGCTAGCGCCGATGGGACCGAATCGATCAAGCTCCATGCAGTGCTTCTTTTCTATAGCCACCGTGACCCGCAAAGCCCGCTCTTCCTGCCGGTTACGTTGTCGCTGCTCCGGTCGGTAGCTTTGACTTTCGGATCTCCGCCCTCGGCAAGGCTGCAGCGTACAATACTAGAGAGGCTGTACGCGAGAAGGCTGGCCCTTTACTCCACCTATTTTAGGTGGATGCTACGGGACAGTGCATGCTACGGCCGTGTGCAGCTATAGGCTGGGAGTCCAAGTGCAATACTAGTACCCGAATCAACACCAGCAGGCGGCGGGAAAAGGTCCTGCATACGCGGCGTTTATTTTCCGGCTGTCGGTACGTGCGTTTGCACCACAATAATTAGCCGGCGTGTCTTAGGTGAAACAAAATAGGCTCTGGCCGGCGGTGCGGAAGCCTGGAACCTATTCGCGAGAGATGGTCATAATAATGTCGGGCCAAGGTGTTATGATTTTGAATGTAAGGACTCGAACATCTGCTGCAGTGCACAAGTATTTCACGGATGAAACAAACACTCTGCCATAGTGTCAAGACCACGGGTTGGGAGGAGCATAGTCGCCTTTTGCGAGGACCACAGTAACCGTACAATGTTGTACCTACCTACCAGGTACCTTAGATAGTACGTTGTACTACTGACAGCATTTGACTTGTCCGTCCGACGAGCATAGTGTACCTAGGTATATCAAGTTGTAAACGGATGGCATGATAGCGAGTCGCTAGGAAACAAGCGCTGATTTATACCTGTTCTGATCCACGTCCTCCTTTTCTAGGATCCTTTCCGACACCGATCACTCTTACGCAACCCGTGATGGTGTACTATTTTCAGTCTAACACGGTTGATCCGCCTGCTTTCATCTATGTAGGGAAAGACAAAGTTGAAAGTCAGTATGCCCGCTTCAGCAGTCGGCCCTGTGTCTAATGACTGAGTAGATGAGGACTTGATCAAATTTGGCTGGGAAGAAGATGTTTGGTGCGACTCCCAGTTTCCCTCCTTCCTATGAATGTTTCCACTCATGGAGTTTACTGGCAGGGTACTTCGAATAAACATGATAGAGATGAGAGTTATTCTCCGCTGATACTTGGCTAGTTCCACGTGGACAATCTTTCAAGTGCACACGTCTACCTCCGACTGAAGCCTGGGGAGTCGTGGACATCCATTCCGCAAGCTCTACTGGAGGACTGCGCCCAGCTGACAAAAGCAAACTCCATTGAAGGTAGGTGGCACACCGGATAGCCCCCTTTCCATGACCCTGGAGTTACTAGCGTGATTGCTCTTCAGGCAACAAGAAAGACAATGTTACAATCATCTACACGCCATGGTCGAACCTGAGAAAGGATGCCTCCATGGCCACGGGTCAAGTATCGTTTCATGATCCCAAAAAGGTCAAAAAGGTGCACGTTGCGGCCCGACAAAATCCCATTGTCAATCGGTTAAACAAAACCCGGGTGGAAAAGTTTCCAGATCTTCAGGCCGAGAAAGAAGCGGATCTGAAGGAGAAGCGGAAAGCCGAGCGGATACAACGGGAGCAGCAGAAGGCCAAGGATCGGGAGGAGCGCAAGAAACGGGAAGAGCTGAGATGGCAGAAAGACCATGCTTACGATGATATCATGCGAGAAGAGTACATGGTCAGCAATCAGGACCGGGATGCCAGTTTCTACGAGGACGAGTTCATGTGAGAGCGACATTAAGCGAGGTTGAGGGCAGGAGACAAAATGATCTTTCAGCACTGTGGCGGTCCGACTCGGTTGCAGTGAGAGGTGTGTCTCTGTGCTGTAAGTGCAGTACTTGTGGATAGTAATTGCATGATGGCCGCGATGTAATCTATCGTAGGCCATGTCCTTTGACCTCAAGCTGCTAGTGGGCACGGCAATGGTGTGGTGGTAGTGTAGTAGTAAGCAACTGCAAGGGCGGCGCTTCGTGGCTGGTAGGCGCCGGTCACCAGCCACGGATGACCTACAACGTTGTACTACCGTGGACCTTACGCAGCTGTACCTGAATGTTGTCAACCCCGTACTATTTTAGTGACTGTGGCATCGCAATTCAAGCCTGAGTTGCATGTTGAATACTCGTCGCTGCGTCCTCCGAGTGTCTTCCAACATCCATACCTCGAAATTACTGGCGATATATTTGACCTCATCGAGCACAGTTATCCGAGCCCATCGCAAAAACCCTAGGTATCCAGTCGTGTACTCCCACGGTTCTTTCGACTTGGGGTGGTACGGCTACACACGCCAGCTCGACCTGCGTCCATTCCATCCACCCTGGCATCTTGCTCGACAGCTTTCTCTGTTGCTCTCCTGGCACCTCAGAGGAACGCATCGACGCTTTCCCACACTTCAAACTAGCCAGGCTGTAGCTTCAGAGCGGCAAACATGGCTTCCACAGAGGCCTCCTCGCGCGTTCACGGTACGCAGCAGCGCATCCCCCAGGATTCCCGCTACATCCTACTAACTTGACGTCTAGATCGACCTACCCGACGCCGTCCCTTTACAACCTGGATGCGCCGTCTGGCCAATCTGAAAACCCTCCACGTCGATGCCGGCGATACCTCTGCAAGTCCCAGACGGTCCAATCTTCCCATGACCATTAAATCCAAAAAGGGCAATATTGCAAAGAACAATCCATATCCATTGTCCTCACGTGCAGAGGCACAGAGCAATGGTCCCACCTCAGTCTCGGCACCACTGTCGTCTCAACGGTCGAGACACAGCTCCGTATCACAGAGCAAGCATTCAATGTCGGTATCTCATGAAAGCCAGGCTGGAAACAAATCAAAAGCTCCCACTCTGGCCACGCAGGCAGAGACAGCCATGTCGGACGCTGCTCCTTCCGGCGTTGGGACCAGTGCTACAGCAGCAAAGACCGACGGTGGAAGAGATAGTACATTCTCGTCTCCTGCGCCGTCGGTTCGGTCCATGGCCACGACTCTGACAACAGTGCAGTCAATTGCGCCAGGATACAATCATCCCGCAGCCCCCATGGCAACAAACACCTCCAATGCAAGCGTCCCGACTCAACACTATCCTGGCCAGCCAGCCACTGCTGTTCCAGCGCACCTAGCACCTCATGCACACCCTACCACCTACCATTCTGCTACCGCTAACAATGCACTGACCGATGACGCTTCAATTCTGACTCTCGCCTCATCCTCTAAGCGACGCCGGCGGAACTCCGTCGATACCAATGCCTCCATGAAGGCCTTGGCGCCAGCTTCGATGTTCGGTGGGAGCCGCGATTCTCTTCCTCTCTCTGTGTTGTCTGGAACCATCATCCATCCCACTGCGGACACGGCTTCGGTTCGCGACGGCGGTGGAGTGGCGCACACGCGGTCAAACTTCAGTGCGGAGAGGTCAAGCCTGATTTCGACGTCTGGCGTCACTGCACCGGCACTGGCAAGCGAGCGAAATAGCTACATTGGCAGCAAATACGGCGACGGCGCCAGTGTGCGGAGCGGACTGCTGGGCGCTGGACACGGGCGTAATGACAGCATCAGCGGCAGCATAGGAGGCTACCGTGAGAAGGGTGAGAAGGACAAAGAGCGAGAGAGAGATCGCGACAAGGACCGTGAGACTGGGATGGTTACGGCTCCCACAAGCCCGCTAGTTGATGGGCCAGGCGTTGGAACTCAATACACCACGGCCCTTGGAGATGTGTCAAAGACGCTCGATAGGGAGGAGAAGATCGGTGCTCTCGAAGGCTGAGGCGCCACGCTGAGACCCAGAAGGCGACTTTACGACATGTAGGAGTGACGGGTGGTCTTTCCCCGACATGAGTGACAGGAGAGAGAGGAGGGTCATCCAGCACACTGGCATTGGCGACGTCCGCAAGACCGGAAGTATTGCCTCATCTACCTTGCAGGGACATTGTGACATTGCCTTCTGGGTGGATGGCAACTACGACGAGAACGATACCGGTACATCGATTGCTTGACCGACTAATTGCACGGCTGGCGGCTGGACCGAGAAAGCTGCTCGAATGCCTGGTTCGGCGAACTGGCGTTAATGGAGGAAATTGGAGCTTGCCGCAGTGCTGGCTCCTCTATGAAAATAGAAGACGTGATACCCCTTCATTCTTTGATATGAAAACTGGCTGGAACAACCATGGGCGCCTATGGGTATGTTGATTGAGATTGTGCTCGCCCAATCATTGCCAGGCTTTGAGCTTATGTATTACTACTACTGCTACCACTGCCTCTTCTGCAGGGTGTGGATTCAATTGAGCTGTCACGACACCAAGTGTTGTGGATTAACATGGGGCATTTCTTTCAGATAGCGACCATTCTCGTGAAACTCGGGGTAACTCGGTTTCGTGGTCCACTGCAAACCGCTGCTCGAGCGGCAGAGCGACCTGATCTTGTTCTTTATGAGATCCGTACCTACAGTCTTGACAGTAGTGCTTGCTTCATCAGTGCTGAAGCAAGCCCGGCACGTAGATACTGCTGTACGAGTACAGTTTCTCAGTCAAGTCACGTGGAAGGTGCTTATGTCATCTGATTGTCAGTCTTCAGCTGCAGCGCACCACTTGCACTGCCATTCTCTGAACGTTCATTCATATACACTACCAATGTCTAAAATCATGGAGGTGTCCATGATGACCGCTTGCGCCCTGATGTTTCTCTATCCCTCACTTGCATGTGTTGAGCAATCCTCCTGCAAACTTGCATCTAGCGGAGAAGAACAGCGGTGCGGTCATGCAGCTTGAACTCGAAACTGTCTATGAGGTCAAGCATCCTCGTAAGTTACTGTCCATTCCTTTGTCGTTTTGATGATCATGGCATTGCTGCCATCACTTCCGTGGCTCCCAGCCCCATCAGATATGATACTCTCACTCCTCGGTCTGGCCGTCACACGGCCAACATGATCGTCCTTGGCAGTCTTCACAGCAGCAGTCTTGCCAGCATTGGCAACGGCGCGGTGGGAGCTGGCTTTGACATAGGTCTGGCCGATGGCAACACCGACAGCAGGTCTCTGACGTGGGAGGTCCAGAGAGTCACCATCAGCACCAGCACGGCTGTACGGATCCGAGGATGATTCCTTGACACCAAAATCGATGTTGTTGCCATTACCACCGTGACTCGTCAGAGCCTGCGTTCGGCCTTGGGAGCGTGATTTGCTGTGCGTCTGCGCCGTCTTCCCCATGAGGTAGCTGTCGTTGCCATAGCCGAAACGGCCGCTACCGTCTTGAACCATGCCAGACAGGTACCCGGCCTGAATCGAGTCCATGAACGGCCGCAGGTGTGGAACACATGCGGAAAAGACGTCGAAGAAAACCTCGAGGATGGTGGCCACGGTGGGCGGCCAACTGTCGAAGGGGATGTCTTTGTTGCTGCGGCGGTCGAAGAAGGATCCGAGCGTGGCTAGCCGCCACGACGTGCACCCAACAGCAGCCAGGCGGAATGAAAACGCGAAACAGACGGCCACTTTCTTGTGTCTTGGCAATTGCAGGTTGTGGACCAGATAGATTGGCAAAGCCACGATCAACACGTCTGTGACAATGTCGATGATTCCTATGGCCGTCCAGAATCCATGCTGGTCGAAACACTTGCCCATCGTGATGAGGTACGGCTGTGGAAGCTCGCATTGAAACGCACTCCCTAGGATCGAACTCAAGGCCCAGAGGCCGACGACGATCGCCACGCCTAGCATTGGACGACGATATCGTTTGGATGGTGCAAGCGTGAGCAGGAGCAACAACGTCGACGATTTGCCCAGCGCCAAGCTGGCAATGTACAAAATGTTCCATGCATACCCGGCCTTCTGGAAGCCGAGATAGTCGTCGGTCGATAGGGTCGGCCGCCTCGAGCCCAGACCGTGGCTGACTTGTTTGTTGATCGCGATGGTGAATCCGATTGAGAACAACTGCATTGTGAGGATGCACATGTCAGGACTCGAATATATGCACCTGCATGCATTTCAGACGGACTGTTGCAATGTGACTTACCATGGCGGCAACGAGGATCCCATCCCTCCAGACGAGCTTTCTCAAGACGACAAGTTTGCTCACCAGCACCGTGATCACAGCCAGACACATGGTCGTCATGGCGATCCATGACACCAGGTCCACCACGGGACCTTTCTGGTCAGCTGAGATGGTTGGAGTGCGAGCGGCCAGAATCGAAGGCTTCGCCATGATATACGACTGAAGCTTCGCCAGAGAGTGCAACCAGGTTCTTCCTCCCTTTCTCTTTCATATATTGCGATGGGCGAGTTTGAGTTTTCAGTTCATCGACAAAGCTTCAAGGTGGAAGATTATGTGCTCCGAGGAGCTTGGAGCACTGCCCCATATCAAAGGTCATGGCCATGGGAGGAATGAAAAGCAAAAGGTCGGCTACAGGTCGTCCGACAATCTCGACAAACACATCTTGTTGGACACCCGTCTAAGCAGGGGAGAAAGCCCGGAAGAGGAATCCTAGTGCCAGGATGCGACGCAAAGCGACTCGACCGGACGGGGCTGGACTTGAGTTGACTTGACGCGACAACAGAAAGTGTGATACTGTAAGTCGACAACCCCGGGGAATCAATCGTTTACTCTCGGGCCCCTTGCAACAAACTCTCCAGGGTCTTCTACACTTCTACACACCCTAGCCACGGTATCTATTATCTTTGTACCTATGGCTCAGGTACAGTACCTAACAGGTGTTTAAAGCAGGATATCGTCGACCCCTGTGCTCCTAACTCTGCTTCCCTGGTTGCCTAACCTGCACTGCATAAACGGTTTTCCTATCAGGTATGGTACAGTACCTACATGACTCGAAACACATCCATCCCATCCGACCTTGGAACCCAAGTCTGGCCTGATCTGGTCGACCTTTGCTTCCGTTCGTGTTGACCAGGTCCCAAGCTCACGTTGTCTGTTCGAAAAGTGTATAACTACGTTTCATCACAAAAGTCTTGCCTCGACCCGGCACCTATCTACATATTTAGAACACACTGATTGCAGTGCTCACTGCAACGTCGGTTCGGTTCAGGTTCTCGCCGTCGTCATCATTCAATGTCAGATCACCACCGCAGTCAGGTCTCGTTTCTGGCACTTGTTCTCCCATGTTTTTCTCTTTCCTTCTTCTCTACGGGCGACTACAATCTTGTAGTGACAGTGACAGACAGCATTGCATTTGTCCATTGGCATCCCTCCTACAAGGCACGATGTATATACCTTTCGTGAGCAGCTCCCCCACGCCGAAGACAAGGTTGATTGAAAGCTCTCAGGCGTATCCGTTGCCAGACGGGCGCATAGTCTTTCTTCGAACAACAACGGCCGGGGGATTGGAACGCCACAACAGACATGGATAGGATGGGATAAGATGAGACGGTACTACGGCGACATTTTCTTGCCGTCACTCGGCATCTACTGTCCCTGTCTGCGCCTTGAATCCAGTTCCGTCCCTCTCGGCAGAGCACCTACTATCACTTATTACTCCCCCTCCGTTCCCTTGATTTAAGTGCTCTAGGCACTACTGGTGTCTACCCGGGTAGATAGGTACCCCTGTTGGTCGGTACTCTTACTTCGTGCAATTGGCCACTAACACCACGCCGTCCGAAACCCACGCGGCACGGGGAGCTGCGGCAGCGAAAGTGCCGGACATTGGGGGGTAGCAGGATATACTAGTACAAAGTGTTGAGAAGGAATGCCTGCGCTCCTGCACTCTTGGCGCTCCAACGCTCCTACCCCGCACTAACGTGTTACACCTTATGTACTTAGTTCTATTATCTCTACTTACTCTCTCTCTCTTCTAATCATATATAATTCTACTAGGTTATAAGGCCCGGGTTTTCCCCTAGCACTAATATATTAACTTCTTCCTTAACTAATATATCTAACTTCTCTAACTAACTATATTAAGCTACTATTATTAAGGTATTATTTCTTACTTCTTCTAACTAGCCGATCTCTATAGAACTATCTTAGCTAACCCTAGTAAAAGATCTAGAAAGCTATAATAGATCTCTATTAGAGTCTTTATCCCGTTCTCCGTCTCTTTAGTTTCGTTCTCCTACCTCTATACCTTTTACCTAAGATAGCTAATATCTTATTTAAGCTTAACCCTATATTTCTACTAAAACTAGCTTCTAGAGGTAATAACTATAGCGAATAGAGACCCTTATAGACCCTCGCCTTTAGATATACTAAACTATAGAACGTAATTAGCGGAAAAAAAGATATAAACTATAGAAAATTAAGAGTAATAAGAAGAAGAGAATACTAAAGCTCTCGTTATACTACTATTTACTATCTATATCGATCTTACTCTAATAGTAACTAGATATAATACTTTAGCTAAAGCCTAGGTAGTACTTATAGAAAGATTTAATCGAGATACTAGGAACTTAACTATCTATCTCTTTAGAAATATTATAATACTACGCTATAAGGATAGTAATAATCTCTAGAAATATCTAGATAAGTTTTACGGCCTATAGTAGAAGATATAGAAGAGATACTAATTATTAAACTAGAAAGTGGCGAAAGCTATAAAACTAGTCTTCGACTCGGACTAAGTTAAAGGCTCGTTCTTTCTAGATATACTACTAGATACTATAGATAATATTATTAATAATCTAAATACTAAAGAGATTAGTAAATTCGTCGATATTAAGTCTAAAATACTTAATATTATTAAAAAATATCTCTATATAGTTAAACCCTAGACTATATACTATACTTCTATAGTCCGCTCCTATTCTAAAGAAAAATAGAATATCTAAGGGAAAGAATAGGTTAAGTATATATAGTATAGAAAGTATAACCTAACCTTTATTAGATA